GCCGCCATTTTGAAAAACTATTTCAAACTTAAAGTAAAGTTCTACTTGGCCGATTGAACTGAAACTTTGTAGGAATGATCGAATCATGGTCCTGACAAAGTGTTGTTATTTTTCAGGTCAATCAGAAATACAATTTGGCTGCCATGGCCGCTATTTTGTAAATACCTATTTCAAACTTAAAAACAAGTTCTAAAATAGGCCGATCGCACTTAAAATCGGTCTAGGAATGATCAGCTCATGGTCCTGACAAAGTTAAGTTAACATTATACTTAACTATTTTTTACTCAAATTGGTACATATTTCAACAATAAAAATAAATACTGTAGGACTCAGGTGACCGTTAAGGCCCATGGGCCTCTTGTTATGTATCAAAATAACTCCAAAAACATTCCTTTGATTCACAAAACAACTGCTATCGTCATAACAACCACCCTGCAGTTACTTGGAGATCATTTGACCACATGATGTATATTTTGAGTTTGTGTGAGTTTGGACTTGAATGAGGGAATTGGAGATTGGTAAATTTTGGTCCAAATGAGGGAGGCTTGACAGCTATGCTTTTTGTCGTATGCACTTGAATGCCAAACCTCCCTCATTGCTGACTTAAACCAATGACCCTGATCTTTTCTTAAAAGTAATTCCGTGTTCATTATACAATCAAAATTACACAAGGTTCTAAGTTATCAGCCATGTCTCTGGTCAAGGGTAACTGGAGTTTGACCACTGTAATATGCTTTATCAAAACAACAAAGACACGTTACCAAGGTTATGGTGTGCAAATACTTACTGCCATTTTCTATTTCAATATTTTTGTATCAATTCAGCGAAAAGACAGCCGGTGTATGAGGTTTTAGAGTGGGTGATGACACCTCAGTCCATGGTTGCATGAATGGCAGACATGTGTTTCCGGTTTGTTGTCGTAAAAAACAAATCTGAAAATTATTTGTTCAAAGCATTTTATATGCAATCTTGGTGAATGCATAATTATCTTACTCGAAAGAAATCATGAACATGGCAAACCTTTGTGATTTTACATGTCGTAATATGCTCATTTATGATAATCAAAATGGCGCTGCCCATGAGGAACACGGTTTTCAGAATCTTTTGGAGAAAAGGGTTATCATGTTGTAGGTTTTCGACTGGAAGCAGTTACTTTCAGCACGATTTAGTGAGGGTACGCTTCGCCCCAAGTCCTACAGGATATCTTCATTTGGGATCATTAAGAACAGCCTTTTACAATTATTGCCAAGCGAAATCCCGCAAAGGAGTCTTTATTTTGAGGATAGAAGACACAGATCAGGTATAAATGTACATAAATAGTTCGAGAATTAAAGTAAATACAAACGAAGTTAAGCAACAAGCTAGACCACGCGTCTAAATGAGGAAAGAACAAATACAGAGGAATGTCGTTACTGTAAAAACTACTCGGTTGTTAACGACAATTAGAAGTTTTGTTAGCTTAACTTTGGTAATGGGTTGTTTAGGCCTAAATTCCGTTCGCGCTAAGGGTTGTTTCGCCTTAAATCCCGTTCGCTCTAGGTTGTTTCACCCTAAATATTTTTTTTAAAATTTATACGCTAATATAATAATTAATATTTAAATATGTCAACTAAACTTATCAATTACTTTCTACATTGGTGTTAGATATATTTCATGTAGAGAATGTGAGAGCTGAGTCAGGTTTTCACAGCTGCTGAATCACTGGTTGACATTGAGTTAAGTCAATGGCTTCTGTAAGATGTATGATCCTTGTCAATAAATTTCTCCTGGACACAACCTCCTTCCGGTTGTGCAATCAGGTTAATTTTCAATAATTGTAATTAACTATTAACATTATATATGTACTTTTTTATACAGTTCTTCGTGATCATATAAATTCCCCTTGGTATTATAGCGGTTCTTAGACTTATTTATGTAACGCTTAGGTTAGAGTCATATTTTCTGTATAGATCTACAATACAGTTATAAAAAAGAACACACACATCAGAAGCGAGTCAGAAACTATTAATGTCATTGACTGCCCGCGAACTGATACGGCTCGAATTTCCGTGGATGGTTTTTCCAATGCTTGTTTAACCTGTCTTTAAAACAGTTAACACATGGAGCCGAGGTCACATGTTCGGGTAGCGAATTCCATGGTTGAAATTTGAATAACTCTGTTACTGAAATAATTAATTGGCAGTTTGATGCTTTCTACTGCGTTTTTTTTAACAGCTTTTAAGAATGTCCCCTTGTTGCTCTGTAGTTTGAACAGCTTGTCCTTATCAAGGCAGTCTATGTTGTTCAGAATTTTTAAGACCTGGATCATATCTGCATGCCCTTTCCATTCTGTATTCTAGTATTGGTAATCCAAGAGTACGAAGTCTATCCGGATATGATCTATCCTTAAGTGATGATACACGCTTAGTAGCTCGGCGTTGAATACTTTCTATAGCCCTTTGGTCCTTGATTTACATTGATGACCAAATTACAGAGGCGTACTCAAAATGTGAGATTTGAATAGTCTGGTAAAGATTTATTCTGGTCTAAACTTGATTTGTTTTTGGCGTTTGTCAGATTGGTCTTATATACTGTACAGGTATGTTCTTGTCAATAATCATAAAAAGGAAATCTGTAAGACTTTTCCACGCCTGGTTTACATCACGTTTATTTACCATTTCCTCTAAGTCTACCTTGATGAGTTCTTCACGGGTGGAGTTGTAGTCGTCCCTGCCGTTTGTCACATTAGCTTAAAAACAAGACAAACACTTTTTTGGTGTGTAATTTTAATGATATGGAAGACCATGCCAAGAAGACTTAATTTGTGACCTAAAACTACTAAAATTAAAAAAAAATACCAAACAATTTTTTGCCCTGATATTTTTGTTTTAGGGTGAAACCAACCTAGTGCGAAACAACCTAGGGCGAATGGGATTTCGGGCCGAACCCTTAACTTTATAACTTGTACAATAAAGGATTCTGATTCCAAAGATTTCAGCATTTCTCAAATACATATCAGTACAACGCCATCATCGACAGTCAAATGGTCATGTTGTGGAAGGAGCTTTCAGATTCTTTGGTAATGTTGTACGTTGGGATGCGTAGCCCAAGTTTCCTCTGGCCCTGACATATGTACACCTGAGACTTAAAAGACATTTTGACAGATAAATTCCACACCAGATATATGGTTCATGGTGGTCAGCGTCTTTGTAAACATAATTCATTGCTTCTGTTGACGCTTCTTCATAGACATTCACTTATTTAGAGATTGCACAGAGGAGGTGTATACCACTTAATATTATATATTAGTAGCACGATGGTAAAAACTGGATTGGATGTTTGACCCAATGCTTATTGAGTCTAGATTTAAAAACATTTAACGTTGAGGAATCTACCACAATTGTAGGGAGTTGATTCCAAATATTTACAATTCTATTTGTGAAGCATATCCCCTAATGTTGGTCGTATACCAAATTTTAGCTCACCTGGCACAAAGTGCCAAGTGAGCTTATGCCGTGGCGCGTCGTCAGTCCGGTGTCCGGCATCAATATTTTACTTTAAACGACTTCTTCTTAATAACCAAAAGGCCTAGGGTGATGATATTTGGCCAGAAGCAAACTGGGATGAAGGGCTACAAAGTTTGTTAAAATTAATGACCTTCACCCATTTTCAAGGTCACTGTGGTCAAATATGTTAAAAACTTTAAACATCTTCTTCTCGATAACCAAACTGCCCAGGGAGATGATATTTGGCCAGTAGCATCCTTGGGTGAAGGGCTACCAAGTTTGTTCAAATGAATGACCTTAAATTATATTCAAGGTCACAGGGGTCAATTGTCTTAAAAACACTTTAAACAACTTCTTCTCAATAACCAAAATGCCCTGGATAATGATATTTGGCCAGTAGCATGCTTAGATAAAGGGCTACAAATTTGTTCAAATAAATGACCTTCACCCATATTCAAGGTCACAGGGATCAAATATGTTAAAATTTTTAAACAACTTCTTCTCAAAAACCAAAATGCCCAGGGTGATGCTATTTGGCCAGTAGCATGCTGGGGTAAAGGGCTATCAAATTTGTTCAAATGAATGACATTCACCTATATTCAAGGTCACAGGGGTCAAATATATGAAAAACATTAAACAACTTCTTCTGAATAACCAAAATGCACAGGGTGATGATATTTGGCCAGTAGCATGCTGAGATGAAGGGCTACAAAGTTTGTTTAAATGAATGACCTTCACCAATATTCAAGGTCACAGGGGTCAAATATGTTAAAAACTTTAAACAACTTCTTCTGAATAACCAAAATGCCCAGGGTGATGATATTTAGTCAGTAGCATACTAGGATCAAGGGCTACCAAGTTTGTTTAAATGGATGACCTTGAATCATATTCAAGGTCACAAGGAGCAAATATGTTCAAAATATTTAAACAATTTGTTCTGAATAACCAAAAGGCTCAGGATGTTGATATTTAGTCAGTAGCATGTTGGGATCAAGGACTACCATGTTTGTTAAAGTGAATGACTTTGACTTATATTCAAGGTCACAGGGGTCAAATTTGTTTAAAATCTTTAAACGACCTCTTCTGAATTACCATGGGTCCCAGGATGTTGATACTTTGCAAGTTGCATCCTGAGATGAAAGGCTATAAAATTTGTTCAACATAATGACTTTGTTCGACTTTCAATCACTGGGGTGAACTGTTTTAAAAAAAAAATAACAGGTTCTTTTGAATGAATTTTAATCATTAATACTGATATTTTGCCTGTAGCTTTAGTTTAGATCACTTTTAAGGTTACAAGTGTGAGATTTATACCAGGTGAGCGATGTAGGCCCATTGGGCCTCTTGTTTTTTCAGTTTTTTCGAGTTCCCCCTCCTATTGAGATTGTCGAGGGCTCCCTGCTTTGTTGGTTAGTTATATCTATGGTGTTTTTATCAGCTTATAGATTTCTACCATATCATGCTCTTAGTCTTCTATATTCAAGTGATGCCAACAAAAATGTTCAGGGTAAGAGAGATCTTTTAGGGATGGAACTAGTTTGGACGTACCAAAGATTTGTAAAGGTTGAGAAACATTTCTTTATTAATTAATACAACTATATAATATATATCTGTCAAAATGTCTAAGTCTGGTATCAGGGCCAGAGAAAACTCGAGCTAAGTGAATAAAGTGCCAGTAGCCAGGGCAGGTAGACGGCGAACATTGGTAGAGCATCTGTCACGAGCTAGGAGGGTCCTACAATGTAGGTTTAAATGGCGGTCTGGCTCTGCATTTCCCTTTCTCATGTTATACATGTATATATTTGATGTAACAATATTTAATTCTTTGTATTGTTTATTATAGACCAGGAAAGTTGAGGGAGCAACAGAGAGTATAATGGATGACCTCGACTGGGCAGGAATACCTCCAGACGAAGGTACACACAATTAAGCCAAAATAAACGTTAGTCTGTCACAAGACAAAAAAAAAGGTCAGTCAGCTAGCCAAATAATTTCATTATATTTTTTCTGTTTTAAAAGGATGCCATTAATGAATTGGCAAATGACATTGGTGGCAAAATCTTGCTGAAAATTCAATTGATAGGATGTTATCATTAATGTCTGTATTTTCTATTGATATTATATGTATATCAAAAAGATGAATGACAAAACCAGCGATGGGTAAAACTCATGTTGCTGTTCCCGAATGCCAATAGTACGGCCACTGCTATTTTGTTTTCTGCTGAGTCTATTCTAATCTTTGGCTAAATTTTTTTTTTTTTTTTTACTAAAATGACCGACAACAGATTCAGTTTCAGAAACATGTGGTTGTTGAGGCAGCAGGAAACCAACATATAGAGTATATATGTGTGAAACTTCAAGTTCAGTAACATATGTAGTGTTCAGCCTTAAACCAGTGTTGGGAACTAGTTGTCAAACAATATGCAATTAATCTATTCTTAGTCTGTCAATGTTTTATTCCCACATCAGGGGAAGGTTTGGGGTAAATTTCAAGTTTGTTTAAATAATTAGCCCTGACCTTCTTTCAAAGTCTCCCAGGTCAAATGTATTGATAGATCATACAAATAACTTCTTCTACAGAACTGTAAGACCTATAGTTATGTTACTTTGCATGTACATTGTTTGGATGAAGGATGTTAATGTTTGTTCTGTTAAATAACCTACTTGGCCTGCTTTCAAAGTTTCCAAGGTCAATTGTGTTAAAAAGAACCTTTATGCTAAACAGTTTAATAGACAACTAACGTGCATATAGTTAAGTTAATGTAATGTATACCCTACCTCTTGACTTAACCAGGTTAATAGACCCCATGGGTCTCTTGTTTTTCAAAACCCTCAATGTTAATGATCTTACAGGGTTTCTGGTAGCTAGCTTCTAAACAAGGGCTTTGTCATCTGAGATTTCTGTTTCTACCACAGGCCCACTGGTAGGAGGCAATTATGGACCCTACATCCAGGTGAGATCAGTATAAATTATAACAATCTTGATTATGTTTAATAAAGTATAATTATAGATAATAAGAACATCTGTTTTATTCAATTGATTTATCTAAGTTTCCAGTTTCTTTTTATAACGTGTATGATATTTTAAATCAGTTTTCAATTCCCAGTAAATTAATTGCAATAATGATACAAAGTGGGTAGGAAAAATATGATATCTAACTAATAAAATTGTGCACTATGTTAATTAACATACAGTTATAGATATTTGGACAAAATAATTTGAGTTTCGTAAGATTTCCACTATCTATCTTGCCTTTACACTCTCAACAATCGAGAATCAATGAAGCAAGACTGACTATACCAGTAGTTTACCTAATAATATTATCCTTTCACTTTGTCTTGTGTGCTAATACAGATGTAGAATGTTAAAAGAACAAACAGTCTCATCATTATTTTCATATTTTTTTTATTGATTTCCCATGTAATACCTGCAGTCAAAACTGACCTAGAGTCCATTGACACCTGTCTATACCGACTACCTTTATATTAGTCTCACCTGTCTATATCATCTACCTGTCTTTTACTCCATCCTGTCTATATCAGCTACCTGTCTATTACTCCCACCTGTCTATATCAGCTACCTGTATATCACTCCCACCTGTCTATTACTCTTACATGTCTCTATCATCTACCTGTCTATTACTCCCACCTGTCTATTACTCCTGCCTGTCTATATCAGCTACCTGTCTATTCCTCCCACCTGTCTATATCAGCTACCTGTCTATGACCCCCACCTGTATATCACTCCCACCTGTCTATTCCTCTCACATGTCTCTATCATCTACCTGTCTATTCCCCCCCCCTGTCTATTACCCCTGCCTGTCTATATCAGCTACCTGTCTATTACTCCCACCTGTCTATATCAGCTACCTGTCTATGACTCCCACCTGTATATCACTCCCACCTGTACCTGTCTATTCCCCCCCCCTGTCTATTACCTGTCTATTACTCCCACCTGTCTATATCAGCTACCTGTCTATTACTCCCACCTGCCTATTACTCCTGCCTGTCTATATCAACTACCTGTCTATTACTCCCACCTGTATATATCAACTACCTGTATATCACTCCGACCTGTCTATTACTCTCACATGTCTCTATCATCTACCTGTCTATTGCACCCACCTGTCTATTACTCCTGCCTGTCTATATCAACTACCTGTCTATTACTCCCACCTGTCTATTACTCCCAACTGTCTCTATCATCTCCCTGTCTATTCCCCCCCCCTGTCTATTACTCTCACATGTCCCTATCATCTACTTGTCTATTACTCCCAACTGTCTCTATCATGTCCCTGTCTATTCCTCCCAACTGTCTCTATCATGTACCTGTCTATTACCCCCAACTGTCTCTATCATGTACCTGTCTATTACCCCCAACTGTCTCTATCATGTACCTGTCTATTACTCCCAACTGTCTCTATAATCTACCTGTCTATTACTCCCGCCTGTCTATATCAACTATCTGTCTATTACTCTGTCCTGTCTATTACTCTTACATGTCTTTATCAACTACCTGTCTATTACTCCCACCTGTCTATTACTCTCACATGTCTTTATCAACTACCTGTCTATAACTCTCAAATGTCTCTATCATCTACCTGTCTATTACTCCCACCTGTCTATTACTCCCACCTGCCTATAACAGCTACCTGTCTATTACTCCCAACTGTCTCTATCATGTACTTGTCTATTACTCCCAACTGTCTCTATAATCTACCTGTCTATTACTTCTGCCTGTCTATATCAACTATCTGTCTATTACTCTGTCCTGTCTATTACTCTCACATGTCTCTATCATCTACCTGTCTGTTACTCCCACCTGTCTATTATTCCCACCTGCCTATAACAGCTACCTGTCTATTTCTCTCACATGTCTTTATCAACTACCTGTCTATAACTCTCAAATGTCTCTATCTGTCTATTACTCTCACATGTCTCTATCATTCACCTATCTATTACTCCCACCTGTCTATATCAACTACCTCTCTATTACTCCCACCTGTCTATATCATCTACCTGTATATCACTCCCACCTGTCTATTACTCTCACATCTGTCTATTACTCCATCTTGTCTATATTGACTACCTGTCTATAACTCCCACCTGTCTATATTGACTACCTGTCTATTACTCCCACCTGTCTATATCAACTACCTCTCTATTACTCCCACCTGTCTATATCATCTACCTGTATATCACTCCCACCTGTCTATTACTCCCAACTGTCTCTATCATTTACTTGTCTATTACTCCCAACTGTCTCTATCATTTACTTGTCTATTACTCCCAACTGTCTCTATCATCTACCTGCATATTACTCCCACCTGTCTATTCCTCCCACCTGCCTATAACAGCTACCTGTCTATTACTCTCATATGTCTTTATCAACTACCTGTCTATTACTCCCAACTGTCCCTATCATGTACTTGTCTATTACTCCCAACTGTCTCTATAATCTACCTGTCTATTACTCCCGCCTGTCGATATCAACTATCTGTCTATTACTCTGTCGTGTCTATTACTCTCACATGTCTCTATCATTCCCCTGTCTATTACTCCCACCTGTCTATATCAACTACCTGTCTATTACTCTCACATGTCTCTATCATTCACCTGTCTATTACTCCCACCTGTCTATATCAACTACCTATCTATTACTCCCACCTGTCTATATCATTACCTGTCTATTACTCCCACCTGCCTATATTAACTACCTGTCTATTACTCCCACCTGTCTATATGATCTACCTGTCTATTACTCCCAACTGTCTCTATCATCTACCTGCGTATTACTCCCACCTGTCTATTACTCCCACCTGCCTATAACATCTACCTGTCTATTACTCCCACCTGTCTATATCAACTACCTGTATATCACTCCCACCTGTCTATTACTCTCACATGTCTCTATCATCTACTTGTCTATTACTCCCACCTGTCTATTATTCCCCCCTGCCTATAACAGCTACCTGTCTATTACTCTCACATGTCTTTATCAACTACCTGTCTTCTACTCCCAACTGTCTCTATCATCTACCTGTCTATTACTCCCACCTGTCTATTACTCCTGCCTGTCTATATCAACTACCTGTCTATTACTCCCACCTGTCTCTATCATGTACCTGTCTATTACTCCCAAATGTCTCTATAATCTGCCTGTCTATATCAACTATCTGTCTATTACTCTGTCCTGTCTATTACTCTTACATGTCTTTATCAACTACCTGTCTATAACTCTCAAATGTCTCTATCATCTACCTGTCTATTCCTCCCCCCTGCCTATAACAGCTACCTGTCTATTACTCCGTCCTGTCTTTTACTCTTACATGTCTATATCATCTACCTGTCTATTACTCTCACATGTCTTTATCAACTACCTGTCTATTACTCCCAACTGTCTCTATCATCTACCTGTCTATTACTCCCACCTGTCTATATCAACTACCTGTCTATTACTCTGTCCTGTCTATTACTCTTACATGTCTTTATCAACTACCTGTCTATTACTCCCACCTGTCTATTACTCTCACATGTCTTTATTAACTACCTGTCTATTACTCCCAACTGTCTCTATCATCTACCTGTCTATTACTCCCAACTGTCTATATCAACTACCTGTCTATTACTCCCACCTGTCTATTACTCCATCTTGTCTATACCAGCTACTTGTCTATTACTTCATCTTGTCTATATTCACTACCTGTCTAGTCTATTCCTCCCCCTATATTGACTACCTGTCTATTACTTCCACCTGTCTATTACTTCCACCTGTCTATTACTCCATCTTGTCTATATTGACTACCTGTCTATTACTCCCACCTGCCTTTTACTCCATCTTGTCTATACCAGCTACCTGTCTATTACTTCATCTTGTCTATATTGACTACCTGTCTATTACTCCCACCTGTCTATTACTATCAACTACCTGTCTATTACTCCGACCTGTCTATATCATCTACCTGTATATTACTCCCACCTGTCTATTACTATCAACTACCTGTCTATTACTCCGACCTGTCTATATCATCTACCTGTCTATTACTCCCAACTGTCTCTATAATCTACCTGTCTATTACTTCTGCCTGTCTATATCAACTATCTGTCTATTACTCTGTCCTGTCTATTACTCTTACATGTCTTTATCAACTACCTGTCTATTACTCTCACATGTCTCTATCATCCACCTGTCTATTACTCCAACCTGTCTATATCAACTACCTGTCTATTCCTCCCACCTGTCTATATCATCTACCTGTATATCACTCCCACCTGTCTATTACTCTCACATGTCTATATCATCCACCTGTCTATTACTCCCACCTGTCTATATCAACTACCTGTCTATTACTCCCACCTGTCTATATCATCTACCTGTATATCACTCCCACCTGTCTATTACTCTCACATGTCTATATCATCCCCCTGTCTATTACTCCCACCTGTCTATATGATCTACCTGTCTATTACTCCCAACTGTCTCTATCATCTCCCTGCATATTCCTCCCACCTGTCTATTACTCCCCCCTGCCTATAACATCTACATTGTACCTGTCTATCACTCCCACCTGTCTATATCAACTACATGTCTATTACTCCCACCTGTCTATATCAACTACCTGTCTATTACTCCCACCTTTTATATCAACTACCTGTCTATTACTCCCACCTGTCTATATCAACTACCTGTCTATTTCATCTACCTGTCTATTACTCCCACCTGCCTATAACATCTACATTGTACCTGTCTATCCCTCCCACCTGTCTATATCAACTACATGTCTATTACTCCCCCCTGTCTATATCAACTACCTGTCTATAACACCCCCCAATCTCTATCAATTACCTGGCTATTACTCCCACACATCTATATCAACTACCTGTCTATTATACCCACCAATCTCTATCAACTTCCTGTCTTTTCCTCCCGCCTGTCTATATCATTTACTTGTCTATGACTCCCACCTGTCTATTACTCTAACATGTCTTTATCAACTACCTGTCTATTACACCCACCTGTCTATATCAACTACCTGTCTATTACACCCACCAATCTCTATCAACTTCCTGTCTTTTCCTCCCGCCTGTCTATTACTTTAACATGTCTTTATCAACTACCTGTCTGTTACTCTGTCCTGTCTATTACACCCACCTGTCTATATCAACTACCTGTCTATTTCATCTACCTGTCTATTACTCCCACCTGTCTATATCAACTCCCTGTCTATTACACCCACCAATCTCTATCAACTTCCTGTCTTTTCCTCCCGCCTGTCTATATCATTTACTTGTCTATGACTCCCACCTGTCTATTACTTTAACATGTCTTTATCAACTACCTGTCTATTACTCTGTCCTGTCTATTACACCCACCTGTCTATATCAACTACCTGTCTATTACTCCCACACATCTTTATCAACTACCTGTCTATTACACCCACCAAACTCTATCAACTACCTGTCTTTTACTCCCACCTGTCTACATCATCTACCTGTCTATGACTCCCACCTGTCTATTACTCTAACATGTCTTTATCAACTACCTGTCTATTACACCCACCAAACTCTATCAACTACCTGTCTTTTACTCCCACCTGTTTACATCATCTACCTGTCTATTACTCCCACCTGTCTATTACTCCCAACTGTCTCTATCATCTACCTGTCTATTACTCCCACCTGTCTATATCAACTACCTGTCTATTACTCTGTCCTGTCTATTACTTTTACATGTCTTTATCAACTATCTGTCTATTACTCCCACCTGCCTATTACTCTCGCATATCTTTATCAACTACCTGTCTATTACTCTCACATGTCTCTATCATCTACCTGTCTATTACTCCCACCTGTCTCTATCATCTACCTGACTATTACTCCCACCTGTCTATATCAACTACCTGTCTATTACTCCCACCTGTCTATATCAACTACCTGTCTATTTCATCTACCTGTCTATTACTCCCACCTGTCTATATCATCTGCCTGTCTATTACTCCCACCTGTCTATATCAACTACCTGTCTATTACTCCCACCTGTCTCTATCAACTACCTGTCTTTTTTGCCTACCTGTCTATATCAACTACCTGCCTATTACTCCCACCTGTCTGTTTATATCTACTTGTCTATGATAAATTGTTATGAAGTTTTACCTGTGTGGTAATGCTGTCTTTTGATTAAAATGAAATAAACAACTGTTAATATGTAAAATTTTTACTCTGTATTTCCAGTCAGAGAGGAAACATATTTACCTGGATGCCATAGAAACACTGCTCAAGGTAAGACGACTATTATAATCGTTACAGGTAAGATATGTTATACTGCTGAAGGTAAGGCTGACTATTATAATCGTTACAGGAAAGATATGTTATACTGCTGAAGGTAAGGCTGATCAATTGTTACAGGTAAGATATGTTGTACTGCTTAAGGTAAGACTGACTATTATAATCATTACAGGTAAGATATGTTATACTGCTGAAGGTAAGACTGACTATTATAATCGTTACAGGTAAGATATGTTATACTGCTGAAGGTAAGACTGACTATTATAATTGTTACAGGTAAGATATGTTATACTGCTGAAGGTATATCGCGTAAGACTGACTATTATAATCGTTACAGGTAAGATATGTTATACTGCTAAAGGTAAGGCTGATCAATTGTTACAGGTAAGATATGTTATACTGCTGAAGGTAAGGCTGACTACTATAATCATTACAGGTAAGATATGTTATACTGCTTAAGGTAAGGCTGACTATTATAATCGTTACAGGTAAAATATAATTTACATTATGGGTGTATTGACAGATGAGGCTAGTACCTGTTCTATGTTAGTGTGTACACTACTTAAGCCTGAATTTGTGAGATAAACAGGACCGTATTTTGTTTCTGCTGTAGAAAGGTGCTGCCTACCCTTGTTTCTGCTCAGAGAATCGACTGAAATTACTGAGGAAAGAAGCTACAAGAAGGAAAGAGATTCCAAAATATGACAACAAATGTAGAAGTTTATCAACGGATGAAATTGAAGAAAAAAAGTCCCAAGGTATTCCATGGGTGGTACGATTGAGGGTAAGTCTAATTAGATAAAAGTACAGTCCTCACGCTGTAGAGTTCATTATGAAACAATACCGTATTACAGTTGTTACCTGTTGTAAAATGATGCTACTCTTAGTCTCCACATGGTGATCTGATCTCTATGTCTGTCCCTAAATCTTCTGGTTGTGATTTCTCAAACCAGATAAATGGCTGAGGCATACACAAAACAAACATATTCTGTAGTCACTACAATATTTAATGAGTGTATTAACCTGTAGTTAATACATGTATGTGTACAAATGTACTTCAGCGCTAACATTTTGTCAGGTTAAATTTCATTGATTTGTTCCATGAACAAAATTGTATTTAAATCCAGTATAACACTGTTAATAGTCAATACATATATAGCACTACCTACCCTGATAGCTTATTAACTGATAAGAAGAGTAACAAATGTGGTTATTTTTTCTTTACATTTTCCTTAGGTCATGAATGTAATGAAATTGAACCCTTGAATTGCCTTATATATAAATTGTGTTTCTTGAAGTTTAGCACCCATATTTGACATTCTAATCCTAATGACATGGTCAAAGTCCACACTAATATATACTGAATGTGAATAAAATGCCTTCTCCTATTTTGGGGTATGTTGGCAGGTTGATGACTGGAGCCAGTCGTGGGACGACAAAGTGTATGGACACATAGTCATTAACCATAATGAAGGAGATCCGGTGAGTAGGATGTGTACCACTTCTCTGTGACCTCCTTCACCTACACACATACACTGTACTGTGTACCACTTCTCTGTGACCACCTACACCTACACACATACACTATACTGTGTACCACTTCTCTGTGACCTCCTACACACATACACTATACTGTGTACCATTTCTCTGTGACCTCCTACACACATACACTATACTGTGTACCATTTCTCTGTGACCTCCTACACACATACACTATACTGTGTTCCATTTCTCTGTGACCTCCTACACACATACACTATACTGTGTACCATTTCTCTGTGCCCTCCTACACACATACACTATACTGTGTACCACTTCTCTGTGACCTCCTACACCTACACACATACACTATACTGTGTACCATTTCTCTGTGACCACCTACACCTACACACATACACTATACTGTCTACCACTTCTCTGTGACCCCCTACACACATACATTATACTGTGTACACCTTCTCTGTGACCACCTACACACATACACTATACTGTGTACCACTTCTCTGTGACCTCCTACAGACATACACTATACTGTGTACCACTTCTCTGTGACCTCCTACAGACATACACTATACTGTGTACCACTTCTCTGTGACCTCCTACAGACATACACTATACTGTGTACCACTTCTCTGTGACCTCCTACACCTACGCACATACACTATACTGTGTACAACTTCTCTGTGACCACCTACAGCTACACACATACACTATACTGTCTACCACTTCTCTGTGACCACCTACACACATACACTATACTGTCTACCACTTCTCTGTGACCTCCTACACCTACACACATACACCCTACTGTGTACCACTTCTCTGTGACCTCCTTCACCTACACACATACACTATACTGTGTACCATTTCTCTGTGACCTCCTACACCTACAGACATACACTATACTGTGTACCACTTCTCTGTGACCTCCTACAGACATACACTATACTGTGTACCACTTCTCTGTGACCTCCTACACCTACGCACATACACTATACTGTGTACAACTTCTCTGTGACCACCTACAGCTACACACATACACTATACTGTCTACCACTTCTCTGTGACCTCCTACACCTACACACATACACCCTACTGTGTACCACTTCTCTGTGACCTTCTACACCTACACACATACACTATACTGTGTACTGGTCCCACACCACCTACACACATACACTATACTGTCTACCACTTCTCTGTGACCCCCTACACGCATACATTATACTGTGTACCATTTCTCTGTGACCACCCACACACATACGCTATACTGTGTACTGGTCCCACAGATCCACTATACTGTGTACTGGTCCCACAGATCCACTATACTGTGTACTGGTCCCACAGATCCACTATACTGTGTACTGGTCCCACACCACCTACACACATACACTATACTGTCTACCACTTCTCTGTGACCCCCTACACACATACATTATACTGTGTACCATTTCTCTGTGACCACCCACACACATACACTATACTGTGTACCACTTCTCTGTGACCTCCTACACCTACACACATACACCCTACTGTGTACCACTTCTCTGTGACCTCCTTCACCTACACACATACACTATACTGTGTACTGGTCCCACAGATACACTATACTGTGTACTGGTCCCACACATACACTATACTGTGTACTGGTCCCACACATACACTATACTGTGTACTGGTCCCACACATACACTATACTGTGTACTGGTCCCACACATACACTATACTGTGTACTGGTCCCACACATACACTATACTGTGTACTGGTCCCACACATACACTATACTGTGTACTGGTCCCACACATACACTATACTGTGTACTGGTCCCACACATACACTATACTGTGTACTGGTCCCACACATACACTATACTGTGTACTGGTCCCACACATACACTATACTGTGTACTGGTCCCACACATACACTATACTGTGTACTGGTCCCACACATACACTATACTGTGTACTGGTCCCACACATACACTATACTGTGTACTGGTCCCACACATACACTATACTGTGTACTGGTCCCACACATACACTATACTGTGTACTGGTCCCACACATACACTATACTGTGTACTGGTCCCACACATACACTATACTGTGTACTGGTCCCACACATACACTATACTGTGTACTGGTCCCACACATACACTATACTGTGTACTGGTCCCACACATACACTATACTGTGTACTGGTCCCACACATACACTATACTGTGTACTGGTCCCACACATACACTATACTGTGTACTGGTCCCACACATACACTATACTGTGTACTGGTCCCACACATACACTATACTGTGTACTGGTCCCACACATACACTATACTGTGTACTGGTCCCACACATACACTATACTGTGTACTGGTCCCACACATACACTATACTGTGTACTGGTCCCACACATACACTATACTGTGTACTGGTCCCACACATACACTATACTGTGTACTGGTCCCACACATACACTATACTGTATACTGGTCCCACACATACACTATACTGTGTACTGGTCCAACACATACACTATACTGTGTACTGGTCCCACACAATCAATATATGTAGTCCCTTAGAATTTCACCATTACCCTGTGTAACTGAATTCAAGTTAAATCTGTGGTCAGTTTATATATTGTAATTTTATTAATAAAATATTTCTAGAGTTATGATCTACTGCATTTTACTACAATTTTTTATCTCCTATACCTATACACAAGCTTACAACCGTTATGTATGTATATTGATTACTAGCCTGATATTGGCTTAAAACTATAGTAAAACACGTCAATGGTATAACAAACCCTTAGAATTAGCTTGCTGTTGATATCATGAGAATCTCATATATATTTATACTTCGACCTCTTTACTTGCAAAGGTCCCTCCATCATGTGTTTGGCCCATGCAGTTTTTATTTTTGATATTCAGAGTTATTTTTCCAGGTACTGCTGAAGGCAGATGGGTATCCCACCTACCACTTTGCAAACGTTGTGGACGATCATCACATGAAGATTACACATGTGCTGCGAGGAGAAGTAGGTCAATAGTTCATAGGTCAAAAAGGGTTGATCAGATGTCATAAAGTAGGGCACAGAAGTGAGTCATGTGATTAATGGAGTATTTGGTCATTAGATGATAGATCAACATCATCATTATTTTAATAAATTTTATTTACATTTTTTAAGGAAGAAATTTAAAGTTATTTATATAAAGAAATGAAATATGTAATTTTATTGTCTTTTATTTTGTGTTACTGTTTATACATGAACCTTGCTGAAATACAGTGTAAAATCAAATGACAAAAAACATGATTAGGGGTTTCAAAGAACTTGGTCAAAACAAATATTTTGCTTACTAATCATGAGTGATGTCAGATACACTCTGTTCTGTCCTGAGCACAACAAAAGTGTCATTACCATAAATTCATTTCGTGGAATGTCTACTACATTTCAGCTATAAAATAATAGGAAATTTTGATCATTTGATTGGCCGTTTTGTTGAGTTTAACTTAAGAACTATGATGCACATCTCTATTATTTTCAACTTTCTAAAGATATTTATTACAACAGGAATGGCATTCCTCGACCCCTAAACACCTGGCCTTATACCAGGCCTTCGGCTGGGACCCACCCGCATTAGCTCACCTTCCTCTCATATTGAATCCGTGAGTATGACCCCTCTTCGTACGGAAATATTGCATAATCACCTAAGTCCAGATTGTCTATAAGATAAAATGCAGAAATATTCACATAGTCTTATTGTTTACAGAAATGGGACTAAGTTATCAAAGCGGCAGGGAGATATCGGTGTGGACTATTTCAAGGTAATACTGGATACAGACTGGACTTTGATGAGTGTTTTTTCTACATTACCTAAACATTTCAAACACATTTTTAAATCTATGGTTTTGATACTGTATGGTTCATGGTCCTGTAAAAGTAGAAATTTTAGCTATGTGAAAATATTTAGTGGGGCCGTGGTGGCCGAGTGGTTAAGGTGTCTGACCATCTTGATCACTATAACCCTCTACCATTTGGTTGTGCGTTCCAGGCCTACATGGGGCAGTCGCCAGATACTGGCCGCAGGTCTGTGGTGGAACTCTGGCTTTCCTACACCACCAAAACACAGCATGTCCTTAAATGACCATAGATGTTATTAAGGCGTAAAATGCAAACAAACCAAACCACACCAAGTGAAAATATTTTTGTTTCATGTTGTGTTTATCATATGAGCAAGAAAAGTTCTCCACACGCGAAAATCTATTCATGTTTCATATAGATTATACATTTCTAGAATATATAGGCTTCTGAAGCATTGCCAATGCAAACATTTCCACATTGCGATCAGTTTAAAGAGTCATAATGTGGAAATTTCCACAGTGCGATCAGTTTAAAGAGTCATAATGCAAAAGTGTCCACATGGTTATTCAGAAAAAAGATGTACACCTTTTATAGAGTATGTATACAGAAACAGGTTTATGACTGAGATACTGGACACATACCATCAGAGGTCCTTTTACCCTTGTTTTAATGTAACTGGTTCCTTCTGAAAACGCAACAATCTATTTCTACAGCCAGGATGGATTAGATTTCACCTCACATAAATTGAAGTGCCAGTTAACTTAGGCCATGGCATGGTGTTCAACCATCTTTCTCTCATTCCTGTGCATGATAGAACTATTCAGGACAAGAAAGGGGTGTAACAAATGTCTATCTTGCACCCATTTAACATGGTTGACAATGGGACAATGGATGTGGAAATAATAATGCTGCTTTGTGGTTTTTGAGCTTTTTCTGGTGATTGAAATGAGAGAAAGCTACTTATTCATGCCCATGGGTGAAGGGTAGGGTAATTCCAGCCTCAGGATTTTCAAATTGGTGCTAAACCCTCGACAAACCTCTGGTTTTACACAATATAAGTAAAACCCTTGGGTAAAATTTCCCGATCCTGCACCACTGGGCATGAAAGAGTCTTGTGGTATCTATTCAGTATTATGATTTTTGTCCTTTGGATTTCCATGTTGAAAGGCTATCAAGTTTGTTTCAAATCTTGAACCTTTTTAAGGATACAAATGTCAGACATGTTAAAACTTAATTAGTCATTAATATAAAAATGTTCTTATTCCTGCACTCATAAAGTTTAGTGCATTTTCGAATTTAAATGGATTAGCACTTTTATACATCAACACACTCACAATATATCCAATATCAAACAATAAACAGAAATTTCAATTAGCAAAGTCTTATTTTATTGCAATTGATTTAGTCAGAAAAGCACATATTCTTCGTCCTCTTTTTAATAGTTCCCTTAAAATTGAAATTTGAAGTTGTTAGCTAACTTTGTTGTCTGTTACAGAGGAAAGGATACGCTCCATTGGTGCTGTTAAATTACCTCACTTTGACAGGAGGGGGGTTCAAAACGTCCGCCACATATCCAGTCTGTTTCCCTCTGGAACAGCTCATACAGAAGGTAACATGCTGCATCTGATAATAGCTTCTGCTTAGTGTTACTACCTGTATGTGGATAAATATTATAGCCGTACTGTTTTGGTTGTTTACAGTCTCAGATAATAAATATGTGTTTGCACGTCAAACACCTATTAACTGTTGAAAGTTATGTTATGGATATAAACCTCAAACTGTCCAATAAGTGAGAGAAAGGACAAGTGTTGAGGCTCGTTCCTTCTCTCACTTATTAGACAGTTTGGGGCTGATATTTAACTTAAAAAATAGTCCCCTCTGAGTGCCTCTTTTGCTGATTCTTTATTGGGGTTCACTGACCCAATTAACTTATTGGACAGCATAAGGTGAACCTATTGTCACACTCATGCAAACCTCATGTATGATTTCAGATGACATCACAACTGTATTTTAAGAGTGTCATATATATATACCTGCTGATAAATAAATGAAATAAATACAGCTTTTGTACTGAAGACAGCTTTCATAAATTCGGCTTCTTTTGAATCATTCAGGAAATATGTCTACATTATTTATATGTGTTTAGTGTAGACTAGGTTTGACTTATTACTGAGTGTGAGCTAGTCCTTATATAGAGGATATACCACGTATACTTTTCATCATAAAAGCAATCACACCGTCTAATGTTGTACATGATTCAAATAAAAAAATATTTCATTCTTTTAACAGTTCCATTTAAAGAATGTGACTTCCCATTCTGGTCGACTAGGCCCACATAATTTAGAAATATTGAGCAGACAGTATTTACTGGCAAAGCTTGAGACAAAGGAAGGTGAAAAGGAGCTTGTTCAACATACTATAGGGCTGATCAGAGACCACTACAAAAACAGGTACCTATCTCTATGTAGGGACTTTCCATCTTCCCTGGCTTATGTAAAGTCCACTGCAGTCATAGCAGTATAAATGGGACTAGGATTCCCATGGTTGTGACACAATCTGTATTGTGATGTCATAATGTAACATTGGAGATCACAAGCTGGTATCTGTTACATTTGTAGCTCAATGAGCTTATGCCACGGCGCAGTGTCTGTCGTCAACTTTTTACTTTAAACAAAATCTGCTGAATAACCAAGAGGCCTAGGATGATGACATCTGGCCAGTAGCATGCTGAGATGAAGGGCTACCAAGTTTGTTCACATGAATGACCTTTACCCACTTTCAAGGTCACTGGGGTCAAATGAATAAAAAACCCTTTAAACAACTTTTTTCTGAATAACCATTATGCCCAGGGGATAATGTCTTACCATAGCATGCTGGGAGGAAGGGCTACAGAGTTTATTCAAACAAACAACATTAATCGACTTTCAAGGTCACAGGGATCCAATGGTAAAACAATTTTCAAACAATTTTTTCATAATAACCAAAAGGCCCAGGATGGTGGTAGATGGACTGTTGGGGTCAATATTGTATGTTATGGATCATTGTATCTTTGAAACAGTTGAGATCCCTACCCCATAACCATATATAGTATTGCTGAGCATCAAGAGATAAACACAATCATGATGTAAAAATAGGCCCTGGGGTATTTCCTTACCCCTAGGGACTCAGATTCTGAGTTATATCTTTGAAACAGTTGAGATCCCCACCCAATAGGCATTGATATCATCGCTGGGCATTGAGAGATAAACACGCGATTGATGTAAAAATAGGCCCTGGGGACTTTCTCCACCCCTAAGGAGTTAGTTTCCGGGTAATATCTTTGAAACAATTGAGATCCCTACCCCATAACCATATATAGTATTGCTGAGCATCAAGAGATAAACACAATCATGATGTAAAAATAGGCCCTGGGGTATTTCCTTACCCCTAGGGACTCAGATTCTGAGTTATATCTTTGAAACAGTTGAGATCCCCACCCAATAAGCATAGATATCATCGCTGGGCATTGAGAGATAAACACAAGATTGATGTAAAAATAGGCCCTGGGGACTTTCTCCACCCCTAAGGAGTTAGTTTCCGGGTAATATCTTTGAAACAGTTGAGATCCCCACTCCATAACCATACAAAAAATTGCTTGGCATGAAAAATCTAATACAGATATGCTACAAGAATTGGCTTTGGGGTCTGGCATATTCCCTTGGATCTCATTTTGGAGAATATTTTTCCATTATTGCTTAGATATTCAAGTGAACGATACAGGCCCTCTGGGCCTCTTGTTTTTAACACTCAGAACACTTTCGTTGATTATATGTTGTTAATTTTATCTTTATCATTTCTCATAAAAGACCCACTAGGTATGGTTTTCTTTCAGAAAGGAGTTATCAAAGCTATAATCATGCTGTAACAGTTTCCTATACTTAGTTACAGTGTACACTTAGTTGGCAGTGGTACAGGGAACCTTAACCCTTTCACCACTGTGGAGCACAATGGACTCATCCAGATAGAGCAATGGTAGAGTCTAGTAAAGTTACCTGGGGTGAAAGGGTTAAATAACCTTGATGTATTATTTTTCATGTAAACTGTAGTGGTGTTTTAATGAGCATGTCATTTATGAATATTCATGTCAATGATTTCCCCTGTTTCAATTGGCTAAAAAGTAAATATGTACCTTAGGGGGCTTGAAAAAAGTTAATTCTGTGATAGAATACATGATGTTTTCATGACTAATTCTTTTTCAGATTGTCAGATGAAGAACTGGGGAAGCATATTTATGATGAGGAACACATCTGTTATGTGCTGAAATGGGCCTTACCGGTAACTATTAAACAGTTTCTATGTTATAGCAGAGAAAGCAATCAATAAGCAAAGCCAACAGCACCGTAGGTGTCATAAGGTGGTCAATTGTATATCTGGACGAACAAATGTTTACAAATCTGTTTAAAGCACTGTATCTAGAGCATCTAGAGTATGCTGGAAGTGTTTGGAGTCCACACAAGATTATAAACATAAAAAAAGATAGAAAATATCCAAAGAAGATCTACAAAACTGCTCCCTGTTTTTAAGAATATTAGCTATAACGAGAGACTACACTGGATCCAAATTTGGGGAAGAGTCTAATCGATTTCGCTGCACTTGGAAAACCTCTGGGACGCAGTAAAAAATTACTCAAACAACATTACCATTGAAATGTTAGAAGACATTACTTTACTCAGAGAGGCCTGGAAAAGTCTCCCTCAGGATGTTATTTCATTTCATATTATGTTTAATGTTGAGAAAAAATTCTGGAAAGATCTCGAGATGAAATTTATCATACACCATTTTATAAATAGACTAAATTTTTCTTTTACAACAATGTATTTCACATTATATTGATGTGGATATAGAGGCAGTGATGCCTGGTTATGCAAAAATCCTATTAAATCCTATTAAATCCTATTAAACAAGCTCTACAATAAAGCAGATCCTGTATATACCCTTTGTGTATATGGTCTGAATCGTAGTAACAAGTCCCAGTAGTCTGGTACACTGTCTGCTGTCAGCCATTTAAACATTGAACCAGTTCACTCATTACATTTCAAACCAGGTAAATCCAACACAATTTATACTCTAATTTCACTTCCTTCCTTGCTGTTTCTTAGCCTCTTTTTCCTTGCTGATTATCTACCCTTCTCACTCATTGTTGAAAATTTCTGTCAGATTGCATTGAATATTCTCATAGAGTGTACCTGCCCTAGTTTATTTTCTATTTTTTTTATTTATTTTTTCATTTTAAGTTGATATGTCTGCATCTTGGTAAAATGATATAAGTGCTACATTTTGTTTTCAATTGCAGGAAAGAATCACAAGGCCTGAGGATCTCCTTGGAGAACAATTCATCTTTCTGTGGGAAATGCCTGATAAAACTGATATCGCCGACTTCTTAGAAAAGACTGGTGCAGACTGTGGCATAATTTTAAACGCTGGCTTGGAAGTTGTTAAAACCATGGAACAGGTTGACGTTGAAAGTATTCATACAGCACTTATCAAGAAAGCAAAAAGTTCAAAAATTGGAGTGAACAAGTTTATGCCGGTGCTGAGATATGTCCTGTTTTCTACAGTGGTAAGCATTTTTTCCCCCATTCATCATCAAAGTTTTCAATCCTGATGAAACCTCTGGCTAAGTTTGTTGTTAGTATGTCGGACACAGGAAGAAACTATGTATACTGGTGATGGGTATGCATGCTACAAGTACTACCCCTTACCTTATTAACCCTGGGCAGACTGTACAGCAGATAGTATAAGGCATCATTTACTTTGTTAGGTAAAACACTCTTACATTGGTGACAAAAATCATTTTCTTTATTTATCCATGATTTTGCCTGAAGATCAGCGTTTCTTAAAAAATGTCATACATGTAAAAAAAAATAATCAAATTTTCTTTCATGTAACAATAACCATTACTAGTTTGTAATATAAGCACACACATGTACTGTAATACATACTGTTATTTTAAATGAATCTAAAAAGAGAGTAATCTGGACTGTCTGTTATTTTAAATGAATCTAAAAGGAGAGTAATCTGGACTGTTTTTTAACCCCCATTGCAAGTCTTAACGATTTTTTTGTGTGTTTACTTAAAATTGTCAGAATTTAGAAATTTATCAATTGAAGCTTGCATTGTCCCCTATTCCTGCAGTACATGCATTACTGTGGAAATATTTTACTACTCTACAGCTGATCATGTGATGTGGAATTCAATTGTCCCCATGCATGCATGAGTATCCAATATTGAATTTTTGTATTTGTATATCGGTAATTGTTTCATTTTGCATTACAGGAAGGACCAAGAGTTGGTGAAATAATTTCTGCTTTGGGAAGGAAACAAAGTTTGTACCGTCTACAGCGGGCTTTAGACCTCATTGATACCAGTGCTGTACAGGGATAACAGATGTTATTGATACCACATCTTGATCATATTAACCCGACTCCTGTTCATCATAGTTGTTTACGCCTGTAACACTCACTGTGAAGTCGTAATGCTTCTTGGCTGTTCATTGACTACATACAAATCATTGTGACGTTGCTCCCATAGTCAGGATGGGTACATTTGCCGTGTGTCTGCATCCTTTTCTTTAAGAAGCCATCATAATCAAATTTACTAAAGTGTCTGTCGATTTCTAGAGTCATGATATTTGCCTTTAAGCTTTCAGTGGTAGATGGCTATCAAGTCTGTCCTCAATTTCAAAGTCACATGGAGTCATATGTGTAAAATAAACACAATGACTTCTCAACAGAACTATAAAGCTGTATATAGACATGCTATTTGTTCCAGGGATGAGTGTAGTTGGTCTGGGATGTCTAGACAACCCTTCTCATTTCACATATAAGAATAAGAGAATGAAACCCTCCCTCCCACCACCACCACCACCCACCCCTTAAAAAAGGACTACCATTTATCAGCTTTCTAGGAGGTCACATGGAGTCAATATGTAAAACAAAAATCAAAGCAACTAATGCAGAACTCTGAGGCTTGGAGAGACATTTTTTTTGCCTTGTAAGTTGGGTGGAAGATTACCTTTGATACAGGTCACAGATCTGTTAAATGCATTAAAGTAACAAAAAAGGGAAGAAAAGAGGGTTATTTTTTGAGAATTTGAGTCTTTTTCATGTTAAGTTTTGATGAAAAATAAAATATACAATGACAGTTTCAAGTCTTCATGTATTTTTTTCTTGATATTTAAAAATCATTCAGTCACAGTTATCATAATGCACTTTATATGTGATTAATCAGTATAAAGCACATAGGTGAGTTTATGCTGTGTTGCTTATGTCATGGTGCAGCATCTGTCGTGCTTAAAGCCCAACAAAGATTAAGAACGAAAATGACTGATCTTCTTTCAAGGTCACAGGGGTCAAAAGTGTCAAATAATTCAAACAACTTCTGAAGAAGAACTGAAAGTTATAGAATCTTAATATGTGACAGGTAAGAGTCCAACAAAGTTTGAGAACGGAAATGACCTTGACCTTCTTTCAAGGTCACAAGGGTCAAAAGTGTCAAATAATTAAAACAACTTCTTCTGAAGAACTGAAAGGTATAGAATCTTAATATGTGACTGGTAAGAGTCCAACAAAGTTTGAGAACGAAAATTCCCTTGACCCACTTTCAAGGTCACAGGGGTCAAAAGTGTCAAATACTTAAAAACAACTTTTTAAGAACTGAAAGGTATAGAATCATATTATTTGATTGGTTGCTTCTTGCTTGGCTTGCGAAGATGAATTGTACCTGAAAAGGAATACCTTGGTATTTTGGTTAACATTGATGAATAAACTAAGCAGAAAATTACAGATATTTCAAATATTTAAGAGTCATATGAGGTTCAGAATAAGTTTCTACTCCAAACCAGCAGTAGTTTCTAGTTTCTAGCTTAGAAGAAATATATTTTAAAATTGACCAGGTCATGATGATCATTTTGGGCATCTGATCCTGCCGTTAGTACGCCCCAGAAACAGGAGTTGGCAAACAAACAACATATGGCTGTTGGTGATTTGATTTTGGCCGCTTAATGATTTTGATACTAAATATTAAACGTCATTATTTACTGTCTCGGGACGTTTTATTTGTAAATATTATCAACTTAGCTGATTGAACAAGATTAGCCTTTCCGTTCACTTAACCTGTCGTTCCGGGATTTAGTAAGTCCCCATCACGAGTTCCACGTCAATATATGGACTTCCTGTTTCACTTTCGGCAAGATTTGACATTACTCGCAAGTGGACAGTACTAGGCCTATCGTGGAAATCTGGAAACGTTGAGAAGTTGGACATGTCAGCGATAACAAAGGCGAGAATCCGGGTTGATGTGGTTAGTGACATCATCTGACCATGGTGTTGGGTCGGGAAAAGAAAAATGGAGCAAGCGATGGAAATTTTGAAAGATAAGTACGAATTTACCATTCGCTGGGAGCCGTTTTTCCTCCGATCCGATACACCTCCCGAGGGTAGACCCAAACCGGCAGCCTACATGGACCCTTCCAACCCAAGGTATTTCATTCAGTGTCTGAATCGTGTCTGTATGATGAACATATATCTAACCCACATATTCAGTCAATAGCAGATGGTAGAACTTATGAAATAAACATACAAACAAATAACTATTGCACTGCAATCCATATTTTAAAGCTTACTTACGTTATAAGTCAACATAGGCTATAAAAAAAGTATAATGGGTAAAATATTTTTTCAACACTTGTCATGCCGTATTGTCATGATGTTTCGTCAGTAATTTTCCTCAAATAAATGACATTGGCATGATTCAAGCATGATTTTGTGAAAGTTAATTTCTATTACTGTAAAAGGTAATATAATTAACCATATGAGCATTACCATAGTCTACTCTGTATTAGCCCAAGATTTCCATATCAGCCTGAGGGGTTGAAGGCCTGAGGGCTGATATGGGTCGAGGGCTAATATGGAGTAGGATATGGAAATGATCTTATGTTAAACTTTCATCATATACTGCTCTAGTGTATACGATAAATTTATATTTCATGAGCTTAACTATGATCACATTCTACCATAAACAGAATAGCAAATACAGACAGATATGCAGTGTGTACACTACCAGTTTGAGGTGGGATATTTTCAGAAAGGTGTTGAACTGGAAGTTTAACCGATACGTTATACTGTTGGGTAGATATGGTGCATAACGGGCAGATATTGGTAAGTGCCAGATGTGGCCTATGCACAGCTATCATCACACATACAAAACAACCCACACCATGCATACAAATTGATAATTAATTTCATCTCATAATGACAAAATGAAAAAGTTATTTCTGTGTAAAATTTTAAAACTTGTCTTCCAGACTTCAAGGCCTGATAAAGGCTGGAGCTGCTGTAGGACTGATATTTGCGAATAAGAGCCCGATTTTTCCGAGCACCCTAAAACCTCATGCATTGATGGAGTTTGCCAAAGAAAAAAATGATGGAGTCTATCAAAATGACGTTGCAGAAAAACTGTTCAAGGTTTGACATTTTAAAAATTTAAAGCAAGAACAATCTTGATTTGATAAATACTTCAAATTAAATAAAGTCAAATTAACAATACAGACTTCAAATTGGGTGATGAATCTGGAGATGTAAGTTGCACTAAGGCCTGCATCCTTCTAGAAACTTAGCCTTCTTACAGGTCTTTTTATAGAAATTGAAATGCTGGTCATGTTCATCCAGTGTGTCTGATGAAAATGTTAGATATAAAGTGTGCTACAACATTTTGAAGGATGAAAATGTACAATGAGAACATTCATATATAAATTAATTGATGACCAAATTGCTTTCATACAGCAATTGTCACATACCAGTACTTAAGGAGGCTCCACCCTTTCACAATTAACCAGCGGAATTGATTGAAGCTTTCACATAATGGTTATGCAACTATGTAGAGGTGACTTTGTGAAAATCTAAGCATTCTGATAGACTAAGGATTTTTTGGGAAAAAGTATGAAAAAAATGGAGTTTTCGTCAGTTTTAATATTTTCCATTTTTAGCTCACCTGGCCCTTATGGCATGGTGCGGCGTCCGGCCAGCTTCAACTTTTTACTTTAAACAACTTCTTCTCAATAACCAAAAGGCCCAGGGAACTGATATTAGGCCTGTAGCATGCTGGGATGAAGGGCTACCAAGTTTATTCAAATGAATGACCTTGACCCATTTCAAGGTCACAGGGGTCAAATGTCGTAAAATCTTCAAACCACTTCTCAATAACCAACAGGCCAAGGGTAATGAAATTGGGCCTGTAGCATGCTGGGATGAAAGGCTACAAAGTTTGTTCAAATGAATGACCTTAACCCACTTGCAAGGTCACAGTGGTCAAATGTCGTAAAATCTTCAAACCACTTCTCAATAACCAAAAGGCCAAGGGTAATGAAATTGGGCCTGTAGCATGAAGGGATGAAGGGCTACCAAGTTTGTTCAAATGAATGACCTTGACCCACTATCAACCTAATGGCTTTGTTCGACATTCAAGGTCACATGCGTCATATGTTTAAATCTTTTAATAGGTTCTTATGAATCAAACACTGATATTCTGCCTGTAGGTGTATTTTAGTACACTTTTAAGATTACAAGTGAGATTAATACCAGGTGAGTGATGCAGGCCCATTGGGCCTCTTGTTTTGGTGTGTGGCATCGTTCAGAAAAATAACAACAATAAGATAATGAAAAGAAGCATTGCTAATTAACCCTACAAATATTTTATTTATCACAAAATTCATAAAACATGTCAACAAAGAGTTTTTTATTGAAACTGTGTGGAAAAAAGTGATAATCTGCTAAAAGCAAACAGGACGCAAAGATTCATAAAATAATCAGTGGAAAGTACAACAAAATATACACAATGGCTTAATAATTAATTTAATTTGCATTTTACTATCACTTTGATCATGGCGAGAGTTGTCTCCCTTGAAAAAAGTTGGAACTTTTTGCAGAGGGATACAATTTACACAGTGACAGTTATCTCTTTAAAAAAATATCATTGATGGGAAAAAAATAAAAATAAAATATCAAAAGTGACAATTTATTGTTCTTTTATGGAACCAAGTTACTCTCAATCATTTACACTTTGGACATCATTCCACAGCCTGGAGCGCATGGTATTTTTACATATCGGGCACAGATATGTAATCTGAGGCTGTTGCATGGTATGGTATGCCATCCCAGGTGCACCCACACATGCATTTTCATAGGGATCTTAATATTTTTACAAAAAACACTATTTCAACAGAGTCAGTGCACGACAGTTATAAAAACAATTTAATTGACAGAGCGTTACTCAATTGACAGCGAAAATCAGAACCACCCCGAGCTTGTGAACCTGTGTTAGCATGTGATATACACATGTGAGGTCGGTACACAAAACGTTTGCATTACATGTGCTTCATAGATAACCTTCTGAAAGTCGTCTGGTCTCACGTCACTGTCTTTCCGTGAGTCAGTTTATGTCTTTGTATCAGAATCTATGTGTTTTTTGAAGTACCTGTGATTACACTTTTCCCAGTTGAATAAGTCTCGATATCGGGTGTTGACATATCATCGTCATGCACATATACTATTGTTTACCCGGTATAAGTATAATTCACACTACCCATTGAAATGCCCGATACGCAATACGGAAACAACGACACAATGATAAGACAAGAAAAACATGCGTATTGCGAAGGGTGGGAAGTCCTTAGGTAATTTAATAATTGATGGTCAATTCATATTTTTATAAATTATATTCAGATGAATATTTTATTGCACTTTATAATTACAAAGGTAATTTTATGACAAATAACAACAAGAAGTTGACTATAACAATAAATTGAAAATTAAAAATGTGGCAACTGCCTTCGAAGTTCAAGCACGGCCGAGATACCTTTGCTCAAGGGAAACAACTCTTCATTACACTATACACAAACACTAGAGCTAAATACCGCATCTGGGCAGAGATGATATTTGATATAACTATATTGTCCTGTGTTACAGAAATACTTCACAGATGGAGATATTCTGGGGGAGGAGACACTGCTGGGTGTGGCCGAGGAGGTTGGCTTTGAAAGGTCAGAGGTCAACACTTACTTAAATGATAAAGATGCTCTGGAGAAGGTGTTCACATCAGCTTTAAAATGGTCTGCACAAGGGATATCAGGTAAACAAATCTTATTTCTTATTTAGTTTTAAAATGATAAGAAGTAATACATTGTTGTACTAGGTTAAGTGATGGTTTGTTTTATGTCGTCAAAAAAGTGTAGCAGGACTGGGCCTGGTGACGGCTAGTGATTAGGTAGCTCAATGATTAGAGTGTCTGTCTAGAGTTCGCCAGTCCTGTCAGTGACCAGGAAGATCATTTCGTAAGAGTGCAGAGGTACCTGGTTCAAATCCTGGTCTGATCTTGTTTCATTGGCCATTACTCATATGACAACTTATATCAACAGAGATACCGGGGAAATGATATCATTAACAAGAGAAAGGGGTACTTACAAAACCTGAACCTAGAATCGATATAGATTTGAAAAGTGGAATTTGAAATGTACTGTGGTACATATCAACTTCTCAATTAGTGAGTTATTTGAACATCTGTATTACCCATTATTGATTTTTTTCAACTCAACAATGTCATATTTCATTTACTTTATTAAAATCCTAATCTGTTTAAATGTTTACTTCTGTTCAGGTGTGCCAACATTCTACTTCAATGGGAAACAAGTGTTTTCTGGAGCCCAGGAGACTGACACCTTTGTGAAAATGTTTGACACTGTTAATGAAAGGTTTCCGCTACAAACCAACAGTAAGAAGTAGGCTATGTGCAGAACAGGAAGAAATATAAAACACTACTAACATTGATTTACCATTATAATCAAAGGATAAATTTACCATTATAATCAGTACAGAAGGTCAGTAACCAATGCTTAAGTTCTCTGTTCATTAATTACTGTGGAACATGACTTTCTCAATCGACGGGAATTGCATTATTTGGTCCAACATGACAGTGTGTTAATAAACCTAGTCTTATTGTGGTCAATGGAACCTAAATCATTTCGTCAGACAGTAGAACTACTCATTCATGATATACATGAGGGAGTGAACTTTAAAGTCAAATGTTGGTCAAGATTTAGTTTTTGCTGATGATGAAACATTTATGACACATTCATTACCACCTTTGCCAGTTGACTACATTCTTGGTTAGATGGAAGACACTGCAATGCCATGCTACTAAATATTGATGTACTTTTGTGTCATATTGTCAATGTTGTAGATAAATACAAGGTTGGTATAAAGTTGATGTGGTAGACACATGACGGGCGATACACTCAAGTTAGTCAGTTATTGCCTTGATGACATACATACCCCTTACCTTTCATTCTTACTCTGTATTTATCACACGAATACCGTGCTTTGCAATGATTGTACCCATGTTATTCATCACACATTTTCAAAATTAAGACAATAAACATAATGGTAACAAAACATCACAATTGAGACGTTCGGCTTGAAAAGAGATGGAAACAATGACAAAAGGATTGTTGAGAGAGAAATAAATCGTGACATTATTATAGAATACGAACATGTATTAATGGAAATCATGTCTTATCTTGAGTTTACCAAAAATAATGATGATGGATTGGAAGCTTGCTGTGATAACGGTTTATTGTAGAATGTACCTAATATTATTTTGTAATTTTAAAATAAATTATTGTATATATCTGGTTGTTTGGTGTTTAACTAAATTATTTAACCTGTTGTCTCAGTAACAGGTTGATGTAAAATGTATATACAACCAAGGACAGCTCATCATTAGATCAACACCATACCCTCATACATGTGTTCATTTTGAATTGCTGAAAAAAAAGAAAAAAAACAACAACAAGGGAATACCATAGTGTCATTAAAACATTAAATTGAACTCAAAATTGATGAAGGAAAAATATTAAGAAAGGAAAGATTTACATCGAGGCCCTTGAGGACCTAGAAGAAGAATATAAGACCAGGCGTTCTGGTAGAATCTTGTGCTTCATCGACCACATCCGCCATTTCAAACTAGGTCAAATCAAAAGTTATTTCACATCCTCAAAGTGAGAACCAAGGTAGTGACGACAAAACAATAAGGCAGTCTAATGAAAATAGTCTCGGTAGTCTCCACCAACCTGCATCTCAAAAGCCCTGTGTTGTACGGTTGTCTATCAGAGGAAATGCTTCTACGCCTCCTTCCTTGTCTTCAATTAGCATTTTGAAACATCGACGTTTACTCACCGCTGTCGACGTCATACCATTAGTCTACGACTACTATTGACGCATCTACTTGTGTTATTGGTACACACTCCCGCTCTGTAGCATGCGGGCGTTGTCTATCCATCAGTGTTTCAATCTCTACCTGAGAACACAGTGGATTATATTGGGGCCAACATTGGTGATTAATCACTTTTCACCAATGGTTGGCTTACAATGTACTGTCCTCCCTCTTCATTCACACCCAGCTTGATGTTGTCAAGCTTTCCTGGTGGAGCCGTGATATTGCACTCTTACACGACCTTATAACTGAACAAATTCTTAACAGACTGAAGGTAATCATCTGGACCCTTAATCTCTGTTTAGTTCTACGTCGTCCCTCTGTGTATCCCGAGTTTCCTCTGGCCCTGACACAAGACTAAGACATTTTGACAGATAGATATATGGTGTTTGGGCCCCACACCAGACATCTATCTGTCAAAATGTCGTAAGTCTGTAGTCCGACCCAGAGGAAACTCAGGCTACCCTCCATGCTCTCTAACTCTTCCAACAATTCTTAGTTTGGTACATCTCCATTACTTTAGTACTTTTAGATTCTCTACCACCGTAGTCCAAGCTACCGTGTCCTCTGGCGCTGTTAGGAAGTCATGCAGCTAATTGATGTCAGACCATTTTTGGGTCCACTAGTCTGCTTCTGTGGTAATGTTCATTCCCATCAGAGAGTGACCGACATAATGTAGCGTGTCCCGATGTCTTTCTCTAGGAAAAGAAAGGCAAGGGAATACGCTACTTTGTGTGATATGAAGGTCAATATTTTTGATTATGCTGATTAGAAATGGTGTCACTACCCGAGTTCTTGATACGAAGACGCGACATTACTTGAATTCGAACTAGATTTAAATGGCGGGTGTCATAGATGAAGCAGAAGGCTCTTGTCCTTCCGGAACACCTAGTGTTATTTTCATCGTGCTTTTTCAAGGATCTCGATGTAAATCCTTTCTTTGTTCATATTTTGCTCTAGGTTTATCGATTTCAAGTTCGAATGGTTTTGTTAACACTTGGGTATTCTCTTTGCGCTGCTATTTCCCCTAGCCTCTTCTGTGATGTTGTATAGTCACCCACTAACAATCATAGCTGCATTCGGTTGAAGTAGACTCTTGGCATCAACTGGAAATGCTCTGGGATGTGGCAGGCTGTAAGATCTAACAATGTAATTGAATGATTCCCTTTCTTGACATATGTTTCACTAATGAGTTGGCAAATGATGCTTGTTTGAGCTAACCACCAGGAGAAGCCTGTGATCGCTCTGGAATCGAAGTCGACATATTTGTTGGCCACCGTTTACATAAGCAATCGTTCTCTCAACATTCAAAAGAAACAAAGACATTCTGAACTGTTCGAATTATTGTATTCGTCTTCTTTCTCAATCAATGGTAATGTCCTCATCTAGATTATAATTATTCATCGAGTACAAAAGTCGTCATAGCAAATGTTGGAACTTCTTATATAACTATGAAGTTTGTCTCCGGCGTAATGAAGCTCATGTCCTCCTGATACACACACAGGTGCTTGAGGTTGGAAAATATGTGATATGTTATCTGTGGATACAAATTAGGCTGAACGGAGGCATTATACATCTATATAATGGGTGATATTGACAGGCGCTTACTGTTTCCGGGCGTATTCCACACATCTGCGTCCATGATGAGGTGGTTATATGGTTCGTCAATTTTTGACAGATTATTGTGACAAGAGTGCAGTTCCCTTAATAATAAGAAGAATCCTACATTTACCGAAAGTGTATTGACAATAAGATTTGATGAAAGAACATCATAACCAAAAGTTCCGAATTGAGAAGATGAAGAATCTTTTTGCAGTTATCTTTAATGCAATCTAGTGGACCTGTTGAAAAAGAGCCAACTCCCAGAAGTCAAAGAGTGATTGTGTCGAAAACAGATTTAAACAAACACTTTAGCGACCAAGTACAGGTATAAGAACGCCTGCCTGCATCATGCCAACGCTTAACTAAGATCAATGGTCCAGGAATCTTTGAATTAAGAAACTGACACCCAACTTCCCAATCCGACATACTCCTGACATTTTCAGGAAAAATGAACATTTGCTGTCTGGGAGACGGTTAGGTTCTTTAGATTTCAAAGTCAGTGCAACCTTTCATTGTCTTGTACAATAGTGTTACGGTGGACGTGTTTCAGACGTAGCGTATAGCTTAACACGTTTTAAAAAATAGAAATGAATAACGATTTGAAGTGCTATTACGTCTACACGTTACTGACGAAGTCGGTGTTCGATCGACGTGAGGGGGTAAGTGGGCGCTTACCAGGCCCTCGGAAATTCTTAATCCTGCAAAGTCGCAGCGGCTGTGGTCCACGGAACGGCGTTCTTAGTGTACTCCCCGCTGCCCTCCTATGATGCTGATATTGAATTATTAATGATTATCAGTCATTCAATGAAAACAATGGCCACTTTTTTCCATTTCTTCTAAAATTGCCTCACGTATCATAGTTACCTGTAGATACGTTATTCATCTACAGCTCATATATCATATGTCCATGGAGTGAGCAGATATTGTTTATGCATGAAAACTCCGCAAAAATCCAATACACATACGTGTCTGGTACAAGTTCGTGTTTTTTTTTTGGTACAGATAAAGAAGTATAAGTTTTGTCATTATCACTTTTATTTATTTATTGTAGACGTTTTAAATCAGTACACGTGTGTCTTCATACAAATGTTCTCAAACGTCAACTTAAATTACATCGTATTTCATACAATTCAATTCTAATCCAGTATTTCTTGTGTGTGACAACATTACACCGTACTAAGTATTTCATACACTGGCAGTAAAGCACCCTAGAAGCCAACGTTAACGGCGTGTAACAAGAACAAGAGGTATACACAAAATGGCACACGATGTTTGTACCAATTTCATTCCTAATACAAATATGTATGCAAACATGGAATTTAGTATAAACAAATTATATAACTGTTACATAACATCACTATATACGGGGTGCGTTATTGATCACCTTGTTAAACATGTTTGCAATGGGGAAACAAATCTAATAGAAGAAACAAATGATTTCGGTATCGTCTGAAAACCTTGCAAATGATAAAAGGTAAATTATCGAAACTCATGTCTTGTTGATTATCATAATCTGACTTAGTTTTTTTTTTATATAAGAAATGTTAAGTACTTAGAAGACGTACAGACGCCATGTCACGACATAAATTAACATTCACGTTGGTTGATGTATCGACTGATTACAATAAACTCATCACTATAATAACAGTAGAACCACGTTAGACTGGATACCTCATTACATGGATTATACAACAGAAATTGTCCCTGAATGCAATGGTTCGGATAGCTTGTCCGATTTACAAGGTTCTATTGTACACAAGGTTTATATAGTATATTAACGATATACATGTGCCAATGTTATATACATTTGAACATTTTACGTATAAATACTATAACATAAGTGATGTCAGTATATACATATAAGCTTAAAACATATTCACTTCATGTACTCAATTTTTCATTACCCTTCTTAATATACACAACAAAAGAAGCTAATCATACGATATCTTAGCTTCAAACAAATAAGAAGGAATGCATAATACTTCTGTTTTCATAGAACATACTATAGATATAAACATTTATTTAACACATATTATACATAATTATGTTTAATAAGTTCAAATGAATGTTAGTTAATTTGTATGCATATTCAATATATTTTGTATATATTAACAAACGACTAGTAGGGTTATTAATTAAGCGACGCTAGTAAATATGCAGGTCCTCCAAAACTATTCATTGCATGTATAACATTTTTCATAACAATTCATAAACGACAGAAACAGCTAAACCATACGATGAGTTAGCGTCCAGCAACAAGTGGCAATACTTCAGCGTACATAACATGAATAAACGTTTGACTGACGGAACGGCAACATAACTTAACCCTTTCAACACTATAGACCATAATGGACTCATCCAGATCAATGCATGGTAGAGTCTAGTCCGAATTATTCTGACGTTTTATCGACTTTTTTCATATCGGTCTGTCGTCGATTAACGACGTTAATCGACGACAGACCGATATGAAAAAAGTCGATAAAACGTCAGAATAATTCGGACTAGGTAGAGTCTACTAAAGTTACATAGGGGTGAAAGGGTTAATATGTAATTATAAATGGAATGGTTTATATTCAATTATGCTATTCTTTAATGACGGAAAGCAATAAAATGATGGATGGGGCACAGATTCTCATAACGTATTAGGTCCTCTTCCGAGATCTATACAAATGATATTAAACAATTAAACAAAAATAAAATATATGGGAATGGATAAAGAAATGAAAAACAAAAATGTCGTCTTTTCTCTGAATAATGACAAAGCACAACACTTCTGAAACTAATTTCATGTAAACATGATTATGATAACATTAAGTACAAAATTAGTGTATACTGTATAGTAACAAGGTCAGTGTTGATCAGATTTTATATATATAATTTACATTTACATTCACAAAAGCCGTACATAATTGATAAATTTTATAAAGCGACAATAAGTATACACAACTTGGTTGTCACTTGATAGGTCAATACTCAAATCAGGTTTTATGTCTTAAAACTAATTACCAGATCATTATTTATCCGGATGAATAATACTTTCTTACATTAATGTGTTACTGAATCAAACTAATGCAGTTACAAAGTAAAATAGAAAATGATTGAATTAATGATTGAACTTTTCGAAATGCTTAAATTATTCATAAATAATATCAATTATGATTTTTAAAAGCCATATTACATGTCTTCATCAGTTTTCAATGAATGGTTTTGTGATTATTCGTTGACTAATTTAATGATCCATCGAAATAACACTTTGTTAATCCGGACACTTCGGTAACAGAATTAAAGATTAAAGAAACGGCACTGGAAGTTACAAATACTTATTAAAATATAAGAATAACAATAAAATGTGGATTATTGAGATTCGGATAACGAGGTTCTACTGTGTCATGTCACGAAAATATAATAAATTAACATTGAAACTATAGCGCATTAACATAGAAAAACAATCATTTACACTGATAATATAACTCCGTATTGATAATATTACATTAACATGATTTTTTCTATGAACATTTATAATGTTACAATAAAATGCATTCAATTAACATTTATAATGTTATAACGAACCATAATCCATTAATATTAACATTAACATCACTATAAAAATAATCTGTTAACATTTACAATGTCACTATATAATCTAATCTGCTCAAACGAAATGTACTAAATTAAACTGTCTTTGTCGGCTTGCAACTTGACTCAACATATTATCGTTCCATCATTGTTATCACATATGTTTTTACTGACGAAGAACACCGTGGACCCTGGACAAGGGAACATATAGGTGGTACCGAAGGAACACACGTAGAAGCTGTGACAATCCCCAGGGACGGGGAAGTACTCATTGTGTCGACCGGGTTTACAAGGGTCGGCGTAGATTTGGGGCGTTGTCATGCCAGCTTGCGTGATCGGCGGCGAGAGTGTCGTTCCGTCTGCAAAGTGAAGTACATATCATGTTTTAACTGAGATGCACAGTACAATATGAAGAGAAACATTGTACAAATAAAGTACTTACCAACAAGTATTGGTCTCTAACCAAACAGATATGTCGTCCTTGTCTATTGATGTGTTTTTGCAACATGCAATGTGTCTTTCCTTGTTGGTTTGCTATCAAAAGCAAGTAGTGTCGTCCTTAACTATTTGTCTGCTATTACAAAAATGTCGTCCCTCACCTTTGGTCTACTGTAACCAACAAGTTACTTCGTTCTTGATTTATCGCATACACTTACAGTGTTGTTGATGTTTGTTTTCGGGCGTTTCAGTCATCAGGAACTTGTATAACGTAATATAAGCTCTACTGAGATTTTTTTAAGTACACAATCATAGCACGGGATTTGGACTATATCGTTGTAAAGTTACATTCAAGTTCAAGCACAATCTACTTACTTCATCCGATGCTGATACAAATCTCTTTGAGGATGAGGGAGCAGAAATCGTGATGTTGATTAACTTGAATGGCCCCGTGGTTTTGAAGTTTGAATTTGAAATGCTGTAGTAGTAACTGTATAATTACATATTGTACCTTTTGATGTGACCATTATAATGACTAAAAGGCGGCCCAATGTCATGTGATCTATATACATGCACACTATTAAGTAGAAATTATATGTTTTAAATTACAATACCTGTCCATCAGAGTCTCGACCACGTGTTCCGTGTCCCGAAAAGGAAGAGACTTTCATGCTTTATATACTCATAAAATACTGTAAAAATGGAATTTCTCACGTTTTAAAATGTTCATGTTTATGTTGTGATCCTTTAAACTGACCTCGATGTGGACGTTTCTTTGTTGGCAACTGTTCCGAAATCTACATTCAATATACTGTAATCTGTATATTGTGTTTCTTCTATTTTAATCAACGCGAAAAACTCGTGCATTTCCACACCACCATAATTTCCATTTTATATATGAATGATGGCCTGAATGCTCTGGTCACATTATTTTAAGTTTTTCTTAAATCACGCTAAAGAGGAACACTGTTATTATTTTATAGCTAGGATAATGACGTTACAATCATCAACTATTTTAAGTCTCTTTCGCATCGTAAAGGACATTTAAAAGGCTAACACGGCATCAATATCACTTAATACTTAAACGCATTGGTGTATCAGTGGCATTCCTATACTTGTGTTGTACCATTGCGATGTTATTCTTCCTTCGCCACCAGCTTCATCTCACCCTTTTCTTCAATAGCGTTCGGGATTATAAAGCAGTAGTTATAATAGCATGTGTCTCAGTTCCGGAGATCTTTACTTCTGTTGGAGATATTTCACACTGTCATGTGGATCCCGAGACTAATCTGCTCGGGACTCCAATGTAACCGTAAATGAGAAAATGTGCAAAACGCCTTCAGACAAAACACAATATTGCTATCAAATGTAAACACTGCTATTAATATACTACTGAGGATAATATCGTTGCACGAAAACATTGTAGGGTTTTAGCTTTAGTCTGCAAGTTTATTTTGCTTTAGAAACCTACCTGGATACTAGTATGTAATGTTAAACGTAATACACAAAGCAACATAAAAAATTCTATGACAGAAATTCCCAAAACGTTTTGTTATGTACAGTAAATTTTAATGTAAGTTGTTAACATTTTATTAATAATAAGATTTTATTCTCTTTGATTAGCACCACTTCTCACTCATACCGATAACCTACATCTGCTGATTTGTAGATATTATGGAGTAAAATCACCACAGAATTACCCCTCCTGTAACAATTGTATACTACAGAGTGTTATACAAAATTACCTTATTTCAGAGTTATCCCAGTACTTCTCGGTCCGCTGATATATAACGTTTAATAATGATAACAGTGACCTATCCAACCTCAGTGTTACTTCCTGTAATAGATACTTATAGATCTAAACTATGACGTTCATAATTCAAAAACTATCGACGATGCGCGGTAATTCGTGTGCACTAACGTAACATTAACATTAAAAGTGTCTGGTTTTTTTTTAAACCTTGTCACCAAACTGCGGACAATGGAGTACATGTTTGGTTGTACTACTTATATCATTTTAAAATCACCCAAACAAAATGTTGTTATTCAATCCAACTTTTCGCGAATGCATCAAACACACACACGATCAAATCTGTCTGAAATAATAAATCCTGCCAAGATTAGAATGACATTTTGTTGATTAGATTTTGTCTCGTGCCATTAACATACGATTATTATCGTGGTTCAATTTTATACATATATCATATGTTAAAATTTACCATTATAATTATCTTATGGAAAAACAATAAAAATGATAAATAATGATGAATCAATATAAACGGTTTGAATAAGTCGATTGAACTTGGACATTTAAGCATGGCAGTGTATACGGAACAGAAGTGAATACGTTTGCTAGCTACTCAGTCAGAGATAGCCAAATTTGATAAATATATGTATGCACATATTAAACTATCGATAAACAAATATTGTAACAGCGATAATGACCGAACGTTAGTGTTTCTCTGTCTAATTGGAAATGCCATCCAATATCTATAAGTCGGCTAACATTGCCTCATTTTTGGAAATGCCATCCAATATCTATAAGTCGGCTAACATTGCCTCATTTTTCACAAACTGTGTCTTTGTATTTAACACATGTAGTCCTGCCCAGAAGTTTTGTTACAAACGTTTAATCGACAGAATCCGTCGACAAGAGAACATATGTAGCATAACACGTCTCGAGAACAGTTTTTATCGATGGAATAAAAAGGATTGTTAAATGTTTCTCTCTGTCGGAGACTATGCGGTACAGCTTGGGTCTTCAATACACTTTTCCTGAACAGAATTGAAGGACATTCCAGCGGGACAATTGAGCGGCACTGCTTCCTCCAGCATACACACGACGAAATCTCTACACGTGGGGCCGCGGAAGTAATCCTGACCAATCGTCGTGAGTCCCTTGCATGGATCTGTAATCAAGGTCACACGAAGGTAAGCCGACGATTAATCAAACTCATATAGGAATTTGTCCGCCATGCATAATGCTTTGAGTATACCAGCCATGTCCAGCGTATATGATGATCTCCAATATTCGGATAAAGCTGCATTCATGCTCCTGTTGTTTCTTCTTCACCATGTATGTATGTTTATATGATGTTATTATAAATATAATTGCTACAATCGTTAGAAAGCCATGCTTATATATGATCCAATGAATCAAATCTTGTAATACTTTATAGTCATCACTTTCTGCTTCCTTTGACATATATTTGATGTTACTCCATTCATGCAATTAATGTGCTTATATAGCCTTTTGATATATTCTTCTATAGCACATTCAACAAAATTCTTCCATTACAATTCCAAATTGTAGTCTTCAATTGTGATTCACTTTTTTCCTAATTCGAGTATATCCTCTATAATTGTATATTGCATTTTTAGGCAAACCATTCCGTAGAATTCGTAGTAGCTGACATCACCGACAACCATTCCATGAAAGTGACCCCCTCAGCAAAAACTGAGTATCATTGTTTGACATTACTTGTTTACAACTTCACGGCATCACACACGTACCACTGGCCGGAGTAAGGCCACATACAGTGGTACAGACATTGTGGATAGGTATACTGTACATGTTATGTCTACTATCCGTTCAGCCTCGCCAGAATTTGTAAGGATGATCCACTTAATATGTCTCATTATTGACCAAATATACAGTCATTAAGGAAACGGTAATTTCTGCATTCTCTTACTGTCCATACAACCAAGCCACGTATTAATGAATATAAAGAGGCTTTAAAGTATATATGTTAGTATATCATACATATGTATTAAGTTAAAGTTGAAGCAGCATATTTATGACATATAATCGCAGCGGAAATATGTCAAGATTACCTGTAGGAAACCACAACAGGTTCCTTTTTATGTTTCCTGGAGAACACTTGATGCCATTCATGTATCTTGTTTATGCAGATAAGCCATGCTGTTTTTTTCCTTATTATAAATACGCTTTGTCATTCATGGGTATAAATAAGCTTTGTCATTCATGGGTATAAATAAGCTATGTCATTCATGGGTATAAATAAGCTATGTCATTCATGGGTATAAATAAGCCATGTCATTCATGGGTATACATAAGCTATGTCATTCATGGGTATAAATAAGCTATGTCATTCATGGGTATAAATAAGCTATGTCATTCATGGGTATAAATAAGTTGTGTCATTCATGGGTATACATAAGCTATGTCATTCACACATGTTAATTTCAGATATTAACCTATGTCAGTAATAAATATCAAAAAGCCATCGCATTGGATATACATCTTTTGGTATACAGTGTATACGATATATTCGTAAAAAAATAAATATAGATGAACATTATTTATGAAAATAAGACAAAAAGTGTATTCTTTAGCAAACTTTAAAATGTAAATTAAAGTGTCAAAGCTTTTATTTTATTTTCAACAAGTACATTTCTTAGAAATGGTGATCAAACGCGCAACGAATTAAACTTATTAAAATATAATCTCAAATATGAGAGATGAAAGTTAAAATAAGAATTTTAATTTGGAAACGCATACAAATTAATAAGGAATAATTGTCGAATGCATGTACTTACTAGATGACGGCGCCCCTGGTGTCTGTTCAGCCGAAACTGTTTGCTGCTGGAAGATCAAGGACTCTTCGAATACCGCCAGCGGCCCCACCACGATGGCGATTTGACCATTCACTGTTGTCCTAGGAGCGTTTTCTATCAGTATCCCGAATATAAAGTCCTTCAACGTCTGATCTTGATCACCTCGGAATTGCAGAAGGAAATTTATTTTGTCTGGAGAATTTCTGAAATGCATTGAAGTCATTTTTATTATCATCGCATCTTACGCATCCGTAGCTTTGAAAAAGTATGTTACTACAGTGAAACCATCGTTAGTTCTTACATATATATACCCAGTGATGGGTTTGTTGAACAAATTATCATTTCTTGTTATTTAACTACAAAGTCAAAAGAGCTACTATATAGCCTTATCAATCCAACCACCCTCGTTTCCAGACAAAATAGCAGCATGTATAGGACATTTTGAATAGAAAAACAGAAGTGAAGTGTTCAAACACCGCTGTGACTGGATATTGGGGCCATCAAGTAAGGTATTGCTGATATACCATCATATTCCTTGATATTGAATCTTCAACAGCTTTACTTTATTCCTGTCAATAATGAGATATGTACATTTTTAATATTTTCCAATTATTTTCCAATTAAACACGCATATGTATTATTTAACGCGTGCGATTTACATGGTCCTGTGTTTTTAGTATCAAGACTTACGTGAACGATTCCACGCTGCAGCGATAGTATTGTTCGAATCTGTCTCGGTTTTGATAAAGATTATTCAGCTGTAAAAAACCCCACATGTTTACATAGATTAAATGTAAATACAATGATAACAATTCTATATCATATATCTGTACATGATAGTAGTATGCTATGTTTTGTTAAAATTAACGTGTGGTTTGTAAAATGTATCTTGATAACGGGCATCACATTTAAAGTAAGATATTTCTGGTAATCTTCCTGATGATGGGTTACATTTGTGCCTTAAAAGTAAAATGTTGTTCACTTTTGCAAATTGACTTTAACATGACCGGGTAGTTGATTGTATCACTATTCAGATGCTATTGTCACGGCACTCCTATAGTCACAAACGGTACAAGAGAATATCCGAACCTATTTTTATCTTATCTTCTTTTGCGAAGAAATAAATGAAATCAATAATTCCAGCGGATGTCTACTTACGTAATCACAGAACGGGCCTGACAGAGCCTGAAATTCTCCCGAATTCTTATTCTTCAGTTGTTCAGAGTAGGTCAAGTTCAGCAGTACGAACGAAATGTTCACAATGGTGTTTACTGCAAGCAAAAGTATTAATTTGAACAAATTCCTTATGTGCAATGAACATAGGCACTATTTATAAGATATAATTCACGTCTCCTAATCTTTTTTAATATCTCATTCTAGATTTCTAAATAGCTTTTTCATATTCACCTTTAATTACGAAAACATCATTAAAGAAATACATCTAAACGTTTTGTTTTTATATAGAAGGTGGAAGTAACACACACAGTTGAAGAATATATAGAATATTTATCATTGATCATTGAATTGTTTAATATGTGAATATCTGTATACCAGTTATGTTTTGCTTTATCTTTTCTTACTCATAACTGTAACATAGGTGTTTAAATAAATCTGACATTAACAGTCTTAAACCTACAGTGTCATGAGTTCAATGTGCTTTTCAATATTCATGTTTTTTCTATAAGGCAATGTTTAACCGGTACTTGACATAAATTTCGACTAAAATTTACTCTTACAGCATGTTAGACGTCGTTGTATGTCTGAAGGAATGAATGGTGACCAACGTGTATTTTAAACTTACTATACAAACCATACAAAATCGTTCTTCAAATACGTTCCTTAAGTTCTGTTTTTCATCTTATTTACCTGGACTCTCCGTTGTCGGCGGTATCATTGTGGTGAGATAGTCGGAGATGTTGATGGCAATATTTTCCCAGCCTCCACCTAAGTAAACGAGCTGTTGACCAATGAACATCATGTCCTTGTTCTCAATCAGGAAGTGCTGCGCCTGGTCACTTATAGTCTTTAGCAGTAGGCTCTGTGGAATCTCGGCCGTGCCATTGAACACGGTCTTAAACGTGAGAGTGTGAGGGTCCGTCCCACTGTGAGTAAAATAGGAAAACTGTGTCTGATGGTTTTTTTCTATGATTCGCCAAATTGAAATGAAAAGAAATCGAGGAGATACAAAACCAAAATACATAACATGAGCCCCAGCAAACATATCGGGAATGGAATGCGATGTAAAATGAATGACTGATTTGGACAACGGGAATGTTGGATATATGTTCTATATCATGTGAATTTTGGGATGCTAGATCGGAATAAATGTAGTCAATATGCAACAAACGCAGGAACCGGTAGCAGTATCGAGAGAAAAAATATACAAAGCCACCTGGTAGCGACGCTAGTGGGTTATGATGGTTGTAATGGACTGAAAACGTACCCAATATTTTCAATGAAACATCGGTAATATCTGTCCCGCAAACTGCTCTGGCGGAAGAAATTGTCAATCTGAAAAAGGCATCACAGAAAAAACTTAATATATTTCAAAAGGTATCGATACAAGATACAGAGCGATTTTCAGCAAATTGCAAAATAAACGTCATTCGACCACGATCACAAACACTTATTTTCAGTTTACATTCAGATGGCTTTATTTTCACCGGAAGTAAATAACCACGTCTAAAATCTGTTAAAATTTTATATTTAAAGAACTTACGTCATCGCAGAACACATCCTGGAAGTTCACGAAGAGATCTGACTGTGGATTACTGTATTCATTGGAGTATCCGAACTTGTGGATGTAAAATGTGGTGTTGGACAGCCATGCATCTGCAACAATGAGTTTTACATAGGTCTGAGACAACACAGTCAACTGCTTTTTATTTCTTTAAATTGTTTACCTCAATTTCCTATATCAGACCTTTATCACGTCTTAGAGATTTTGTATATCCGTCTTGTCATTGTATAACACTTGCAAGCGTAGATACAAATATCTTGTTGTCAATAAAAATAAGACTATTTTATGAAACAACATCCGTATGGCTCTATTTCTCTGCAACTAGTGATAAGGGAAAAAGGTCAATTATTTATAGATGAACTAGTACACGGAAACCACTGATCAATCAGATTGAGGTATGATTCAATACCAAGAGGAAGATTTCCGATTTTATCAATCTCCAATTTGATATTTCAATTTGATAATTGTTACCGGTTTACATTAGGTTAACACAACCTGGACACTCACCGTGTAAGATATACTCCCAGCTATCGTAGTAGACCAATAGATCGCCCACCAGATGGCCAATGGCGTCAAAGTACCGGAAACGGGGTGCGTCTTCGAAAACAATTCCTGCTACATTCTGCTGATAGTTTGGTACGGACAAGGTTCCGCCGAATTGAAGGACTGCCGTGATAGTGACAGGGTTTTGGCTGTAAAAGTTAATTTCGTATATTATTATCTGAAGCTAAACGAGGACAAAATCTGCACTCAACGTCGAAACGAAAAAACCATTTAGAGGAACCAAAGATACACGGAAATTATAAACAACGAAGGCGAAAGCAAGTGCTTTGGAAGTTTCAATGTTTACTGTATCATAAGCACTGGCTATCTTATTTTCTTCCAAATTATCGAGGAAAGTAGTAAGGTCAGTTATCATATTCAAACACAACCAAATAAATCTTAAATCACAGAAGTTGGAGTTCTGGTCAAAGTGAGCACTGAGAGTGCTAATACATCTTTAATTTTCTCAATTGTCAAAGTTAGTTCGAAATTCCACTCACCCGAATGACTCTATCGCACATGACTCATAAGTAGGGAACAGATTCGGGTGCATCTTAATCAGCTGTTCTATCTGCAAAATACACAAATCGACAAGGAATTGTCAGTTACATACATTTATTTTTTATAATAAATTCCACTACAAGGCCATCTATTAAACGGCAAAAGTGCTTGTTAAACGTAAGAGATAATTAACCAGACTTCTTGGTTTAACCGTTTCAGTGTAAAGATTGGCGTTGTTTGGATATGTGCTCATGTATTACTATCATTCATTAGCGATGTAGTAGCACACTGGGTGCTTCCAGTTTTACTACAAGTGTTTGCCTTTACGAACAATCCAAGCTTATAAAATATTCATACTATGCCAAAATATCATAATAGAATTACAGAGCAAAATANGGGGGTGGGGTTGCATATCAATCGCCAAATATATCACCACCATTAATTCCTATGACTAACCACTTGATTAACATTTCATTACAAATCATGGTTAAAAAGAGCCGCAACTCGTGACGGTTTCTTATCAAGAGTATCTAAGTCTCTTGGTTTTTCATTTCAAATGTTAAAAAAGAAGAAAGAAATTGCACAGATTCTGTTTATTCCTTCATTTCAAGAAAATCCAAATAATGTATAGGACGACAAAAGTGACCACAACATTATACACAAAGCATCTGACAGATAATTGTACACTTACATCTCTACAGAATAATTCTGCGTGACCCCTAAATGCGAATGAGTTTGAGTCGGCGAGGTCGGAGGTCCAGGTTCGGTTGAGGACCCGGAAGGTGAGAGGAACTCGGGTAAAGTCCGTGTAGTCCTGGTAGTATACCATGTAGTCTCCAATGAGGTATCCGAGGTAGTTTCCGAATCGGGTCAAAGGTCGCTCACGTAGGAGAATCTCGTAAAACATAGCGTGCAGTACCTGTGAAGGTCTTTCGCCTTCGAAAGTAAGGTCAACACTGGCTCTAACGGGGTTGTTCCTGTTCGGGAAATCATTATAACATAATTGCTTTAATTATTATGTGAATTTACAAACTGTATGTTAACTATCTGACATGGCTATGGTACAATGCATCATGCTATCGTGGATCATTGCAAGGAAACATTGGTCTTGTGAATATACCAGCGTGGTTATAAAATGTCAACTGTTACACGGTATGGTCTGAAGTGCGGAATCAATTATACTGAAATGTAATGAGTTGATACAGATGTAACATATATATTTACATATGTTTCGGAAATCTTTTGACATACATTTTCACTGTTTTGACCTCTAGTACCACTTGATGAGTCTTGAATGGACGAAATTGCCAGATGTTTCAGTAAAAATGGTCGCTTTATTTTTATTTTTACACTTTTTACACGACTTACAATTTTATTTTAAATAGGTGTGACATTACTTCGTACTCGTAGTGGTAATTTTACTTACGAAAATCGGCGAACTTTACATTTGACGTATTGTGGGAAATCAAACGGACGCCTCTTCATGAACCTGTCAATCTGGATAATAAGTTAAATTCTCTTTAACCCCTATGATAAGTTGAAGTTCAAAGAAGCATTTTTCTTGACATTTTAATACAATTTGCGCATAACACAAATAGAGAAACTGCTAATAAATTATGATAAACCAATAACCATCAAACACAATTCATTTTTTGGTAGCCGAAAGTATTTGCTTGTTTCCTAATACTTTTTATTGATTAGCGGGAAAAGGTTCCAACATTAGTAAGAAAAGATGTATAGACAATGAAAAAAAAAAAAAAAAGTAAACATCTATGAAACAAAACTTACATCACCACAAATACTCCGTTCGACCATTTGGTATTCAAACGAGTTCGGATCTGCAAGATTTTGTGAATATGTGAGATTAAGGAATCGAAGATCAAGGTTCACACCAGTAGTAGTGTAATTGTCAAAGAAAAGGAAGAGGTCTCCAATCTCTACTCCTAGGGAGTCTCCGAACACTACCGGGGTCTGACCCTGCATAATGTAGGTCCATACGTCATCACGGGTCGCACGCGGCTCGTTACCTCTGAACACCAGGTCCCAGGCGATTGACACCGGGTTGTTACTGAAAACACAGAAATATATCTAAATAGCTTGTATTTTTGTTATTGTATTTTTGTTATCAAAGAGCTATGCTGTATATGCTTACAATCAGTAGGTAATGCATAGTTTCTTTTACAAACAGTACAAATTGATATTGCAAGTTACCAACATCATGCATTTATGCATAACTTGTCATTGTGCAATTCAGGTGAGGGAGAAAGAAGGATAGAAGGACACAAAAACGCATATAATCAAATAGAGATATTTTCTATTGCATAATACACCAAAACGATAATTTGTTATCGATAAATTGGTTTTAAAAACGCAATCTTACCCGAATGATTTAACTTTGCATTCCTTGAAGTTCGGAAACTGTCCTGGGTTGCCTCGCAGCATCGTTTCAATCTACCAAACACAAATAAATCTGTCAAACTACTGCATCATTGAAACAACTATTTTATCAAAACATATTAGTGGCGCCTGTATCGACAAGATAATTTAAGAAGGTTTTATATAAAAGTTATTGATCAATTCGGTTTGTTGATTATCAAACTGTCTAGACCTACTTCACTGCAATATCTGGTGTTGTTTGTGTAATCGCTGGTTACGCATTTTAGACGTCTATTCAGTTTAAAATACAGTTTATACTTTAGAAAATAATGGATATGACTTTGACATCTACCTCGTTACAGAAGGATCGAGCATGCCTCTGAAACTCAAATGAGTTGTTATTGCCGAGAGAGGGTGTGTAGGTGAGGTTGAGGACGGGGTAGGAGTAGTCGACAATCGTCTCGATGGCTGCAATGTAAACATACAGGATTAGATGTCACTGTTCTTAAAGACGAATAGTTGAATTATTTGCATAGATAACGAGTCGAGAAGTCGGGTGTAGGAACACAATTTACATATACTTATGAAAAGTCATTAACTTCAAATAGCCAAAACCTCATTTTTTTTATATATATCCAATTATTGCACAAAATAATATATTTGTGAGGGAAGTTCTCGTTAGATGTTTGTTACTTACAAATCTCACAGTCCGGCCCTGAGTAGAACACAGGACAGAAGCAGGAATAAGACCCAAAGTTGTTGATACAGCTTCCGTCGTTGAGACACGGATTCTGTAGACATTCATTGACGTCTGAAACAGGAAGAAATAACACAGGTAAGGTATATATCTTCTTATATATAGAACGTAGTTAATGAATATCACGTACATCACTATATCACGTGTATTTTGTTACTATAAATAAACAGTCATATAGAGAAAATGCTAACTCAAATATATTTCAGCTCGCTGACATCTGACCTAATAAAGAAGACCATTTACTTATTCCACGTACGCAAATGTATGCTAGCATATGTGGTAAAGTTCTGAAATATGAAATAAAGTGAAATTTCAATTTCAAAAAATATAATTCCAAACAAAATCAATCGAAATAAAAAAAACTTAATCATAAGAGTCTCACAGTAAAATGTAGTTTGGTAAGCTAAGTTTAGACTGATGTAACAGACTAACATACCTCCCATACAGGTCTGTCCATCACGTCCGGCTGGACATATACAGGAGTAAGAGCCTGGCTGGTTGATACAGGTGCCGCCAAACCGACACGGACTGTCTAGACATTCATTCACATCTACATGGGTAAATAAAATATGTTTTACCCTCAAATCATTAAGTATATCAAATAGGAGTAAAATAGTATCAACATGTGATTGATAAGCATCAATATTTTACATAGTCTTGCAACTATTTACAGAAAGTTATATAATGCGGAAAGTTCCGATGATGTACGGTTTTGCACGAATAAGCATAATCCTAGAACAGCAGGATATTGTAAGGAGATTGCTGACTTACAAAATGCAGGTAAAGAAACATACATCAAAACAAAACGAAAAACTTTATTAATCATCAATCCTCCACCCCACCCTTTACTCCATCCCAAACGTGACGGATTGCATACCGATGTCACATCTGTCACCAGTCCATCCCGTCGGGCAGCGACACGAGTACGACCCCACACCATTTATACACGTCCCACCATTCAGGCATGGAGACTGCGCACACTCGTTTACATCTACAACAATAACACACCGGTTGTATAGGAATGATTGATAACGGTTTGGAAGCAATCTGGCTTGCAAAACGAAATAGGGAATCAGATATACACAATATTGGTTAAATATTAGAGTGGCAAAGTTTACATAACTGTGAAAAAATAATAACACACATCTTATCGTTTCTATTTAACTTCCCGTTTCCATATTGACATAAGAGTAGAGCCACAGAAAGCGATTAAAGGTGTTTACTGCTTCATTAATGTTTGTCTTTCTGGCTGAACTAACTACAATATGAATCCGTATCGGTATTACATTACTGCTTTAAGTTCCATTCCTTCCAGTTCAAGACTTTTTTGCCATAACTTCGGCGTAAAATAACACTCACCGCTCTCACACTGCTGTCCAGTAAACCCAGTGAGACAGATACAACTGTAGGATCCTATCTCGTTAATGCACGACGCTCCGTTCTGACATGGTCTCGACAAACAGTCGTCTACATCTGTATGGAAATAGCTATTATGTAATTCGCGACACATGTAATTACTACGAATATTGATATTTACCAATTAGCCAGGTTTCAACTACCTTATTTCCTCGGCAATATGTATGACAATATAAACATGTATCAGGGAGATGTAAATATTTATGTTATTATGCATGGCCAAGCACAAGTTTAAATTCGAGTGTTGACATCAAATCACACCTTTACCCTAAAGTCTCCTTAAACAGGAGATATATAATGTTTAAAACATCAGATGCAAACTACTCATCAATGTACATGACAATTATTTATAGTTCAATAAACCGACATTATAAATTAATATTCATGAATCAATGAGACTTCAATAAGACAATAACACTTAGTTTGGAGCAAACTGCTACACCGACTTTCTTATTTATGAACCAATAAAGACGTGAGAATGCGTACCTCCGACACAGTTGACACCTGATCGACCCTGAGGACACTGACACAAGTAAGACCCCACGGTGTTGATACATGTACCTCCAAACTGGCACGGACCAGAGAGGCATTCGTTCACATCTAAAACACAATTATATTGACATTCACTTGATTATGCATTGTACATTTGTATTTACTTTTCTAGAATGTCATTATTTAGAAATAAAACTTCTCGATTATACGCCATTCGGATGGACTTATGGTCATCCTATTCCTTAAAGTTATGCTGAAAGAAAGGTTGTTTCAAAATGCTTGCGTAGTTTAGAACTTCGCTCTTTGTTATCAGAGATATAAAAACGCAGCATGATATTGAGGTTTGTACATGATGTCGATTTACGGTGTGAGTTAATACTAATGGATACTGTACCTATTTCACAGTTGTCTCCCGTGAAACCCGACTCACAAAGACACGTGTACGACCCTAGTGTATTCTGGCAGGTGCCGCCATTAAGGCAGGGTCCAATTAAACATTCGTCTATGTCTGAAATCAAAAGTCAGGGTGTGCTCATCAACTTGATACAAAAAATAATGAAAACGCTTTGATATATCAGTATATTCTTGTAGGCCTACAGGTGCTTTGAAAGTTATTCGTTTTCAAGAAAGGCCAAAACAAATATTGGTTTTCATCTAATACAGCAAGCAATGAATAAAAAAACACCATGTATCATCTTTTTATCACATCAATACACCTGCGAGCTAAAATAAATTGCAACGAATATTTCAACAATACAAAGTATGACTTAATGTACCTATATCGCAGTTATTTCCGGTCCATCCCGTGCGACACTGGCACGTGTAAGTTCCCTGAATATTGATACAGAGACCGCCATTCTGACAGATGCCTACTTCGGAACACTCGTTGTAGTCTGAAGTGAAATATAACAAAATATACGATAGCGTCAGAAAGCGCAAAACAACTTTGAAACTAAAATGAAGAACAAGTCAGGTGTTCTCTAATGATAAACTTAATTTACACGCTTCAGCGCAGGTTATGAGGCAACGCGTCAAAACCGTGAGAGTATACTTCCTGAAGTCTCTTCAGTGAACCGGTAGGTCAGTATTTGAGTATGCTAGCGAATCAAATGCCATTATCTATAACATCTAGGGTGCTTATTTTAATCGATTATCATCTTTCCCTACATAACAAACAGACATGCCAAATTTTGGCTAATCAAATTTCATAGATATATAAAGTTCTGTTAAAGAATAGACCACTCGACTTCGGTCGATATACGGATATCAGTGTTTACACAGGCAATGACTCACTATATTACCATTCAAACTAAGTAGCAGTTTTTTGAACCGCGATTGTCTTACCTAGTTCACACCTCTGTCCGTCCCAGCTCTTTGGACAGATGCAGTCAAATGTACCGGGCAGGTTATTGCACGTCCCACCATTTAGACAGGGATCTTGTAAACACTCATTCTCGTCTGAGCAATATGGTAAAAAAAAAAACGTTTGTGTGAACAGTTTTTGTCCTATTGTAGAACAACACATGAATTCCAAATACAACTAACTGCCATGAATCATACATAGAATAATGTGCAGTATACTTTTGAATTTCATAAAAAATACCTTATTCTGTTTCCAAAAGATACAATGTATTTAAAAAAATGTTTATTTAAAATACTTATTTTTAGCTAGGTTTACTTTTTCTCTTTTAGTTAAATTAGCGTGTGTGTCTTAGAACAAATATAAACTAATTGTGATGTAGTAAAAACTAAATAAAACTGACCCTCAGTACAGTTTGTGCCGGTCCACCCAATCAGACAGCGACATGTGTAAGTACCGATGATGTTGACACATAGCGCCCCATTCTGACAGATACCGGGGAACAACATACACTCGTTTCGATCTGAGGAGGAAATACAGACAATAAATATCGACAATCGTAATGTACGTGATATCAAGGAATAAGTTTCTTTCCGACTTTTCCCCGTAAAAATTTTGTTTAATCAATTATGCAAGTACTAAAATCAGTATTTTAACTTATTTACAGAAAGAAACACGTTATTACTTATTTAGCGGACATTACAAAGTGAAAATTCTGAATTTAAATGAAAGCAAATCTGCAATTTCGAATCGCCTCAGTAGGCCTGTCACCATATATATTTGATAAATTTATATATACAGGCATTTGCTGTTATAAGAATTAAAATTATGAACATCGGCAATGCAAGATAAATAACGCTTAACCTTTCACATTTATGTATGTTATTTCTGAAAAAATAAAACTTGAAAACCCCCATTTAATTGGCTAATAATAATAATTTAATTAGATTGAGTATCTTACCTAGGTTACAGACTTCACCCGTATAACCGGGAGGACAGACACATGTGTAGCCTCCAGCTGTGTTCACGCAGGTACCGCCATTCAGACAGGACATGACATTACACTCGTCAATATCTATAGGAAACGTGATGATTGTTCAGTTATATGATTATGAGAGCATTAACAATAATTAAAACGCTAGAAATTTATATTCAAAAATGTGTTAATAATAACCAACGAACTAAAATCATATTTAAATTCGTCACATTGTATATTTTTTTATTTGCGTGTTTTCTACATGAGTAGGTTTATTGCGTAATATCAAAGTAACGTTAGCTTTAATTTTTTCATCCTAAATATTTGGTGTAGAACAAAACCCCCAACACAGATCAGGATAAAAAGCCGCGAAACTTACCAACATCACAGAACTTTCCAGTCCAGCCTCTCTCACACAGACACTGGACAGATCCTGGAGTGTTGATACAGCGACCATTGTTTTGACACGTGGCATTCTTACATTCGTCGATGTCTTTAACAAATATAAGGAAACATTCTGAAGTTCTTACACCAAAATTGATGTCTAGGTTATCAATTTACTACCGACTATAAACCAAACAATATTGTTTTCACATCAAACATCCAGATTATTTTACTAGGTCTGCCTTTACTTTGTAAGATTTTTTATTTATCTATTCATTTTGTAAACATATTTATGAATATATACAAATATGAAATAGAAAACGTTTGTTATTCCCTATTATGAACTTATCATTCTTATTCGCCAAACTTGCTCCAGAACTGACGATTTGAAAAGGAAGACAACTTACCCTTGAGACATTCGTCCCCGTACCAACCGGAAGTACATTCACACTTGTACGATCCGGGTAAGTTTCTACATGTACCACCATTTTGACATGGGAAGCGCAAACACTCATCTTCGTCTTTAAAAAAATTAAAATATATTCATTACTTTCATTGTTATTCACTAATATTCCTTGTGATTTATCTCGCCTTCACTACAAAAAATCAGATCGAGGTTCTACGGAATTACCAGAGATTTTCAAATAAAACAAAACTGTTTTTACTTCTAACGAAATCGATGTTCTTCTGTATTTGATACGTTCGAACTGGATTAACAAAAATGGAATTCGACTTTACCTCAAAAAGCTAAGTACACAGCAACACGTTCATTTCCAGTTATTTCATTTATTATGAAGAAAATTTACTATAGGTTTCCAAAATGAGATGGCGTATTATGGAATGATCTTTTTGTACCTGTTCCACACCTATCTCCAAGCCAGCCTATTGGACACTGGCAGGAGAACGAGCCACCACTGTTGAAACACGAACCTCCGTTCAGACAGGGCATGGTCAGACACTCGTTCACATCTAAACAGCAAGTCATTGCGTCATGTTTAACACGTACTACGAACATGGTTATTCTAATATTCACTTCTTCTATGGTTATTTTAATGCTTACTTAATAATTTTTATCTTTATAAGTATTACCGGCCATTTTTGATTGATACTGCAAACCGTGGTTTTATTTAATATATCACTAACAGGATGATTTTCTATTCAGTGCTATATTCTCAGTTTTCCCAGTAGGTCTATCCTCGAATTTAAGACTATCGGAGACAAGTAACACACCGAACTGAAATAACCTATTAAGAATGTTACATATTAATATTGAAAGCAAAATATTATGGAAAGATAATTTTATCTTCAAGGGGAAACCTTGTTTTGGTACGTACCAATTTGACAGTTTTTGCCCTCCCAGCCTGGCACGCATGTGCATTCATAATTCCCAGGTCTGTTATAGCATGAACCGCCGTTCTCACACGGGTTGAACTGGCACTCGTTTTCATCTGAAATCAATTAATACAAAATTTAATAATACAATTTTTTGGATATTTATCCACACATTTCTTCCGAAAAGTGACCTGCGTCGATGGATATAGAAATCATGTTCTCGACATGTCTAATGTAGGAAAATGTTTATTAGAACTAATGATTGCCTGAAATACTCACGCCTATAATTGAATGTTCTAGTTCTACCATATAGTGACCACCTTTAACTAATTGAAGATTTTGTCACGAAGTTGGGTTTATGCAGCACAAATGACAGACTATATATATTACATAATAATTAATAATGAATCACTTAGTTAAAGTTAAGAGAAGGAAAACTTAGTTTGAGGAGAGTCCGAGAGAAAGGTCCGAGCAAGCCATTGATTGAGCAGCCCCCATCGACAAAGCTTGTTCGGAAAAGGGGGAAAAGAAGGGAAGTGGTAAATTATTATGTAAAGTCTGTATTCTTTTCCTACTCTCAGAACCATGTTTAATCAGTACAAGGTGTCTTGTTTAATATATGTGACGATGGTGTACTTCGTATAAAACATATTGCTTATGACATACCAATTTGGCAGTTCTGTCCCGTCCAACCGGAAGTACACTGACAGATGTAGGACCCGTCCAGGTTGCGGCACGTGGCGTTATTGTAGCACGGATTGTTCACACATTCGTTGACATCTGAAAAACATAATAATATATGGTTAATTTTTAAGAACTGTACTTCTATTTGTATAGTACACATTATGTATCGCACATAATCTTACTGTTGCGAAGAAGGTATTTCAAAATTTGCTCAAATTAAGTCTCTCTTGATTTAAACGGTTTGACTGGTTGCATTATTCTCAATTAATCATTTGTTCATGATCGTTGTGAGACAATTGCAATTATATATATTCACACGTTTTAAGCTTTATACGCAATAGTCGGCCATACAGAATCGAGGATCTATAACGGAATGTAATAAACACACATTCCTCTCATCTTTGAACTTGGGATATGTATTGTTTTTACGCAACTATACTCCAAGTTTAGCTGAAAGTCATTCATAGGTAACGGAGTTATTGTCCAAAAAGGAATTTGTGACAGAACTACTGAGGGAGGGACACAAGAACTGAACACAATACAGTGGTAGAGTGAGAGTGAAAGGATGTCAATGTTCCACGCCAGGTGTAGCGTTTGTTTTACTGATACAATACGTACCTATGTTACAGCTCTGACCGGACCATCCTGGGGGACACTGACAGGTGTAGTTACCGGCTAGGTTAATGCACGTGCCTCCATTGATACATACACTGTAATCCATCTCTGTGCACTCGTTGATATCTGTAATCAACATAAATATGTGTTGAAAAGATGCAACGAAAAGTCGAATAACAAAACATTTAACGGAATGTATTTGTTAAGGTTACCTTTACAATATAAACATTTTTTATTTCGATCACATCTAACAATAATACTTCAAATACCTAGTTATACATTATTGTAAAAATTCATGATCAACAAACGACAAGCATACTAGAATATGACTATAAATATGTTTTAAATAATATTAGTTACTAAATGTGATGTTTAGAGACCAGACTTACCTATTTCACAATTCTTGCCTTTCCAGTAATCACCGCACCGACACAAGTAGGATCCGTCAGTATTGATACATTGACCGTCGTTAAAGCAGGGTATATTGAGACACTCATTTGTATCTATAAGAAACAATAAACAGCTGTACCAACTGCCTACTATAGTCTGTCTAATCAACTCTTTTTTTCCCGCAAATACTCGATGCATATGCAAATGTATTTTACAGGGCATTTTATTTTACTACTCTTGCCAATTTGGTCCAAAGCAACCCCAGATACCTTTATAACCGAGTACTTATACAACTCAACCAAACGTCACCTCGCCGTGTATTTAACACATTTAGTATTCTAGTGATTCTGTGTTTTAGTCACAGTACCAGCAAGTACTTAAATTCAGTTTTTAAAATGAGATATTTTAGAGTTTTCTTGGAATTAGGAGACATATGGTAATGACGGTAACTCCGAGTCCACAAACTAAATTCTTTAAATATTTCTGTTCTGCTTCATTCCATATAAATTGTTTAAGGGATGGATGTAAATATATAGACATATATTTCTAACATGATAATGTTCTCATATGAAAGCATAAATGAACGGATAATATATCAATAAAAATGGCACAAGGAATATTAATATATATTTATTATACAATTTGTATATTAACTTGTAGGAACGTAGCCTTTCATCATCGCTGATATGTTTATGCTAAGTGTATTCTACAGACATACGATATTAACTTTCAAAATTGACGATATTGAAAAATTATCTTAATTACCCATGATCATTTTTTACAAATAGAATAACAATGTTATCAATTATGACAAATCATAACAAATGTGCTGTTCTATGTAAACACAGCAATTCAATAAGATATACAACCGAAACAAATACAAGTGGTACTATATGCGTATTTAAAGCCTGTGTCTTACCATTTCTACAGTTGGATCCTTCTCTTCCCGACATACACTGACAGAGGTAGGACCCCGGCGTGTTGATGCAGGAACCACCATAGAAACAAGGGTTGTTGATGCACTCATCCACATCTGCAATGTACCATACAATAAGGATGATTGAGGCACTTATCGACACATAAAAAGAAGTGTAAATCTACGTTTGATATATTCTAAAGAAACACTAGTTGTTAAAGTGGTATTTCAATTCATTACGGTAGTTGATCATTTCTTTAAAAATGTCTTCATTCTCGTTCAAATAATTCATATTTTGCTCATAAGGCTACAGATATAAACTATGATACGTAATTAGGGATTGTTTCATGAAAGAATGTGCTCACCTTTTGTGCACGTGCTTCCAGTCCAGCCTCGTGCGCAGTCGCAGTAATAGGAACCACCAGTGTTGGTACATTTGCCGTCATTTGTGCAGGGTTGTTGTTCACATTCATTTTTGTCTGTATTAAATGAGTATTTATTACCATATGGTTAGCTTTAAACATTGACATTGATTTGTATACACAATCAAAAGGCATCCAACACATAAAACGAACCAAAAAAGGGATTTAAAGAATTCATAGTTGTCGTTAATGTAACAACGTTAAAATAAGGTTGGCTACAAAATGAGTTGATATCAAAATGCAGTGAACCCAATCTGCACAACCAGACCTACCTAGTGAGCAGTCTGGGCCATACCAGCCTGACCTACAGAGACACGTGTAAGATCCGTCGTTGTTGATGCACGTGCTATCATGTTGACATGGTCGTGTGTCACACTCGTTTTTGTCTGCAAAGAACACCAGTCTCAATTACAAGTTAACTTCACAAGTAGTATGTAACAGTTAAAAATAATAATATCCCAAACACACAAACAAAACATCTAACATTTATGTGTTTGGTAACGTTTTATCATTTAAACTGACCAATATACAAGGCTTAAAAGAAGCATGACGGTACCAACACATTAAACTTGTAACAAATGTTTAACTTACCCAAGTTACAAGTTGGTCCATACCAACCGACGGGACACACGCATCGGAATGACCCAACTGTGTTCTGACAGGTACCGCCATTCAAGCAAGGAGCGCGAATCTCGCATTCATTTTCATCTTAATAAAACACAAGATATGATTTTAATCCGTAGTATGTTTCGTTATATTATCCTAAATAAAATCTGCAGTTTGCTTTAATATACAATCTATTATTCACGCTTCTGGAATTCGTTATCGAATCTTCTTAAGATAATATGTTTATCCAAGCCTCAATAAGTAACACGTACATAGAATATACAATTTGAATGAATTTTGTTTTCATCCAACCCGGTCAAATGTACATGCTCATACTGTAGTTATTATTGTTTAACAAACTGCTCAGGATGTAAATTACAGGAGCCTTTCTACTTTTACATCATTATTCTAAATTAAACAAAAATCTATTATGATATTGTAGGAAACAATAACACAGGAATCTGTTATATGTGCCCTGAAAATACTTACCAGTTTCACAGTAGATACCGTAGAAGCCTGGTAGACAGTTACATTGATAGGAACCGTCTAGGTTAGTGCACGAAGCATTGTTCTGACACGGAATGTTCCGGCATTCATCAATATCTGTAAAAGTACCAGTATAATTACATAAAATTACAGACAATTTATACGTCTGGTTAGAGTGAGTTCCAAACACTATGACAAATGACTCGCATAGCATGCATTTTTGTTTTTGTATTATTCCTATTCTACTCTGTATCATTACCATAGTAAACGCGAGTTGAACACCAACTTAACAATATAAGGAGTTCATATTTTAATGAACCTTCAGTGACAAGTAAGACGGTATCTTTGTATCAGTAAACTGTAGCTTGTGCCTAGTTTGTACCTTATAGAGTACTCCTGTGATATGTTCCCAAAACAACAAAAACTGCCTGAATGTTTTCAAAACGTGAGTTCTAGTTAGAATTCCTTTCCGGTATATCTCGTCTTCTTCGTCTTGTTCTATTTGATGGGTCAAACGGTCCCTTTGATCACATTTTTGCAACAGTTTTATCGATTTTGAGTTTGGATTACGGTTTTGTTGAAACTTCGGTATTCTCTTTTTTTCATGTGTCATCAAACGATTGATACCAGATTTATTGAGTAAAGAACCACACAGCATTAAATGGTATACAAATCAGTGTATATTAATTGAAATAGAACCAGACTTACCGACTTCACAGTTCTGGCCGCTCCACTGGTCCGAACACAGACACTTATAGGAACCGATAGTGTTCTGACAGGTCCCGCCATGCATACAAGGCTGTTGAATACACTCGTTGACATCTGAAAGACATACATGTATGGCTCATCAGTATAGAATAAAACTCAATAACCACACACCAAAGGCAGAAATGTAGGGAAACATTTATTAAGCTTCAATAAATGGGGCAATACATGGGGATACTTCCTTTACCGCTAAACCAATTTCCTTTTCATTTGTTTACAGTACACAAATCTTGAATCATTTGTAAAATGATACTCACTTTTAAGTGTATCATCCCTAAAAAACTGCATTTCTTGTTGCATGATTCAGAGTCATGCGCAATGTCAACAAGCTGCTAAACACATAATGGATAATTACCGATATCACATGTGGGTCCTTGCCAGCCCTTGGCACACTGACAGCGGAATGAGCCAATGGTGTTTGTACATGTCCCGCCATTCAAACACGGAACTTTGTTGCACTCGTTATCATCTGAAATATATTGGACACAATTACACATCAAATCCACTTATTTACTTACATATTAAGTTGATCAATATAATTGACAATCTAAATTTAGATGTTTAATACTATACACTGTTATTCACAGACCACTTCCTACATAGTATATCCAACAAAAATAACAATAATGAGTTTTGATGATAGGAACATTTAACAGATAAGAGTTAAAGATTTTTTTTTTATTATGGCTATGGGTGCACGATACACGCAAACGACTACAAAATACATATATATCACCCATTCTCTGAGAGCCCTTCCGCCATCAAGTGTTGTACACAAGTCAGCCATAAATTTACCATTTTTACACAGAGGCCCTCTCCAACCAACAGGACATTCGCAGAGGAAACCTCCTTCAGTGTTGATACATTTGCCGCCATGGTCACATGGTCTCTGGGAACATTCGTCTGTATCTGTGCAATAGAAGCCAACAAGTAACTGATTTGTAAACTTCTAACTCTCTTCGTGAAATGACTAAATCACGCTGTCAGATGATTATGCGTTCGTTATCTTAAATAAATCAAAGAAGTACAATGTTAATCACTGAACGAGTTATGAGAAACAGAATCTGAAGTAGTTGTTGTGACTAACCATTGTTACACTGTGAACCGGACCATTGAGTAGGACATATACACCGGTATCCTCCGTCATTGTCCTCACAGGTCGCCCCATTGTAGCATGGATAGGCACCTTCCAGGCACTCATTGATGTCTGAAACAATCGCATTATGATACATAATCATACAACGCCTTCAGAGCCTGATCCGTAAGTTTACGTCACAGTAAACAAATGTTATTATGAATGCTTTTTGTCCGACATAAAGTAAGATATGCCATGTAAAACTGTGTATGGAGTACGCTGAACTTACTTATGTCACAGAAAGCTCCTCTATAGCCAATGGTACAGATACAACTGAAGCCGCCTTGCTTGTCCTGACAGGTGCCATCATTCAAACAGACAGAGGGAGATAACAAACATTCGTCCACGTCTGCAAACAAGATAATAAAGCACACCTTGAAACAAAAACACAACGATGAAACAACTGAAGAAGTCTGAATAATAGCTTACAAAAATAATTCCTATTTTTGAACTTGTTTGTCATGTATGAACATCACAGGACAAAGTCGAGTGAAAAAACATCTACAGATCAACACAAATAAATAAGTCTTTGATACAGCAATACATTAAAGACTTTTAATGAGCGACGTAAATCAATGTACTTCTAAACAGTGTTTTTTATTTTCTTCAATAAAAACAATCGTATCGTGCACATCGGACTGCCGTGTTTACATACTTATGCCGCAGTACTGTCCGAGCCAGCCTTCAGTACAGTTACAACGATACGATCCCATGATGTTGACACACTGTCCTGCATTCTGGCACTGGATCTTACTACATTCGTCTTTGTCTGCCAGAACAAGATTGTACATTATAACAGTTATTTTAAACAATAAAAACTTAAATTAATAGCAAAACTTGAATTTCAAACTAGTAAAGCTGACAGTTTGTTCACTGATCCTGATGCTGACCAATACTCCGTTTACAGCAAAGATAACTATTAGGGACTGATTTTCTTCCTCTGGTTTTTTTTTATATTTGTTATATTTCTTTTGAATAAAACAAAAAAGTTTACTTAATTCTTTACATTTGTTTTGAGTAGTTATATTTACAACGAACAAGAAACAAGAACTGTTCTCTGCTACTAGATTCGGTCCTCTAATGCACGGGATTCTAATTAACAATACGCCTTGTCAACTTACATTAACTCCTTTTCATCTCACTTGGCGTTTATTATTTGTAAATTTATCCATACAGAGTCTTCTTGTGTTAATGGAAAATTAATGTTTAAGATTCAGCCAAACCCCAACATTCAACATAATATCTTACCCCCTTCACAGTTCTTTCCAGTCCAACCTTCAGCACAGACGCACTCATACGAGCCTGGTAGGTTGTTGCACGTGCCTCCATTCATGCAAGGATTGTTCGCACATTCGTTGGCGTCTACGAATAATAAACATTTGACATTAAATCTTGAATAAGGTGTAAAATAATTAACTTGTAATGCTGAAGACTAGTCGAAATAATTACAAGTTAGAAAAATTCATATGTACAAGTCACAGAAGACGTTGGTTCAAAATTTACTTTTTACTGAAATTTAGTATCAGTGTTGTAAATCTGACTAGCTTTAATTATGAATTCAACTGGTGAATTTGCCTTCTTCAGCAAAGCGCATCCATAACTATTGATGGATGTATAACGGCTAGAATTGGAAACGCTTATAATAATATCGAGGGATATTAAGAATAAAAATAGAGAGATATATATGTCATATATTAGTTTTTGGAAGTTAGTAAAATGAATGTATTTTAAAGCTCAAGAGCAATTTTATTGATAAAATTAAACTAAAAATCAAAGTAATAGCCAAGCTGGTATTAAATCTGTAAAACAATAATAAAAGATATCTTGAAGGTAACTCACCGATCTGACAATCAGATCCGTGCCAGCCGGAGTCACAGTCACACATGTAGGAGCCAGGCATGTCAGTACAGGTACCGTGGAAGTTACAGATATCGATCTGCAGGCAGTCAATCACGTCTGGGGAGTAAATCAAAAATTATGTATTGTTTCGTTAGTATAAATACTTCTCAACAAAGTATACAAATCCCGATAATTCGGTCTTATTACAAAACTTCAACCGAAACAGTTTCTTAAATGAGGAAAAAGCATTATTATTCGTCAACTTAACTAAGGCACGAAACATAGTATTTTTGCACATCAGAAACAAAAAAATGATGGGGATCACATGGAGAACCTCAATAGAAATTAAACAGTTATGGATTTTACCATGACAATTTATAATACAATTATAAAACGATTCACTGAATTGTTTTCAGACAAAAGTCTATATCTTTAAAAAAAAAAACACCAAAAAAACGATAGACAATGAATGTTACAGGTTGTGAAGAATAACTTATAAACTGATGATTTGCGTGGGTGAAATGGATAAAATACTGTGTAATGTTATATACTTTACGGGTTCCTAATCTCTTAACAATTTCTAAATATCCTCTTTTACATTTTTTTTGTTTTATAAAAACATTCTGTAGATACAACAACAGCAATGAGACTTACCCTGTTCACAGGTGGGACCCTGCCAGCCGTCAAGGCACACACACGTGTAGTACCCCGGCTTGTCCAAACACGTCGCTCCGTTCCTGCACGGGTTTCTCCTGCATTCGTCCTCGTCTACAGTCAAAATATACACCATGTCACATTACAAATGGCATTCTTGATGAAATGACAGCAATTTCAATGCATATATGAAATTTGCTAACGATAGAACCTGCTTAACTGAAACTCGTAGAAGTCTTAATGATAATTCGTTTCCTACATCTATAATAGAGTTGTAAACATATTGCAACAACGTGAACATATTGACACACGTTGAAATAATGTATATGCATTGACTACGCAAAAATATGCAAAGCCCAGATGGTTAAGTTTAAAGTTTAATTAAGATTTCCTAATAAACAGCATTGAAAAAAATCAAAAAATCTCGTGTTTAAGGAAAAATCAGAAAAACATTTATAGCTTAAATGTGAAACTAATATTTTACACAATGAATTGATGGTTCTCTGTTTATCTATTGACAAAGAAACCCCAACTAAACAATCAAAATCCACTGCTGCACACTGGTTTAATGTTGAGTCGACATTAGTCGACTATGTTTGAGGTTTGCACATTTAACATAAAAACTGACCATTGCTTGCAGTAGGTAGATACAAAATTACGTTTAATCAGGTAACAAGATTGTAGGTATTTTTGAGCTTCACTGTTTTGTTAAACTTACCAAGTAGACACGTGGGTCCATTGAAGCCGTAAGCACATGTACATTGGTAAGATCCCGGGGTATTGTCGCAAGTTGCGTTGTTATAGCACGGGTTTTCTACACACTCATTTAGATCTGTAATATAGCACAATAACATTTCAAAAATAAGTTATACAAATGTTTATTACTATCAATTATATAATATAATGTTGTACAATGTTGTACATATTAAGTGCCAACGTTTAATTATATGCACTAGATTATTTTTATATCAAAATTTTCCTCATTGGGCACCTATCATTAATGCCAGTCCGAGCGAAACATTTCCTCCGAAGCTTTTCTTGAAGAGTTATGCGCTCACTTAAACGAGTCATAAATACATCCTAATGAAACAAGAAATCGAGGAGAAAATAACGGTAATCAGTTTGATATTTCAATCACATTCTAAAAGTTAAGTAACCAATTTAATATAGACTGTAGGCGTAATGGACTGACCATCCAAACAGCTTTCTCCAGCCCAGCCAGTCTGACAGCGGCACGTGTAGGACCCGTTCGTGTTGATACACATACCACCATTGAAGCACTGCACCTTCTGACACTCATCCTCGTCTGCAAGGAAGAATGAAAAATAATAGAAAGATGCGCAAAAACATAAATACCTAATCGGAGTCGATACGGAAAAAAAAGAGAACAGAAACTTAAAATAAATCATGAACAACGCGAACAACAACTGCGATACCAAATGCTCCAGAAGAGTAGATGAAACACAATTCATACTCTTCCATATGATTTTCAACTCTTTGGTTTATATCTATATTAATGGATTTATGGCTTTCTATTTTGTTTTATTAAAGTTCTGGGGTATGAATGTATTAACAACATGGCCTACCTTCCTGGCAGTTTTTGCCGACCCATCCTTTGGTACATTCACATATATAGGACCCTTCTAGGTTACGGCACTGGGCTCCATTCCGACACGGATCCATCCCTGGACTACATTCGTTTGTATCTAAATACACGATATTATTAATCATCAGACATGATATATACACACATATTATCAACACATACAAATATGTATATCTAATACAAACTACACAGTAACGGTGACTATAGTAAGTATAAGAATTTTATATCGTCATACGCAGTATCAATAGGTGACTGGAATGTTATGCATACACACAATTTGCTTGCATTGTCTTAGACTTGTGCCATTTTGGTCACACTTCTTAAATTAAAAAGAACCCTAAACAACGAATAATTGTTCTTTATTGGACCCATATACTTGCTATTCTTTTTCTTTATTATCATTTTCGTTTTAAACGGTAAAAAGCGACGAATATGTAAAGTAGGCATCCATTTTGAATTTTATGAAAAATAAACTAGGTTTACAAATATCAAAGTCTTTCGAATGACGTTAATGATAACGCATGCCGGCCTCCATCTAATACAGCATACACACATCATACGTATACAATGGACGATTCGTCTCATTAGAATTGGTAACAAAGAATTGCAGAATGAATACCATTATACGACTAATATAAATAAGGGTGTTTCAGTTAATACTTAGCGGACACAGAAGAAACCAACTAAAATCTTTATTACCCGTTTGATCCTTATATTTTACTGTTCAGTATTTTATTCTTGCCTTACTTCCGAGTCTCTCTTGACACAAACTCGCCCTTTTTCTAATTCTCTAGTGCCTGGATTTGTTGAGTATAACAAACACCAAAGAAAAAATATCGTTACCTGACGACCTTCACTTACCGTTGGAGCATATGCGTCCACTCCATCCCTCAGGACAGTAACACATGTAGCTCCCGACAGTGTTTAAACAGGATCCGTTGTGGAGGCACGGGTTCGAGTAGCACTCATTCGCATCTGAAACATAATTATAATACATTTTACATAATTTGTGAAAGAGTTTGGAGTGTTTCCAACTGCTATACAATTCATTTATATTACCAGATACTTTTGATTTTGATATATTGAAAATATCAATTATCTGATATTTGGATTCCAATGATATTTTTATCAATAATATTGAAGTCTAAAATCAAGGTTTTGTGATCAAAACGTTTGCCTTTAATAAGTGTCTACTTCATATGATATTTATCTATTATGTAAGCAATTGTTGCAACGGACCTTGTCGGCAGTCTTTGCCTTCCCAGCCGGGAGTACAGCGACACTGATAGGACCCGGCCGTATTGATACAGCTACCGGCATTCAGGCAAGGCACACTTAAACATTCGTCCGTGTCTGGTAGAAAACACAATTATGTCAATTGTAAATGGTACGTATGTTATGCTCGTAACAAGAACATATATTCATAAAACCGTTTCGATACGCAAAACCTCACGGTTAATGTTCAAACCACCTTTTTGCGAATCTTTTAACAGGATAAATAAATGAAAATATGACACGGGAATGGAACTCAAAAATAAGTTTAGTCTACGTACCTACAAAATAAGTAAAAAAAATACAATGTACACATGATATGTTTGGAACACAATATCTGGGTCTAAGTATGAAACAATTTGATCAAATCGGGTCCCGGAATGTCATGATCCTAATCTTTAGCCTATGCGATGCATAATCATAACGTTGTGCTGTTTCTGATATCCGTAAACAAGGCTCAGTAATATTTCAAAGCCATCATATTTTAAATAATCTGATTACCTGAACTATCTTTGTAACTACTATGAACAATGTTCTTAATACTAATAATGAATATGTGAATTTTTAATAATGTACAATTATTTGACTTCATGGAGAACACTTTCAAGTTAGCTACATCGCTTACTTCCATTTATATTGTGTTAACGCTGGCAAATTGCATGTGGGAGTTTTGACCTCGCGGACAGTGTTCAGTATACAAATATAGCAAAAATGAATTGCCCAAGAATTGTGTATTGTATTGGATTTGGAGCATACGTACCTGTCATACAGTTGTGTCCTTCCCAGCCGCTGGGACATCGACAGTAATATGATCCGTATGAATTGATACAGGTGCCACCATTAATACATGGGCTCACTCCTTCACACTCGTTTACGTCTGCAGTTGTAAATGTATTTAAATAACTCCAAATCTCCTCAGTAAAATGAAGAAAATATGTACCTTATACAAATACTTCAAGAAAATGGTGGATGCCAAAGGCATGTTTGACTAAACAGCCAGCTGCAATTGGTCACCAATATGAGCGCATACTATGTGTAAATTGGTATATAAAGACATGCATATGTTGTTAGTCTAAATACAGTTTTGATATCTTTAACAATTTGCTTTTTACGAAGTAAAATGGAAGAAGCCATCTGTCACATTGTCAACACAAAATAACAAGGTCGGACTCGAGGTTGATATGAGAAGACAAGGACATTCTCTAATTAATTCTACCCAGAAATTTAATCTATGTCCAAGTAGCATATTAATCAACGGGATGCATCTATCGAGGTCATTCTGACGAAGACCTGTAATATAGTTATGGATACATGTGGACTGAGACCTACCACTCTCACAGCGATCGCCGGTCCAGCCCAGAGGACAGAAGCACTGGTATCCTCCTACAGTGTTCAGACAGGTAGCGTTGTGGAGACAAGGATTGAACTGGCACTCATCCCAATCTATAACGATAACGACAAATAAGTGAACATGTAAGAATTAACCTTATGTTATAGAACAATATTAAATAACAAACATTTCTGAATAAAGGTATTTTATCAGTCTGAGATATGAGATTAAAAACATTAAACTAAACAACAAAGTTGTAATCGGATGATGGATGGCATGGTCACATATTAACTCTGGGCTTTTATTTATTGCAATCTGCATGTAAACGAATCAATTATGTACATTTCACTTACCTACATTACATAGACTACCTGTCCAGCCAGAGGGGCAGACACAGGTGAATGACCCTCTCGTGTTAATACAGGTGGCGTTGTTGTAACAGGGTATCACGTTACACTCGTTAAAATCTGATCGTAAACAAAGAAATAAATTGATTACAATCAAAGTATTTAATGCTAAGATTAAAAACAATTCAGTAGCATGTTTCAAAGATATAAACAATTACAAATGTAATAACTTATTGTACTAAATGCTATTATTAGCATCTTACAATAGGATGTTGAAAAAAGTGAATGATTATTCTACAAAATGTGATTTTATAACATTTACAATATGATATTGATCTGTAGATCGATTTTTCTTCAGAACGGATGTCGACGGTCGTCTGTATACACAAACAAATTATTCATAAATGATGTATCATTTATGCATTGTCAATATTTAAAAAAGAGTAACAGGCAATATGTTTTTTACCATTTTCACACTCCGGTCCGGTCCAGCCATATTTACAGGTACACATGAAGGTACCATCGAGGTCCTGACAGGTGCCGCCATTCCTACACGGGTCGTACAGACACTCGTTCTTATCTGTAATTTATAAAGCCGCAAGCTTCCGTTATTAGGCGTAAATTATATTTCTATTCAGTTAAATCATTCAAATCGGTTAAAAGTTTATAGGACTGTTCAGCTTAAACAAGTCAACGTCAATTTCTTCTAAGCATAGCAGCCGCTAATTCGTGCAAAATGTTGACACTGGAGATTGTGATGGACGATGGCCGCATAGCACAATTATCCACTTTTCCGTTAATGTACCATCGTAACCGACTTTGTATGGACATGCAACTGACCACATCAGGTGGAGATTAAGTCATGTTTGAGAAATATGTCTATGGAGTTAGATATGTTTAATTACTATCTTTGCAGCCCTTGCCTATTCAGACATGCGTACTTACAGTCTACGCAGTCCTTGTCTCATTGTACAAAGACATGCGTACCTACGATGGTACACTGACATGCGTACTTACTGTCTTTGCAGTCCTTGCCTGTCTATCCAATGGTACAGACATGCGTACTTACTGTTTTTGCAGTCCTTGCCTATCCAGTCCATGGTACACTGACATGCGTACTTACTGTTTTTGCAGTCCTTGCCTATCCAGTCCATGGTACACTGACATGCGTACTTACTGTTTTTGCAGTCCTTGCCTATCCAGTCCATGGTACACTGACATGCGTACTTACTGTTTTTGCAGTCCTTGCCTATCCAGTCCATGGTACACTGACATGCGTACTTACTGTTTTTGCAGTCCTTGCCTATCCAGTCCATGGTACACTGACATGCGTACTTACTGTTTTTGCAGTCCTTGCCTATCCAGTCCATGGTACACTGACATGCGTACTTACTGTTTTTGCAGTCCTTGCCTATCCAGTCCATGGTACACTGACATGCGTACTTACTGTTTTTGCAGTCCTTGCCTATCCAGTCCATGGTACACTGATATGCGTACTTACTGTCTTTGCAGTCTTTGCCTGTCCAGCCCATGGTACACTGACATGCGTACTTACTGTCTTTGCAGTCTTTGCCTGCCCAGCCCATGGCACACTGACATGCGTACTTACTATCTTTGCAGTCCTTGCCTATCCAGTCTATGGTACAGACATGCGTACTTACGAAGATATTAGCTATGTGTACTTACTGTCTTTGCAGTCTTTGCCTGTCCAGCCCATGGTACACTGACATGCATACGATCCGTCGGTGTTGACACATTGGCCGTTATGTAGACAGGGTCTATTCAGTGAACACTCGTCCAGGTCTGTGACAGGCAGAACCATTTATTAATATATAGGTAACATAAAATGTATATCTAATACATTGCAGTCGATTGTAAATGCTTGAACAACAAATGTCACTGTGAGATAAACTTTTTAAAAATCTTCAAGACGAAAATGAATAATGTTTGAATTAATGTGATTGAACATCATTTTATTATAATCATTACATTTTTTATGTTGTGTGAATCACACAGAACATTGCACACTCGGGCTATTTGAGTAACAAGAGGTATTCGAGTTAACGGGGTTGAACTGCGGATATGAAGATATGTTTAAGTGACAAACCTTGACTACAGTCTGTACCAGTCCATCCGGTTACACACTGACAGTTGTATGAGCCCACTGTGTTGATACAATCTCCTCCGTTACGACAGGGTAGGGTCATTACAGAACACTCGTCAACGTCTGGAATCAAAATACGTAAAGCAACTATTATATCGAAACTATAGCTATAAATTCCTTTAATCAAAATAGTCCACGTCTTAACATTGCTCTAATATCATACAATAAATAACACTTCATCAAAATAAAACTGTTGATATTGATAAAGAAGTAACTCAAAATATGATATGTTGATGAAGCAGCTTCCTCCAGTATCAGCCAAAACCTCTTATTGCCCAATGATCAAACACAGAAATGTCTCAATCAAAATTAACTTTGGAACCAAAGTTGAACTTTGACCTTACCGTTCTCACAGTTGACCCCTGTCCAGCCGAGTGGACACTGACATGTGTAGGAACCGAACAGGTTGATACAGCTGCCGCCATGTTGACACGGATTCATGGTCAGACATTCGTCAATGTCTAAATGACAGCTACTTCCGGTAAATCCCGAGGAACATTCACACCGGTAGGAGCCTTCCATATCAACACAAGTCGCCGCATTCAGACAGGGGAACTGTAGACACTCATTAATGTCTAAAACAGAAAGCTTCATGTAATGTTGTTGCCGCCAATGACGTTGTTTAGTTGTTTCATTGCTAAATTGATGTGGTCAATATAGGCTAAACAAGTCTGATCAACACAAAGAATATAAAATACCTATACTGTACACCGGGAACCTTTCGACCAGTCAAATGTTCGCCCTACGCTGATGAAATATGTTTTTGCCAACTGTTAAATTGATTACTCACATTAGATTACTGTTTATAATGTTGCTTACTACTGTTCACTGTAATGATAAATTCACTCTCGCAAAGCGAGAGTTAAACTGCAGCGAAAATACAGTAATAAATACGTAAATTAATAAAAATAAGATACACTCCATATGTATAATTTATAAGGCCATAACCGGTCACAAATCACAAGGAAAATAACAGATATGGACTGTACATGGTAATTTACATGATGTTGAACTCACCTTCCTTGCAGAGCTTGCCAGTCCTGCCTGGCGGACAGACACAGTAGTAAGAGCCGGGTGTGTTCCGACAGGTTCCTCCGTTAGAACATGGGGCAATCAACTCCCTGCATTCGTTTACATCTATAAATAGACAAACAATGAGTTCATTTAACAGTACAAAAAATCAGGCAGAGGATAAGTCTCAAAATTAACAATATATTAGAAACTTTATTATCCGTGGGAGCGGTGAGAGAGAGGAGAAAGAAAGAAAATAGGGAGATCTGTACTTAAATTTACGATTGCCTCATAACAATATTCATCTGTTGTGCACATATTGGTTTGCCTAACCTTTGACACATATGCAATACACTTCCCTTATACAGATTACTAAGAAATTGGAAATATCAATTTATTTTTATGATGGTGAGAATATGACGTAGTATATGTTACCCTCTCCGCAGACCTGTCCTGTCCAGCCACCCACACAGTTACACACAAAGGAACCATTTATATTGTTACATGTAGCTCCGTTCAGACACGGGTTCTGGAATCCACATTCATTAAAATCTGTAACAAGATATATCAACAAATATGTATACCAACAAATAAAGGTTTTAAAACTGTTCCTTTCGAGTTTTATTTTAGTGTCAAATCATCGACAGAAATTTGAATAATCGCATTTAACCTATTGAAGAGAATTGGAACTAATCAAAATTTAAATTAAATTAAAAGTCCGGCATTGTGACAGCCTTCATTTTCCTTCCCATTTAATGTCCTATGCTTTAATGAAATAGCTTCCTTTTAACATACAGAACCAATTGTATATTAATTTAAGGCCTACCACACAATCTTGTCTAGTTTTACACTTTTTACAGTCATTGACCCACTGGTACAAAAATAAGTTCTAAAATACGAAATCAGGAAGAAGAGCATATTAAAATTTTGCATCCATACTGAATCTTCCACAAACCTTGTTCACAAGTAGTACCGGTCCAACCCGCAGGACAGCGACATGTGTAAGATCCCGGATTATTGATGCACGTGCCGCCATTCATACACACCATCGACGACTCGCATTCGTTAAGATCTGTCATATGTAAGTATATATATTGATGATGAATATTAATATAGTCATATTACCCATGCACAAATAATGTACAGTCAAATTATAAAGAAAACTTATTCAAGTATTTTTTTTCATATCTGTTAATGTGGTGTAATTTGATATCAAACGCATACATAATCAGCTATTTAATACAATTGAAGTCACGTAAGATAAGCATAAGTTACATATCCACAGAAAATCAGACAAGTTACATAATCGATAGTCGTATGTACAAGAAATTGAAATTGACAATATTTTGTTGTAAATGATATGATGGAGAATTTTTGCCTTTTTGAAGGTAAACATGTTCGATAAATCATTGACCAGGTAAGAATGGTACCTACCTCTTTCACAAAGGTTACCCGTCCAACCCTCGGGACAATCACAGCGATAAGAACCAATCAGATTCATGCATGTGCCGCCATGGCGACAGGGATTCGTCTGGCACTCATCCTCGTCTGTAAGTGAAAGATTTGTTTTCCTTTCCCATTTTTTCATATATCACAACTTATCGCCAAAACAACCTTACAACAAATTGTATCAGTCAAATAAAATAATTCAAATATTTGAATTGGTTCATGTAAGAGACTGCGTTATATTTATAAATATATATATATATTTATAATTTGGAACATAATTACTACATTGATTGTATACGAATTCATGTTTTATATTCAATTTGTTTAGAAGTAACTTGCACGGGTTCGGGAAATCGGAGTTTGGGAGCATTGCTATTGTTTTATCCTCCAGATTTTTACCAACATGGCTCAGTGTTACAAATACGTAAAAGTTTGTACGTACCGACATCACAGTTCTGACCAGCCCAGCCACGGGAACAAATGCAGGTATAGGCACCCTCCATGTTGACACAGGTGGCACCGTTCATACAGGGAGCAAAAAGTGCGCACTCGTCCGTATCTAAAAGAAGGAAATGATTGAAAATTGTTTACTTATGTACACATTTCGATTTCTAAATTTAGTTTCTGGTTAATTTCGATGCTGGCCATTCACTGATAATACTCTAGGTCAAACGAATAATTCCTGAACTCACCGTCACCACATGTAGGGCCTCCTCGACCAGGAAGACATGAACAGTCGTAAGATCCATTGGTGTTCACACAACTACCTCCAAACAGACAGGGCTCTGCCAAGGCAGCACACTCGTTGACGTCTAGGGTAGAAATGAAATTCTTATCATATCTGTCGCTGATTGTTAGCACAAAATGAGATGTTTTTATGCCCCAATGCAATCATATATATAATTCAAAAATGTGGTCGAATTTTGCTTTCTAGACATAGATTGATCAATAAACATTAAGATAAAATGTATACGAAATTTCGTTTTTTAGTTCCATAAAACATTCATTTATTATGCGAAACAATGTTTAGTATTTTAAAACTCCACTACAATCGTGTTGTTTTGCATACTTATATTGCCAGTTTAGAAACTTATGTGATTGCTAAAATAGATATTCGACTTTTATTACACGTGGAAAAACCTTATAACATATGATTGCAGACAGCCAATCAAAGTGAAGACTTTTGCAAATGTGTCATATGTAAGCATAAATAAACGCAGATATTATATAGGAATACACCTACCTTTAGAGCAGTTCTGTCCTGTCCAGCCCGTCTTACAGTTACAATAATAGGAACCTGGGGTATTGATACACTTCGCACCATTAGAACAGGGTTTACGTCCACACTCGTCTATCTCTGTAACGAATAGAAAATAGTTTAAGTAATATGGTAAGTAAAACATCACCACATTATAACATATACAGAGGGCAAGGTGAGTTACGAAAGGGTGACTTATTACAAACGTATACAGGACCCATCATTTGTAGTAAGTCAAAGATACGTAAATCGAATAGTGGACATTGCAATGACAGCAAGCCGCACGTTCGTTTAAATAAAGATATAGAATACATGTCGATAACTTTAAGTTGAAGGCAAGGAACTTGAATGTGAAGAGAACGTGCAGTAATTCTGTGTTCTATACAATTTAAATTTATGCGAAATATAGCACACAAGTAGAACTAAATGTAATTATTTACATGTCCTGACATTTTCATGAATGGAACGAAGAATTGTAGCTGTACACTAGAGAACCTGGTATTCATCAATTACGAAATAATTTGTTTCAACCAAAGACAAGGGTTTGTAAATGTTACAGGTTTGGCAGGGCACTGTGTCAGTGCATCACCAAACTATCTTTATTGTGATATCAGATTGTTGTTCTTATTTTCAGAAGGAACCCACCTTGGCCACAGTGTCGTCCAAAGTAGCCGAGGGGACACGCGCACCGGTAGGAGCCTGCAGAGTTGATACATGTCCCTCCATTCCGACACGGTTGCAAACTACATTCGTTCAAATCTAGAAAACACGAAAGTGATTACATCGTACGTGTTTCTGATAATAACAGTGATACGAAAAAATATGGTTTATGAAAAAGGTAGATATTCTGCTGAAGAAAACAGAAAAATATTCAAGACTCAACATACAAGAACAAAACTGCAAAACCTATGTGATCAAAATTTGAACTCAAGTACACTTTTCTATCTCTGCAACATGCTATATTTATAGAATAGGTTGGTCATAACTTAATAGGCGTGACTACGTTTACACACTGACCTATACGACAGCGCTGACCAGTCCAGCCAGGGTCACATTGGCAGGTGAAGGATCCCGGGGAGTTGACGCAGGTACCATTGTTATCACAGGGATTGATCACACACTCGTTTACATCTACAAACAGTTATAACAGTAAGGTATAGGTAAATACAAAGATTGTTTTACTTCTTTTCGTCTAAAGTTTGAGTCAATATTTTGTACTTATACCTTCTCATATTGATAAAACTATTAAAATATTCATTAAGATAAACAAAACGGTTAGTACTTAAGTATTTCGATTGCATTTTATATAAATAGCTTTTTAAATGCATACCATTTATAGATTACTCGATCATTTTAATTATCCATCCGGGTAAAACTTACTTATACGGGTCCCTTAACCTTTTTAACTTATCAGATATGTCTTGAAGTCCCTACACGATACATGTGGTATCTCGTTAAAAAGTTACCATTAATTACATTAAATCAATTACAGTATTATATAGAAATTTAATCAGAGTAACCAGTGACACCTTACTTTAAATATTAAGGTAATATCTGAATAATATCCAGTCAAATAAAATAAAATGTTTTGTTAAAAAGAACTTTTGCAAAATTGAAAACCCAAAACCTACCTCCAGCACATAACGGTCCGCTCCAGCCCTCCCCACACTGACAGACGTAAGACCCTACCGTGTTGATACACAGGGCGTCGTTCATACAGGGATTAGTGAGGGAACACTCGTCATTGTCTACAAAAGTTACAATGTTAAAACCTCAACCATTTTGGCTTTTGTGGCAGATGCGAGATTAATTCAAACCACAACATGTTCTAGCAGGAGATTATATCCTTAATTCTGATGTTCTATATTTCCGGTAATGGGAAAGACTGAATACATATTATTTTCGCAGAGAAATGATACGTTTACACATGTTGTTTGGTTGGTGTTGTGACGAAATTATCCTAAAAATATCCGCATACAACTTTATAAATTGAACAAGTATTGTTTATAGTTATTCCTGTTTATCCAATGTATTAGGGGGATTCATACCTATCTCACAGTTGGATCCGTGGTAGCCGGGCGGACAATGACAAACGTAGGATCCGGGGCTATCCTCACATGTAGCTCCGTTAGCACATGGGAATTGTAGACATTCGTTTACCCCTGTCAAACGAAATACTTTGTATACTTTCTTTATACGAAATAAACCGCATTCATCAACCTGTTTTATCATCACTGGGTGTTCACTGTTTGTCCTGCATTCGAAACAAACTTGATATTGTTCGTGACATTTCGCTTTGAGCTATAAACTTTACAATGACTGAAAGATATGTGTAGGAAAAGATAAAGACTAGCAAGAACCGATGATTTACCATAATGAACCTAATCAACGCGATGGACGTTTTACAGCAACCCAGGTAGAACAACTGGATTATAAAACATAACGACTTGTTAAAGCTCACGTACCTGTGGAACAGTTTAGTCCTACCCAACCTAATGGACAGGTGCAGTAATAGGATCCGAACGTGTTTACACATGAACCTCCATTCTTGCAAGGAGCAGCGTCACATTCCGGAATATCTATATTACACATCATCAAAAGTAATAAATATCTTATATTTCTATTAGTGATGTGTAAGGGTTTATTGTGAAATAATAGCTAATAAGTTATTTTAACTTGAAATGGAAGATTTACAATGACCAATCAGAAACCCGTACTTTATGTAAAAACATTAACTTAAAACAAAACCTCGTTCGTTCGACTGGTCGAGTTAAATCGGTTATCAGCAACGTTGTGTTGTTGCTATATCCAGATTGTCCTTTACAAATAGAACATGTTCAACATTCATTTTTTTAGATAAATACCAAATGTATTTCAAAACAATGCATGAAAATCAAAGAAATATCCCTCTCGGTGAAAAGCATTGTTATTTACCATTAGTATCTCCTGATGACGTGAAAAGTGAAAAATGAACTTACAATTCTAAAGGTTAGACACGGCCAAATACTCAGACACGCCGTTGTATCACACATCAACTCTCTATTACTCATAAATTCTAAAATATTTCAAGTCATTGAATCGTTATTACTCACCAATTCTACAGTACTTTCCAGTAAAGCCCGGCGGACATTCGCAGTAGAACGATCCGAAAGTGTCGAAGCATGTCCCGCCATTTGCGCAAGGGTTTCCATTACATTCCTTTACATCTGTTACAAGAAAATGCTTAAATAATAATATCACTGATTATCTTGACATGCCATTTATTACTTATTAGAACAAAAGACTAAAACAGTACTGATTTAAATATCACATGTGTGATTGTTGGCTGTATTAATTTTACCTGTTTCACAGTTGGTTCCCATGAAGCCCTCCGGACAGTCACAGCGATACGAGCCCTCTAATTCTACACATTTACCGTCGTTTTGACACGGGAACGCAAGGCACTCCAGAACATCTAGACGTAAAAATATCCGTAAATACACGAAAAACTGAAGGTTCCTCCGGAGGCTTATATAATATGTCAATATTGTCTTTATGATTGATGTTCCAAATTATCGACATTTCTAGTTATCAGTTTTTGAGAGTGATACCCTGATGTTGTAAATGCTACACTTTATTAATTTACACTATTACTGGTGTTACATGCAATAATAGAAACAATTGTATTAAAAATAAGTTTAAACTTCTAAATAATTATAATGTGGGAATAGTGAATTGGACGCATCGCAATTACCTTGTTTACAATTGGGACCTGTCCAGCCAGGAAGGCAGTTACAACTATAGCCCCCGTCTGTGTTGATGCATTCTCCTCGGCTAGAACACACGCCCGTCAAAGTATAGCACTCATTGATATCTGAAATGTATATAAGACATAAAATTAATTTAGGGAAACAATATAACGAACTTGGATAAGTGGTAGTGAAAATGTGATTAACAATAGTATGTATACTGTGTTTCTAACTGTTTTCGAATCGAGTAAGCGAAGATTATATAAAGTGTGTTATAGTGAACACTGTCAATACAAATTGTCGATACGTACAATACTTCCATTCGAAGTATATTAGTCAATTTCTTTAGAAAGGAATATAGTGGGTTGTTCTTCAAGGTTAGGATTTCTGAATCCTACCGAATTCAGTTATATTGAGACAGATCACTTTGTATACCTGGTGGATTCCACAATCGGATACCTATCATTATAGAGTTACTGGGTACGTCGGAAGTTTTATCTTTGATAATTTTTTGTTAAGGAACTTCAACGTTAATTTAAAATGCTTCTATGTATGATTATGCATCCTCATGACATTAATTTCAAACTGAAAGTCCATCAAGACAAACACAGGGAGTAAAGAGGTATCAGTAAGGCGAGATATCACGAGAATCCCGTAAATACGGAGGCGAGACATCACGAGATCTCTCGTAAATATGGAGGCGAGATATCACGAAATCCTTCGTAAATACGGAGGCGAGACATCACGAGATCCCTCGTAAATACGGAGGCGAGACATCACGAGATCCCTCGTAAATAGGGAGGCGAGACATCACGAGACCCCCGTAAATACGGAGTCGAGACATCACGAGATCCCTCGTAAATACGCAGGTGAAACAAAGTGATATTATTGGTAAATACGGAGGTGTAAAATACAATTTAACATAATGTTGATGTTCGTACAAACTTACCTAGCTGACAGTTTTGACCGGTGTAGCCTGGTAGACATATACACTTGTAGCTACCTCCCACCTCCTCACAGGTGGCGCCATTGTAACAGGGGTTCATTGCACACTCAAGTTCATCTATACCAAAAAATGCAACGCACACTTCTTAATCATTGACTTGTTACTTTCATAATGACGGCATGTCTTGTACCCGATCGGTTTTGAAATGTATGGCTATATGATTTAATAAACACAGATCCATGTCTATGTCTTCCTTTACTAGTTCAGATAGATATCACACTTTTATCTTTACTTTTTTAATAGTTTCGCCATTGGCGTCTTCAGTAATAAGATTCCATTAATCAAAAGATGCAAACAATTTGTTATGAATGCAATAAACAGTTTTTCCTACCTTTTGGCAACATCCGATAATGACCTCATACTTTTCTCGTTACTATTTGTTCATATAAAATTAAACAAGCGAGAACCATTCCTTTTCTTCTCTCTCAAATGTTCATCAAATTTAAATTACTAAAACAATTAAATTTTTCACAAATGTTCAAAATAATAATGAGCATCATACTTTTTAAAGCAATTTATCTGAATGCGTACCGACAGTGCAGTTGTCTCCCTTCCAGCCTTGTGGACAGCGACATCTATATCCTCCCTGAGTATTGATACACGTCGCTCCGTTAGCACAAATACCTTGGTATTCTACGCACTCAAATACATCTATAAATAATATAAATGGGTATGTTGAGCAACAACACTATGTATTCTTTTTTATATAAAGTAGGAGAAATGCTGGTACTTTACTCGAAATAAGTAATAAATGTTAACACAACCCCTGTATTTATAGCATAACTTAGAAACAATTTTGCTTTTAATAGGAACGAGCGGCTGGCCAGAATCACACTGGGGGCATATGTAAATTTTGGATTTGTGGTCAACCAATACTAACGCAAGCATTCTTTTAGGGAACAATGTATTCAAATATTTAAATGTTTTGATGATGAGGGTTCGGATATTTGGCTTTCTAAGTATATTGATAAAATTGCTAAATCCGATGGTAAAGTCAGTCTCGACGCTATTTTTTGTAATGAGAGTTTGAATTTAGAATATATCCCACTTAACCCATTTACAGTTGGCTTTTGTAACGTATGTTCCTAGTGTTCTGAATCAACGTCTTAGAACTAGATTTCAATTTGCCATGCAAGACAGACCTGTATCCTGACGTTACCTAATTCGCAGTATTTCCCTGTCCAGCCAGTAGGACAGACACATCGGAACGATCCCTGAGTGTTGAGACAGCTAGCATTATGTTGACACACATTCAGCGTGCACTCGTTGATGTCCACGTCACAAAGGTCACCAGTCCATCCTCGGTCGCAAGAGCAGAAGAAGGATCCCGGAATGTTGACACAAGTTCCGCCATTCTGACAGATGTCGGTCTGTCTACATTCATTTACATCTGTCAACAGCAAAAACGGTGATAATCTTTAATTTGTCAAATCAACAGGCAAATACATTTGTTTCCAAACGTATAGCGCAACACTTTCTAACGCATATATGGAGTTAAGTACAATCTTTTAATTGCTAAGGAAATATTGGTCAACAAATTTATTTATTTATTTCCAATTTAAAAGACCACAGGGTCCACTTACAGAATGGATGACAACAATACAACACAAGTATAAAATATCACAGTCAGTTCGCATGCAGCACATACTAAAAGATACTCATATGCAAAACAAATGGAATTAGTGATAGCAAGTATTCTTTAACCGTGCTTTGAACTGCTTTGAGGAATCAAGATAGTTAAAATTACATTGAATCCTGTTTCGAACACTACTTTCTAACGTGTATTCGACTTCTCTGGCAGTAAAAGTGATTGAAGCGAATCGATCGTAGACTACGATCACTGACTAAAACATACATTTACCTGACTAATAGTAAATATGGACAATCAAAAGCACTATTAACACATTTGTAAGGAAATTCACTGTCTAAAAAGTCCCGCCTATATTCGAGGCTAGGTTAAAATGCCTACAAGTGTCAGCTTAAAATTAAATAAATGTAAAGATAATTCGTTTAAATAATCAATAACATAGATAGACAGTTTCTACCAACTTACACTCCATGCTAGGAGTAACAATATATTGCAAGCTCATCGACAACTCTTACCGAATTCGCAGTTTGTGCCGGTCCTGCCAGGTACACACATACAAATGTAGGAGCCGGGAGTGTTCACACATGAACCGTCGTACAGACAAGGACTCAAGCTGTTACACTCATTCTGGTCTGAAAAATACATATAGATGCGATTTTTTATAATAAGTGTTCTTACCTGCAAGCTATTTATCCTAACTCTTAAGAATTAGCGATATTTGCAAACATGTTTGAGTTAATCAAATAGAGAGTTGTTTTTGTTACTGTTTGATACTGGTTGTATGGTCGTATATATATGATAACGTCTTTAACAACAATAATCTGTTGGACTCTGTTTGTACCATTGCACAGATCATACTTATAACTGGTGTTGTCTGGTTTCTGATAGTTTTCTAAGTTCAATTTTCCGACATATAACGAAGACATTTGGAGAACTTGAACGTGGTATCGAACGCATAACAGCTTATTCGGAATCATATCATTTTTTGTAACAGGTGATGTTTCCGTTTTGGATTTGAATTTAAACGGCAATAAAGGACACACCGGTTTCTCCACTCACCGTTCTTACTAAGACTGGATCACATTTATAAAGACTGTTTAGTAACGCATTGTGTCGACTTACCGTCCTGACAAACACATAACGACATTTCAGTCATACATTGTATCCATTTACCGTCCTGACAAACACATCACGACATTTCAGTCATACATTGTATCCATTTACCGTCCTGACAAACACATAATGACAATTCAGTCATACACTGTATCCATTTACCGTCCTGACAAACACATAACGACAATTCAGTCATACACTGTATCAATTTACCGTTCTGGCAAACACAAAACGACAATTCAGTCATACATTGTATCCATTTACCGTCCTGACAAACACATAACGACAATTCAGTCAGACATTGTATCCATTTACCGTCCTGACAAACACTTAACGACAATTCAGTCATACATTGTATCCATTTACCGTCCTGACAAACACATAACGACAATTCAGTCATTCGGTGTATCCACTTACCTTCCTGACAATGTTTGCCGGTCCAGCCCATTGGACATTTGCAGTAGTAGGAGCCGGGAGTGTTCTCACACTGACCTCCGTTCTGACACATGTTCACTTCACACTCGTCAACGTCTTCAACAAAAAGAGGAAATTAAGCATGTGGAAGAATGCAGAAGTTATAATAAAGTTACAGTTAGGTATACACATTATTTACTGATTTCCTTTTGACAATATACATAATTATACATGAAATATTAAAGTAAAATGTTCGTTATGTTTGTAATACCAGTCAAAATCAAATCGATAAATATTTTTTTGAAAAGAATCTTTACCCTATGTAGTAAATTAATGAACGTATCCCTAGAACGCAACACTGAAGGCCTAAGCCACTCACCGTATTCACAGAAAGCTCCTTTCCAGCCTGGAGGACAGATACAGTTGCTCTTGCCTTGTTGTGTGGTCTGGATACAAGTGGAGCCGTGCTGACATCTGTTCAGTAGGCAGGGTATCATAGCTGTGGACGAGGGAAAGGTACAGAATCATAGTATCATAGCTGTGGACGAGGGAAAGGTACAGGATCATAGCCATTAACAAGTAAAGGCACCGTGGAATGTAGCTGTGTGGACAACCAAAGTAATAAATTGGAGGTAAAAAGCACACCCCTTATCAAACTTTTTTTTGTGATGGCTCTGATAGCCTGAACAACTTGTTTTACACTAAAAACTCAGACTGGCTTCCATTTCATTAATAGCTGACATTTTGAAATGGTATTTTTCAATATATAAATAAAACAGTGTCTAAAACCTAAAACAGATTCAGAACATATGCATCTGGAAAGTAGGTGTTCTGTATATCTTACTTAGTGAAGTGGTGGCTTCAGGGAAGGCTGGTGTTGTCGAGATGTGGGGATGTTGTGAATGATCCTCCATGGTCCAGTTGGACGGCTTCATGTGCACCTTACAACTTCCGGTTTCCAGGAGTAAATTGTCCAACCGGAAGTAGTCCTTCCCTGCAATCACAGACTTAGGGGCGTTCACCTGCAGGATGTCCACCGACAGACCCCCCAGACTGGGTGTGAAGGCGTGACTGAAGTAACTGCTGAACGTGATCGTCTTGGGTGATGACTTGAGGCTTAAAACAAAATATTGGATACAAACATTATACCATTATACCATTCCTTAAAGTAGGTGTAATAACATACATTCATAAAAATACATTCCATGTACGCTTATTTATCTGGTAATGCAGATATTATAAATTGCCACAATGGAGACATATAAATACTCAATTGGTCAACATAACCTTCTTAATATTAATATTTCATCGTAATGTTTGACATATACAAAAAGAAAACATACCCGAAATTCATTATATAACATTCCAAGAACTCGGAGTTCAGTACACTGGTGTTATAGTACTTTCGTACCTGTAAAAAGTTAAAAATCAAAACAAATTAAAATATACTTGGAATACAGTTTGTACAATAATGGGTTATCAATTCAATATCTAACAAAAGAGAAAGGCAACTATACTTTGTTTTTTATTACTTCTCTAATTGAAATTCCAACGTAAGGAGGTTTTTTAAATCAAAGAAATGAGTGAAATATTGTTTAAGTTAGATTTTTTTTAATCAAAGTGGAAGATGACATCCACTTTTTAACATCGCTTTATGACATCAACAAGCCATTTTTCTTTTTCGTGACCGCTTGTTAATGTCTTTTAAGACACCATCATAACAAATTATCTCCCTTGGATACGTTACGCCGTCGGATTACTCTGCCTTAACCATTTCACAGACCCTTCTGTTGTTCATATGGATACTTACATCACTACACAGACTCTTCTCCTGTTGTTTAAACGGATACGTGGCGCGGTCGGAGTATTCAATAGGTAGAGTCCTGTTGTACAAATTGCAAGTCAGCTCCACCTTCGTCGCCGCTAAAATTACAACATATATCATAAGCACCATAGTAATCGTAGAATCAATTAATTTTGTAACAGTTATTTGAAATTAAGATTCTGAATTAATTTCTAATACCATTGACTTAACATTGGTTTTCTTAATAATTTATTTACCTTCGATTTGGTAAAAATGTTATAACACATGATATATAATTTATGGTAAACTTTTTCTGTAACTTCGTGTACTTGTTTTTGCATTTTCTAATGTGTTATCATGTTCTTAAAATTAAAATAACAAAGAAATGAAAATGACTAAACCAATTATATATCACATATATTACAACCAGTAGCAAATTAATTCATTGTGACATCAATTATGCTAAAATGAATAAAAGATTTTGTAGCTTTCTAATATTTTAACTCGTACTGCGAATTCGAACTTCTACATGTTCTCAACCCGACGATAAGCGAAATAATAAATATTTACAATACACAATGGTGGTCGTTGCAGGCATGGTGTTAGTCGCTGTCGGAAATATATTGATAGTCTTTGTGTCCACCGTGTAATTTGTGACTTTCAGGTCAAGGTCAGACCTGTCCCATATAAGCTTCAGATTCCCGACATCCACCAAATCAAAGCCGTCCCGATTTTCATGAGGAGCAACATTCTTGAATACATGTGTGATGTCATCCCGTATGTATTCTCCGTTTGGAGCCGAAAATGTTAGATGGAAGTTGACATTACTTGGGAAACGTCTACAGAAGAAAAATGCTTAGCATGAAGTTGATGCAATATATATATATATATAACATCAAAACTGTCTAGTTTTATTAAATTGATACAATGTGTCGGACTTAAACATGCTATAATTGTTTACTTACTCGAAGTAGTCGATCTGACACTGCTGCAAATGTTTGGAAACGCTGGCAGACTTGAAATGACGACGTAACTGGAAAGAAATTGAATATTGTTAAAATCTATTTCACCTGCGCTGCTTTTTAAAGATTAGCCGAATGCCCAAATGATATAATTCACACAAATATTCAATTCATTAATATAAGTAGGTAATTACTTTACCAAAGTATATTTTATGAAATCATCTGTCGCATTTCATTTGTCAATTGAAGTATTTCTGCTCATCTTGTTTAAGCACGACTCAAACATATTGTTTAAAGTATATCATATCAATGATTTTATTACTTCATCACAGAATGTAGACTGGATTTCACGGTATCGCTGAGAGTTTGGATTGGCTAGATCGCTTGTGTATTTGAAGTCGTAGAGTCCATACGTCATGTTGGCATAGGTGGCATCTAAAAAATACAAAAGAAATGTTTAAAATTTTGTTTTCATATACCAAATATTAGCATTACACAAACATTTTGAGTAAAATGGATTTAAAATGGATTTCTTTTATATCCGTGGTATATTTTCATCATAAAAGTCAGTTTTTAGGGAAGATCTGGGCGGCACTGCTAGTTATAACATTTTGTGTAACAACATATTTAAAATAGTGTTATATGCATTACATACTGAGCTGTCAATGAATCTGCTACGATCACCGAGCACGCCAACAAATCCTCTATGCAAAAGGTTGATTGTTTGAGATAAACAACAATGTCCACTTCCTATAGGACTTCTTAAGACCAACTGATCATTTTTCTGCTCTTATCTATATCCACACTCTCTAAAAAATTATATATCAAAGCTACCTAAACATTTATACAAAGAGTTGCAGTGAGGATGACCTACCGTACACAACATAGACCGTGGAGGTCCCAGAGTTTCCAGGCATGGTTAACGTTGGCGTCTCACTGACATAAACGGTCTTCGTCAGAGTATCTATCTGCATGGACGTAGTCAATGTGGACTGGGCGCCCTTCGTCGGCATAATGGTGGCCTCTGTTCGCCATACGATCTTGACCTCTATACCCTCCAGGATGACCAGAAGGTCGCCGACTAGGTAAGTCTTTAGCTTGTCTATCTCCGAGTCTTTGTCGTCAACTATAAACTCGGGAGCGTTCTCTTTGATCAGGGATATAAAGTGGTGCACATTGAATCCCCAGGGATGTTTAAACATCAGGGAAAACTGACCCTTACTGTAGCTTTTCCCCTTATCTGGTGGCCTGAAACAGCAAAGTTTGTAGTGGCGTTTCTTCGAAATATATAAAGCAGACATTGGAACATATACAAGAGAAAGTAAGCCGTTCCTCCTGTTTTCTGCCTTTCTGCGACTTATTACCTTCCGTTGCTAGTCTCCAATTTTTCATTTCAAGTCAATTTTATTGTACCAAAATGTGAACAAATGGATTAGGCACAGGTATTGCCTATAAATGCTCTTTCTCTTCACCTTTAACATTGCCCACTTCTAAAAGATAGAATATGATGAAGCATCAACACTAAATATTCCGTAATGGTAAACTTTTATTGGTTTACATGTTTGAGGTGGCTAGGCCGACCGTCATCACAATCATTTGCTGGAACTGTACTGTTAGTACTTCGGTATCCACCTCAGATCCTTTGTGTTTGTGGGTTGTTGAATTCAATAAACCAATGCTTCATTTTTCAACATTTATCCCGACATTATTATGAGTATATATTTTTTTCACTTTTCAGTTCCTATATCTTTGATTAGGACATGTATGGACGTGTTCCGTTATCTTGACATACCAAATAATCACCTCACTTATTACATATAGTGCTTAAGACAATGTAACTTCTAGCAGCTGATAGTAAATATCAGCTCATACCTTATACCGTTGATTTTATGTTGTCCCTTGAAATGTTTAATTTCATTGTATAAAACATGTATATAAAATTACATAGCCGGGAATATTTACTCACAGGAAGCCTGTCATTGTACATGTTTGAAAGGAATCTTTCAGGTCACTTCGCACATAAAATGTTTCCAGCTGGAAAGAAAGAAAACGAAAAATGAACTATCATCATATTAAAATATTCGTCCATTGAAATTGTTATTTTGGGTGTTGGCAACTTTGACGTTATCTTATAGCAAGTTTTGTAACCTGAGATGATGTTTACACTGCCTGTATTGACATATTTGGGTTTTTGTTGAGCTATTTTTCCATGGGACCATAAAAGATTGTTTTTATAAATGATTAAGTGACATACATTTTTACAGAATGCTCGTGCCAGGCCGGACGCTCGTGCTGAGTTAATGTCCTTGAGATTGTTGGTGTATGTAAGGTTGTACAGATATACGGTCAGTTCTGCTATCATGGTCTGGTCAGCTGTCAACACAATCAAATTCATTAATAATGAAGATAATAAAAATGTATTATTTAATTTTAACGTTTTATGATGACGCTGTGATATGTAAAACTACACAAGAAATATCTACAAATAATGATACACAGTCCTTACTGCTGCTACTGCATATTTGAAAAGCACAAAAAAAGAGAGTTCTAAAATGCATGTATATTATATGGCACAAGCCGTCACGAATAGAGATCCTTGATAAAGGTCAAAGGGCACACTAATTATCAAGTTAAATTGTAATAACTTTAATGAATTGGTGTGTATTACCAAGCCGCCTTAGAAATGGTTTTATCATGTTTTCTTTGTTGGTGTCTTTTTTTAATATTACTTAATAAAATTAATGTTTGAACATAGCCAATGTTGTTTACGATCAACTGAGTGTGCGCATGCGTAGTTAACGTTACTTACGAGCCGGGGTGCTTGGCGTTGGTTTTATTGTAGTGGTAGAGGCTGGTCCGAGGTCAATCCCTACGTCTATGATATCAACGTTTCCGCCATCAAAGGGCTCAATTAAAAGTGTTCCGATCATCCTCAGTTCGATGTCATTCACTCGGATCTTTTTGGATTTATCTTTTATCACTTGTATCACGTGATTCTGCATGAGTGGGTATCGTTTACCCTTAAATTGCACGTGAGTATTCACTGTGACGGGGTTATTTCTAAAACATGATGATCAAAACATGTATAAAACGAACATATGATACATTTTATCAATATATCCAATTGTATATAATGGACTAGCAATAAGGGAACCAAATGATGCAATTTATAAATAATTGAATAAAACAAAACATAACTTACCCAAATCCTTGCACCTCACAATTATAATACCGGTGACTAAGCAGGCTTGTGCGGAAAATTTTCTTTATCTATAAATACAAATGGAGATATGAATGGATATGAAATAATCATCTACTCAATAAACATATAAGATTATGTTTGAAAGAAAAACAAGCGACTCTGAAAATTAAAATCGGTGTGAATGGTATATAACTAATGCAGTCAGGACACGTTCTACAAATTACCGTTTAAAATATTGCCACAAAAGTATTCTCTTAAAATAGAAGATATCAACTCACATCCTCACAGAATGGCAGAGAGTGACGTAGATATTCGTTAGAGAAGTTAAACGCCAGATCATCAGTCCACGTCAGGTTAAACACGCGTACCGTCAGATTTATCATCACCGCATCTAAACAAAAAACCATATGATCCTCATTGTCAATAAGATAGGAAATATTACAAATGCATGCAGCAACATAGTGGAATATTGTTGATATATTATTTCGTCATCATTACAATGTTCGTGTAGTTATTGTGTCAATGAAATAAAAGTATGACTATATGCAATAATATCTCTTTTACAGTTAAGGACAAAAGTACCGAAGTTTTTCATTTATTTATTGGAATAGTGTATACTCATTCAAAATACATTGAGAACTATACCTATTGTCGTTAACATACTGGAAATGCTGTGACCGGCGTTACTTATCTTTGGTTTAATATCCTTTCTGTGATTCCACATTCTGCTATGAATAGCCTTACTAACGGTCACATGTCTTATACAGGGGTACCTACCCATACCATCTCTCTATATTTAAGGGAGTCCCATAATGTTTGATCATCTTTTCTTGCAGTTAAAATCAGCAGTTTGCTTTTCCCCCCACATTGAATTAAATCATACTTTGAATAATGACGTAATACTCTAGCCAAATATGAGTCGTTATAATAACTATTTAGACATTTCCAGATTTAGCCACGCGCCACGAGATTTTCTCCGTGAAGAACAGGTGCTAAGTTCCGTACCTATGACACCGTAATCCGGGATTGGCGTCGGCGGCATGGGAACCCTCATATTAGTGATATCTACAACAAAGTCTCGTATCAACATCACATGGAAGCCGTCCTTAAATCTCTTTCTCGTTCTGTCTCGTAACGTCCGCATTATCTCCCCTTCCGTGACGAGACCCGCGAAAGACAGGTCGAAATCCACCATCACAGTTTTCCCGCTTTGTGTCCTAGAAGAAAGAGTGATAGTTGTGATATTGAGATTTGTTGAAGAAAAGAAGCATGTTACAAACAATAGATTTAGTTGAATGCTTAAAGTTAAGATGATCAATATACTGTAAATTAATAATGCTTATTTTTAATCCCCGAGTCAATTCGAGATGAGAATTCCTGATATTGAGTCAAGTACATCTTAACAAGGTATGTATTCTTGCAATTATTCATTTTGCGAAATAAATTCTTTCGTTGACATCGTTTTAAGAAAAATAAAAATATTCATAAGCGTAAAATTAATAATTTTAGAAAAGTATATAACATAATGATATTTAAACGACTGTAGCCTAATTATATCATTTATTTACCTTTCTGTTAGAGAGTTTCAGCATCGTACATTGGAATTATAATGACATGGTAAGCAACCGGAATGGTAGTGACATAGAAGGAAGCAACCGGAATGGTAGTGACATGGTAGGGAGCAGCCGGAATGGTAGTGACATGGTAGGGAGCAGCCGGAATGGTAACAACAAGGTAGGGAGTAGCCGTAATGGTAATGACATGGTAAGCAACCGGAATGGTAGTGACATGGTAGGGAGCAGCCGGAATGATAGAGACATGGTAGGGAGGAGCCGTAATGGTAATGACATGGGAGGGAGCAGCCGGAATGATAGAGACATGGTAGGGAGGAGCCGTAATGGTAATGACATGGTAGAGAGCAGCCGGAATGATAGAGACATGGTAGGGAGGAGCCGTAATGGTAGTGACATGGTAGGGAGCAGCCGGAATGGTAACAACAAGGTAGGGAGTAGCCGTAATGGTAATGACATGGTAAGCAACCGGTATGGTAGTGACATAGTAGGGAGCAGCCGGAACGGTAATGACATGGTAGGGAGCAGCCGGAATGGTAGTGACATTGTAGGGAGCAGCCGGAATGATAGAGACATGGTACGGAGCAGCCGGAATGGTAGTGACATGGTAGGGAGCAGCCGGAACGGTAATGACATGGTAAGCAACCGGAATGGAAGTGACATGGTAGGGAGCAACCGGAATGGTAGTGACATGGTAGGGAGCAGCCGGAACGGCAATGACATGGGAAGCAACCGGAATGGTAGTGACATGGGAGGGAGCAGCCGGAATGGTAGTGACATGGTAGGGAGAAGCCGGAATGGTAGTGACATGGTAGGGAGCAACCGGAATGGGAGTGACATGGTCAGGAACCGGAATGGTAATGACATGGGAGGGAGCAGCCGGAATGGTAGTGACATGGGAGGGAGCAGCCGGAATGGTAGTGACATGGTAGGGATCAGCCGGAATGATAGTGACATGGTAGGGAGCCGCCGTAATGGTAGTGACATGGTAGGGAGCAGCCGGAATAATAGAGACATGGAAGGGAGCAGCCGGAATGGTAGTGACATGCTAGGGAGCAGCCGGAATGGTAGTGACATGGTCAGGAACCGGAATGGGAATGACATGGTAGGGAGCAGCCGGAATGGTAGGGACATGGTAGGGAGCAGCCGGAATGGTAGTGACATGGGAGGGAGCAGCCGGAACGGTAATGACATGGTAAGCAACCGGAATGGTAGTGACATAGTAGGGAGCAGCCGGAATGGTAATGACATGGTAAGCAACCGGAATGGTAGTGACATAGTAGGGAGCAGCCGGAACGGTAATGACATGGTAAGCAGCCGGAATGGTAGTGACATGGTAGGGAGCAACCGGAATGGTAATGACATGGTAAGGAACCGGAATGGTAGTGACATGGTAGGGAGCAACCTGAATGGTAGTGACATGGTCAGGAACCGGAATGGTAATGACATGGGAGGGAGCAGCCGGAATGGTAGTGACATGGGAGGGAGCAGCCGGAATGGTAGTGACATGGGAGGGAGCAGCCGGAACGGTAATGACATGGTAAGCAACTGGAATGGTAGTGACATGGTAGGGAGCAACCGGAATGGTAGTGACATGGTCAGGAACCGGAATGGTAATGACATGGTAGGGAGCAGCCGGAATGGTAGTGACATGGTAGGGAGCAGCCGGAATGGTAAATGACATGATAGGAAGCAACCGGAATAGTAGCGACTGAGATAGGGGGCAACTAAAATGGTAGTGATAACTGGGTAAGGAGGCAACTGGAATGGTAATGACTGGGTAATGGGGCAACTGGAATGGTAATGACTGGGTAAGGGAGCAGCTGGAATGGTAATGGCGAGTAAGGGGTCAACCGAAATGGTAATGACTGGGTAATGGGGCAACTGGAATGGGAATAACTGGGGAAGGGGGCAACTGGTATGGTAATAGCTGGGTAAGGGGGCAACTGGAATGGTAATAACGGGGTAAGGGGGCAACTGGTAGGGTAATAACTGGGTAAGGGGGTAGCGGGGATGGTAATAACTGGGTAAGGGGGTAACTTGAATGGTAATAACTGGGTAAGGGGGGACCTGGAATGGTAATGACTGGGTAAGGGAGCAGCTGGAATGGTAATGACTGGGTAATGAGGCAACTGGAATGGTAATGACTGGGTAAGGGGGTAACTGGAATGGTAATAACTGGGTAAGGGGGGAACTGGAATGGTAATGACTGGGTAAGGGAGCAGCTGGAATGGTAATGGCGAGTAAGGGGTCAACCGAAATGGTAATGACTGGGTAATGGGACAACTGGAATGGTAATGACTGGGTAATGGGGCAACTGGAATGGTAATGACTGGGTAATGGGGCAACTGGAATGGGAATTACTGGGTAAGGGGGTAACTGGAATGGTAATAACTGGGTAAGGGGGGAACTGGAATGGTAATGACTGGGTAAGGGAGCAGCTGGAATGGTAATGGCGAGTAAGGGGTCAACCGAAATGGTAATGACTGGGTAAGGGGGCAACTGGAATGGTAATGACTGAAGTTATACGCCTTATTATACAACAAACACCTTTTAAGAAACGATACTTCAGATCAAAAGAAGCAATTACAATATCAGTACTTACCCCAGTATGCCTGAACACTGGCAGGCGATAGGATTTGGATTTATTCTGAAAATGGAGACAGCAGGAAAACATTTTGATTTTTATCATTTTCATAGGAGACTTCACAGGGTAATAACACCATCAAATAACTTCGATATTTAACAAAATAATATCTAATGAATTTAATAATTAAAAATCATGTTATTGAATTATCATTATGATATGAAAAAGTGTCTTACGAACATTGTCCGTTATTTCAGTGTGTGAGAGATTTGCTCAATTATCACCTGTTACTTACGTGGTAAAGAAAAACTGTGTTATTTATAGCTTTTAATTTATATGTCATTTATTATTACTGCTTGTATAGCATCGAATGTAAGAGAAGAATGCCAGTGTCTCCTTACTCTAATAGTAGACTGGATGAACAGGTGTTGGAGATGGCTAATTATTATGTAATTGTATAATTGTTCTTTTTACATGTGACACTTTAATAAACTTTTTTCAATCGAATTTTTTTTTTGTAATTAATCATTATTTATTTTTGTTACCTGAGAGCTTTTACACTGCAGGCCCGGTACTTGTCAGAAATGAAGCCGGCATTCTCAAAGTATTTATCCACCTATAATACAAAAGGGTCGTCATGCTAACGGGTTTATCCACTGATTTCATACACATTATTATACAGCATTGTTTGACCTTAAATATCGACACATCCGAGAAATACGTAGTCTACCACCTCGTATAGTAACTAAAGATAATCATTATTTTTTCATATTCTATTTTTATTTTTTCATCAAATTCTATTTTTATTTTAACAGAAAGTGGTAAATAATATTGTACAAGGAGTCTGTTTAAGTATGACATCGTTGTCTTTTAAGATTAATCTTTTTTCCGTTTACAATAATCTCTGCTTTCGTTCTTTGTAAAAAAAAAAAAAAAAAAAACTGAATGCAAACACGATCTGTACACATACACCTAGGGATGATAGCAGTTACATGTACGGTTGTATCTATTCTGACGTTTTATCGACTTTTTTTTATGTCGGTCTGTCGTCGATTAACGTCAGAACTCCGGACCTCTATAATATGCGGGAAATATGCGACCCGCGCCCGGAGCGCACTTCAAAATGATATTTTAGAAACAAATCGTCACTTTCACACACATGTCGCACATGGATCGAAAGATCTATTCTTTATGCACAAGATGAACATACATAACATGCCTCAAACAACCAATACAATCACTAAAAACATATTTTTTCAAATTTACTCTGTTTTACTCTAGTTTTTTGATAGCCCCGCCTTCTAATGCCACGTGACTAAAATCTCGCCGGCCTACGTCATAACGTTGGGAAATACCTTCGGTAACGCGAGATCTCGTCAAGTCATGTGACATTGCTCATGGCCTAATTTCCATTAAAAACATGGGTTGGTATAGAAAACGTTGGAAAATACTTTTCGTAATGATCTTTGAAACATGTTATTGATACCACCTAGTGCATAAAGAATAGATCTTTCGATCCATGTGCGACATGTGTGTGAAAGTGACGATTTGTTTCTAAAATATCAGTTTGAAGTGCGCTCCGGGCGCGTGTCCCATATTTCCCGCATATTATAGAGGGCTGGAGTTCTGACGTTAATCGACGACAGACCGATATGAAAAAAGTCGTTAAAACGTCAGAATAATTCGGACTAGATTGTATCGTTCTTTATATGATAAGGTAAAAACAACCAAATGTAAAGAGTACTAAATAAAGTATTCTTAAATATTCGGTTATATACGGTCCTATACTGGTATATATCATATATTATCAGGTGACTAAATAGTGGGATAATCAGATTAACGCAAGCTTAATAGTGTGACAATTAAAGTGAAGTGCAGGTAGTGGCTCAAATGTGGTGACTAGATAGTGGGGCAAACAGATTAACGGAAGCCTAATAGTGTGACAATTAAAGTGAAGAGCAGGTTGTGGCTTAGTCAGAGGTGCTGACTAGATAGTGGGACAAACAGATTAAAGCAAGCTTAATAGTGTGACAATAAAAGCGAAGAGCAGCTAGTGGCTTAGTCAGAGCTGGTGACTAGATAGTGGGACAAACAGATCAACTGAAGCATAATAGTGAGACAATTAAAGCGAAGAGCAGGTAGTGGCTCAAAGGTGCTGACAAGATAGTGGGACAAACAGATTGACGCAAGCTTAATAGTGAGATAATTAAAGCAAAGAGCAGGTTGTGGCTCAAAGATGGTAACTAGATATGGGGGCAATCAATTAAGTCGCGACTTGATAGTGGCAGAGGTATTCCAGTAGTGTTAGGATAGAGTGAAAACATATTAGTGGTGAATGGATATTAAGAAACACCACAGAAGAAACATCAGAGAGGGATGGCTGGATAATGACCTATCCTAATTAATGGTAGTGGGAGGCTAGAGAGGAAGTGACTTGATTGGCTAGGCTGTAGATACAAAAAAAACCTGAATTTATCTTTTATTTATTCCATTCCTATGGATATCATCATCATTGCTAGTTTCATATCAATTGAGAATATACACGTTATATGTTTGTTTCTTTACCTTAGAACACTGACCTTAGATACACTACCACAGAACACCCTTACCCATCCTATCATTGACCTCGTATTACAGGAATCATCATAAAACTCACGATATATAATATTATTAGTGATGTCACGAACAACTCGAGTGATTCTGACCAATGAGCGTGCCGTTTAGATCCTGTCGTGAGATTCCTGTGTGACATGTTAATTATCGACCATGATATGCGTCACTTGGTCCACTGATCCGTTTCCCAGGGGACGTTTACGGCGTTGTTATTGGTGTGGTCATTGCTCGGCAATAATTCGGCCATCACAATACTACTAATCCATCAAGTGACCAGTCAAGCACCCCCAGCTTTAATTGGAGTCGTTACATATATGTACTACTGTCTGCAAATTTATGCTATCAATTTTGGTTTTGTTTTATTATTATTTCTTAATTATATATATATATATATATATATATAAAATAAAAAGTGATTAAATGTCCATGTGAAGGAAGTAAATATAGAAAAAATAAAATTAACGACCGACTAAAAAACTATATTCTTTAAGAGAGTGTTTCATACACTTTCATATTTATAAGGTGTGTCTGTGTGTCTGACGGGTGCCACGTCTGGTTAAGTAAAGGCACCGCCACATTGGCCGTGTGTGTGTCTGAAAGAGGTAAACAGGGGCCATGTTATAATATCAACACACCTCATACAGTAAACAATATATATATATATATATATATATATATATATATTTTAATTAACGACTTCAACTTTTCAACCAAAAAGTCGGTACCTATCTAGCTAATACACAATCAAATGTAGCAAATATCGTGGCATTCAATTTAAAAACGATATGAAGAAATATGCCTAATTATGCTATTAACACGTAAAAAAGAATCACCTGCCTGCAACATTGCTAGATTCTTACCTCTGAGCAGAACGGGTCTGCTATGTTCTTGAAGTGCGCAGAGGACATGTTGGCCATTTCCGGGTGCCACGTCTGGTTAAGTAAAGGCACCGCCACATTGGCCGTGTGTGTGTCTGAAAGAGGTGAACAGGGGCCATGTTATAATATCAACACACCTCATACAGTAAACAAAATATATTATAACCTGTACAACACACCTCATACAGTAAACAAAATATCTTATAAACTAACAAAACACCTATAAGTAAACACGGCATCTTTAAAAGTGCACAAGATGTGAAGTACACACGATATCTTATAATCTAGAAGAGATATCTGCATAATATATATTATTAATTGCTTTAATTTTAAATTGCTCGAACTAAAAAAATATTTGTGATATATTTTCCCAATAGGTCATTCGTTGCACTATTTTTTTTAAAAAAGCCATGTGATAAAACCAATAGTCTAGAGGATATTTACAACGATATTTCATAACGTTTATGGTATGCATCCTTATAAATATGAAAGTGTATGAAACACTCTTTGGAAAATATATAGATATCTCATACACATTTTTCAATATGTAATAAACACGAGATCTTTCTTATATACTTTGTTCAAGCGATAACCCTTAGTGTTTATAAGATATCTTATGCAGCGAACAATAAAGTGAGATATATTGTTTGTTCGTTACTTTTACAACGATTAATTAATGGGACATTTCAAGTCGATTAGTTCTCAAAATTGAGATGTTTGATACAAGTGTGACCAGTTAGGTCAAACAACAGGAATATATATGTAGGTACAATGTATAATGTAGAATATAGAGTGTCATGCTGTTGATATAAGACGGTGTAAGAGTCGGGGTGTGTCAAAGGTTATGCGAGTGTGAAGATTGAGATTTGATTACCACGTAACTTACTTGGACTGTAGTACCCAGGAGCTAAAAGGTAAAGAAAAGATAAAATGATTAAAATGTAAATCCAGTTTTATACTGAGCCTTCTTAAGCGAGTTATATTTCATCACTACATCTCATTCGGGTAAGGTTTAGGGCCCAAGGATAAAACACACACGTTCCTGCCACATAGTGTGATTAACATGCTGGGTAAATTTACCCCACAACTACGTCTATATAATGTGTACCAACACGAATCTTACCATATTTAGTGAAACAAACGCGGTAATAGTATGTTAAAGTCTGTGATAGTGTAAGCAGGGGCGGGTCCAGAATTTTTTCAGAGGAGTGTAACCATTCCAGATTTGCATTTACTTTCTGACGCATGTGATATGAGCCAAGACATGTTGCACAAAATTAAGTTATTTTTATTATACCTTTCTTGGCCTTGTTCTTTTTCAAGGGTCTCTATTTAAATATTTCCTCAATTCTTTTTTGCTCGACTTGTTCCAGTAAAATGCTTGAGTTAAATGAATCATTAAGATTACTTTGTTTACTTATTTCAATTTTCTAAAGAAAACAATATCCAAGTTTCTAATAAAAAATATACTACAAAAATGTACAAGTACTCAGAAACAGCTGTAATAACCCGTACGATTGTGGTATTAGGTATGTTAATATGATCTCGTTTAATATATAAGAAGTCTGAGGTCCTCGACACAGATTTTCGGGAACTCTCATCTAGTCATTGTGTCATCTTCCAACTCATCCTTTCGAGGTGGATACATTATAATCCAACAACGACCATTCATCAGCCCTACCACACCGCGGTTCTACCTCTACCTACCTGCCAGCGTCCTGTCACGGTTCGTGACCTCTAGACAGGGTCAAGCCCCGATGTCATACTGCACTTACCGCAGTCACAGCAGCGCCTGACCCCTAACGTTAACGGTTAGATTACAGAGAGTGATATACATTAATTATACACACACCCTGTGATGTCATTTTGTTTTGGCATAGGCGTGCATGTCACGTGAAGTGACCACAGCGTTGTAATAACGCAACGAATAAATCACAATGTTCCATTGGTTAATTTAAATATGAATATATTTTTTTGCCTAAATCATGCAGAAGCGAAACTTATTATATGTTATACCACGGACTTAGAATCTAATTCCGTGGTAATACATACTTTTGTGTGGTTAAAATTTTATATTGTTTAATAACTTAAGAACTCTGATCGATTGAGGTTTTATTTCTTCCTTTCAATATCTGTAGTTGACGTATTAATACAATTCGCCAGAACTACTTCTGAATTATTATCTTCTTTTGTTGTAATATCTGTGAATACTGTAGACAATAATTCAATCGCGTACTTCGAAAATTGTATTGTTTTGTAAATAAAGGTTGGAAGGCTCGCCATAGTAAAGTTGAGTAGGTTACAACAATTGGATGTCCAGCCTTTCGGTCCCAAGCATCACCGATGAGTCCTAGAAGGACGAAACAGCGGTGTGATGCTGTGTGGTTATCGTTTGCCATGCTGTATCTAATACCAAATGTATAAGGTACGGTCTCATCCACATTGTATGTGTCATAGTTTCATCTTTCATAAGCTCGTTAAGTAACGGATACATACTTTGTGATGTCACAGTTTGCCCTGTCTTGTGAAGTCATAGTACATGTACTTCACTAATGTGTTTTATATTTATTTATCGTTGGGAGGGGATTGAAGGATTATTTTGTCTTGATATTCCATAACAAACAGTAACCTGAGTGTATCATATTAGTATGCTTCAGATTAGATCTGGCCCTGTGGACGTTGGGTCCACGGAATACACCTGTCCCAAAGACAAGTGGGATGATAAGACGGCGAGTGACAGCGCGTGCGATACACCTTCGCCCTCGGCCTATAACAAATTTGAGCAGTCATTTCTCATTGTATATCCGAGCCGTTAATTTTTCACCACCAGACGGCGCTTCAGGCTCTATAACACATATAAGACTTTTACAGGTGATGCCACCTTCCGCCGAGGTCAACCCTCTAAAAATTTCGTAGCCTCCCTCGATGTTTATCTGTTACCTAGATCTCTCTCGTAATACCTACCGAGTTCTTCACTCTCTCTCTCTGACCATAAATTACATTTTTCCCTTCTTCGGCTTAGTAAACTCTGACTGCGTATAAATTAGCGTATACGCAATGGAAAAAAAGGCTCGGCGGATTGATACATGTTTCAAATATGGCGCCTTCTCGCTTCAGCGAGATAACCGTTTGATGACAGTCATTGTTTGGTTCCCTCAACATCCAGAAACATAAAACATAAGTGTGTCAATGCGTGTACATAACGACCGTTATAAATAAATAAGAACGTTCGAAGTGCCACTTATATTACCTAATTAAAAATTTCAAATCGATGAACAGAAGAAAAATAAAATAGTGTTGTTTACCCATATACCGATTTGTATTCACTGGAACTATAGTATCCTAGCAACCACTTCTACCGTGTCTACCATCGTAGCAACCCGCTTTGACTGTTTTCTTCTTTGTAAAGCATTTGTACATTATTGATGATGTAAATATAAGGATTGACCTTCATTTTGACGGTATAAACGTTATTATGAACGCAGTTGGTAACGAACATATTCTTTATTCTAGCGCGCACCATAAAAATGTTTGTTGCCAACTGCGTTCAAACTACCGTATACGCAGTCAAAATGAAGGTCAATCCTTAAATTATTAACATTTGGTGTGATTGACACCACGCGGCATTAATTTTCTGACGTAACGCATTATTGTGACTTCACATCTTCAATGAAGTAATATTTATAGATTATCGCACTATGTTTTTAGGGATTGTCGTGAGATCAATTTTCTCATCGCGAGCACGTGGATAAAACTCGAGAGGCAAACCGCAGCTGGACTCGAGATTTGATCCACGTGTGAGCAATGAGAAAACTGTTTGAACGACAAACCCTGAACATACTGTGTGATAAACTGTTTATCATCTTTTTACTACTATATCATATATTACTTCATTTACAAAAGTCAAGTAAACACCAAATTTTCCAAACTCTTTCTAGACTCAATGGTCATCGATAGCAAATCCTCGGCCTGTGATAAACGTAGACAAATAGAAGATTTAGGCGGAGGAATACCATGAACCTTAAAACTATGTAGAAAAAGTATTTTCTAAAAAGATCTTATCGTCATTGTCTTTTCCATATTCACATTTACGCTTAAAATGGTGTTTTTATTCTAACAATGTATTTTCGTAACTTTTCGTAACGTTTACAGGTTTATGACGAACTATTTTCTTGCGCGGATCACTTTTGTGTGGACACTATTTCCAGTTTCGAACGTCACCTGGCCCGAGCAGACGTTCTATATTGAGAAAAATGCGTACCCAAGTGTTCGGAAATGGGAAAATCCGTTCTCAAGTTCTTCTCAAGTTGTTCTCAAGTCGTTCTCAACTTCTTCTCATCCCGATACCCAATGATAACTGATTTACCATGCTACCGTTAGGTAGTACACTTTATATAGATGATAATATATATTCTGATCGGAGAAGTCATCCTAATATCATCTACTCGTTGAAGATTGTAAATTATCTTTGAGAAATCACTCACCCTATCAGATATTTTCAGATATAATTTTATCTCATGCCAACAAGGGGCTCCTGGAAGACAGGTATCAGAACAGTCCTTCGGATAGGACTCAAAGTCGCAGGTTCGTATTTCAATGCAATAGCAAAAATCTCTATGCGGATCAAAAAAGGATAAGCTAAGATCACTTGCAAACGTTGGATGAGCGAAATAACACCAATAATCCGAACGCTCAGTAACTATACTTACCGTCCATCAACAGGAAGTACACCAAGAGTCCCACACCGAACGCTATAAGTAACGCTCCCACAAGTAACAGGAGTACTAAACCGAGTCTCTTCTGTTTGTGTCTTTCACCGGATTTCAATTTCCTTTTGCTGTTTATTGATGAGTCACTGGCTGAGGTATTGTACATCTCGTTTCCCACCGCTAACCCCGGGCCTGAACCCAGGGTATTGTGGTTATTATAGTGATGATGGTGACGGTGTTTTTCTGTTCTGTGATAATTTCCAAATTCATCTTCATACCCGTCGTTGTCATGGTAGCGTCTCTGTAACTGGAAGAAACAATAACGTATGATAAAAGATGAAACGTGTAATAATATAATTGATTACAGAAATTATAGAGAGTATACAATTAAAACACTAGTAAGGATGTGATTTGTTGGCAGCTCTTTTGGCTTTTCAATTTACATTCCCATTGTATTACGATTGTATGCAAGTAAGAACACACACCACTTTTTCAAAGAGAAAGTTTTCGTGTATTTCCGTCATTTTTTCACAGTTACTATGTGCAGTTATTATCACAGGGGACTTAATCATAGAAAAAAATATCATCGAAAAATGATGATCAGGGGAGATAATCCTGGTCAACGTTTGACAGGGAACTTAATTAATCAAATGATGATCAAAGGAAGTAATTATGGTCAATCAAGTCAATCAAGGGTGGCCGGGTGGTGCAGTGGATAGTGCACTTGCCTTTCACCAAGGCGACCGGAGTTCGATACCCCGATCGGACGTGAAAAAGTATGGGGCCCACCTGTGGGTTTTCTCTGGGTACTCCGGTTTCCTCCCACAATAAGATGCGCTCTAACATCCGGGCCAACAATAGTGATTAATATAAGTTGAAATAACTTGTTTCATAATTGTTGTAAAATATATAAAGTTTATAATCAAGTACTATAGAGGAAGTAATTAAATTAGTACTAGGGGAGGGTATTTATGGTCAGTGATTGTCGATGGGAACTAATTAAGGTAAAGTACTGTAGATGAATAAGTTGATTTTGATTTCTGTTTAATGTATTGTCAACAGTGTGAGTCTTTTGTATCAAACATTATACAATTATGGACTTTTGTGCTGGTGAATGTGATGTGATATTAACCTGAAAAAGTTATATTGATCGAGGCCCGAGGTTAATATCACCTTTCCAGGTTCATATCACATCATATCTACCAACACAAAAGTCCATAACTGTTTTATTATATGCATCAACAAAAAATAAATAAAAAGGACATGCACTGCGTGTTCCGTGGCCTTATTTATGTTAACAGCCTCTTTAACTTCGAATAGTTTTGATTTTTTTTTCAGATTTAACGGAGGAGAAACGTTCGCCAGCAGCCATCTACTGTTATCGTCTGACAGATCGCGTTCAGGTCTAACTGTGCATGCGCTATGACAGGTTCCGGGGAATTTCCATATAAGCTATATTTAAAAATCGACATTCACCAGATAACCAGTCTACATGAGTTTTTTAGGACTGGTCACGTGTATAGGATCCGACCAATGTGATTGCGAGAAATTTTCAAGCATTTAATAAATATTTGTTTTTTAACTTGCTATGCATCCTTCCATTGCAATAAATTGAAGAAGGCAAATGTTGTTATGAGACTATAACAACATTTGCTATTGTAACGTCATCAATCTCTATTGTGACTTCATCGATTTCATTGTTGTCAAGACTTAATTTGCTGTTTGAAAACTGTTGAAAATAACTAAATGAGGCATAATTACTCTATCAAAATGTAAATATAAGCAATGAATGTTTTAGCAAATGATGTTATGGTCCTATAACACCCATTTCTATCTCTGACAAACTTACATAAAGCCCTACCGGGACTTATTAAGTTTGTCATCAATAGCAATGTGTGTTATAGGACCATAACAAAATTTGCTTAAACATTCCTTGCTTAACCAAACGACTTCTTCGTCAACGCATCAAATACCAACTGACGACACTTGTTAATGACACACAAAATACAAACTAAAATAGGACATAATAGAGAAGCTAGAACGTTTATAAAAACAGTACACACTACTGATCAGCCATTACCCTTCCATATGATAAGTAGGTTCTGAGAATGGAATCTCTTAATAAATTCTCTACAGTATGAGTCTGTCGTGGTGTTATAAATACATAGATGTTCTCTGTTGTATTTAGGCAGATAGGCAACTGCATTTACAGTATCCTGTCATTGACATGGACGCTATCCTCCCCCTCCCCAGGTTACAAATATCAAAATATCAAAGAATTTTGTGTATCCTCTGTTATTACATTTCCTGTGATGTTCTATACGTGTATGGACACGGTGTAAGACATGACATATTTTCCTCAGGAAGGCCATTACAAGTATTACCTGTCAGGCAAATTAATGACAAACCCTACGTCAGACGGTCCTGTGGAGTGGTCAGTGCATAATTCATTATGTGTGAGGTCAGGTGAAAAATTACCGTCAGACAAACGCTCGTACTTAACACAACCGGTGTTAGGCACAGAACAAACTCGAAAATAAAACTATACAGATTAACGGAACCGGATATTTAGTATTAAAGTAATTACATGATAAGATTCGCCTTGTTTTATTTGCGGAATTTGCAAGAAATACATCATTTGTAACAACAGCCTTTGGCGAATTTTGACTAGGTTCCCATGCTTTTTTTTTTATCAAACACAAACAATGTAAATGTTCTACAATAATGACACGAGTCTGGAAGTTTTTTTTAGAATATATTTCAGTGTATGTACTCGTGTTGTATTTGACGGCTAGATGACCCGATAATACGGAACACGAGGTCCGGGTTCGTTTCTAGTGTTTATCTTTGTATCGGTAAAGCACTTCCCTGACCGTGTAATGTTTCACGTGAACACGGTGCTACAGTGTAAGGGACCAAACATGTATGTAATACATCGTCATAAAACGGTCGTATACGTTACCGCCGAACATGTATTATGCATGTAGTCATCGGTCAAAACGTGGTCAAATCTAGAGCTTAATCAGAATTCAGTGAGAAATGTCAAAACCGGGCAAAATACAATGTACCTAGCTCGTAGTGGATAGGTTGGGGGAATTGCGTACAACAAAAAAAGAAAGATACACAGGAAAGGTTGAGAAAAAAAAATGCAATACGTATGCTAATAGCCAATACCTATATATATATATAGAAAAAATAAGATTAACGACCGACTAAAAAACTAGCTGCTAACAACGTCGTGACGTCACAATTACATGTCATCATACTACAATAGTAACGTGACGTCACGAAGTACACAAGATTGGTGGACAATTTGGCGTAAAATTTTACTGCGGCCTGTTGAGCCTTGGTTTTAATATTTTGATTAGTTGGTNATATTCATGAATGTGCTGGAGATAAATTTAATGTATTACCTTTGTATCAACTATTTTCATCAGACACTATTTTAAGAGAAACGAAAGAAGACCAACTAATCAAAATATTAAAACCAAGTCTCAACAGGCCACAGTAAAATTTTACGCCAAATTGTCCACCAATCTTGTGTACTTCGTGACGTCACGTTACTATTGTAGTGTGATGACATGTAATTGTGACGTCACGACGTTGTTCTTTTGAATAAACCTGAAGAGCCATGTGAAGGGTGAAAGCAGCTAGTTTTTTAGTCGGTCGTTAATCTTATTTTTTCTATATTTACCTCCTTCACGTGGACATTTAATCCCTTTTTATCATTATATATATATATATAGAATAAAAACAATTTTTTCAGATCGTCCGCTAGGCCTTTCTGCCTTCTAGGGCTTCTTCAGGCGGATTGATGTTTATTTATCACCGTTGGTTACATGACGTCATCAATATTTGTATAGTCAAAAATTTTAGTGACGTCATAAATAAACAAGCATAGTGGCGTCACAAACAATACCAAGACAAAGAAAACATCTACATACAATACATTGCAAAAATCATTGTGCATTCAGGCTGGGTTTGAGGACTTTTATAAACATATTTTCTTTAATTTCTCTTGCAACTACATCGTCGCTATTCAGTTTGTAAATACTGAATATATATATATATATGTATGTTAACGTTATTGATATGATTTTTTTTTTTTTTATATTTTAAGTTTGTAAGTTAAATTGCTATAGTTAGTTGGAAACCAGTGAAGCTGTTCACTGTGTTCTTATTCTATTTGATACATTTTTCAAAAGTCCTTTATCTCGGTAAATTGCATCAAATTGTAACATCATGTTCTGTGGCTGCGGTGTTCGGTCCGAGATATGTTACAGTGAAGGAATTCTAATTCTAGAATTTTAATGAAGGTAGATCAGGAACCCTGTATCACAAATGATATAGAATGTTATTTCATCAATATTTCATTGTTTAAATATACGACGTTTCTTCACATATTTCACATACGAGTAGCTCTACTGGAACCCTTTTTGGTCGGAGCTCATCGGTTCTTATCTACAGAGTAAATCAATGATTTTAATTAACAATATTTAGTTCCGAATAATTGGGCACAGTGGATCGCTTATATCGTTAATTCCGTCCTCAGCGTCTTTTTGACTGCCATTGCCGTAAATTGAAGGAATGTGATAAATGTATATTATGTGGCGTTAGTTTCACACATTGAAACATTGAACAACTTTCAGTTGAAATTCATATTGACTTTATCTGCAACGCCAGACATGTGATATTTCTGTTTTATCATGGACAGATGAGATCGAAGAATCTATAACTATTTATGAAACTGCCTATGGGGAAGACTTTCAAAGCGTTCCTGAAGTTACACAAAACCCTACCTCATTATAGCCACTGACAACAGCCTGACAATAAATTAGACAGTGATTGAGATACGAGCGACTGTTGACCGGAAGTACACCTGACTCATGCGTGACCTTCTGACCACAGGGACACCGGTGTTGACGCAATGAGCGTGGCTACACACACCGATAGTGTATGTCCAACAATATAGGAAATTCCAAACGCGTTTTGTCTCTCCATTGCACTTCCGGTTCCCAACATCAATAAGACACTTAAAATGTCAAGTTATTCACGAACATATATTTCTGTCAGAACATCAGAACAAACCTTTGAACATGTTTGCATTTTCTGTGTCGTTTAATTGGTAACTTCTGAGGCCGAACTTAACGACATAGAAGTATCGCCTTC